AAAACCCCTCCTCTACTAAAAATACAAAAATTAGCAGGTTGGAGCATGGCTGTAGTCCCAGCTACTCGAGGCTGAGGCAGGAGAATCACTTGAATTTTGGAGGCGGTGGTTGCAGTGAGCCAAGATTGTGCCATTGCACTCCAGCCTGGATGACAGCAAGACTCCGTCCGTATCAAAAAAATAATAATAAGTGAAATGATTCTGTTTATCATGTGTCTTCCCTAGCTGGAACGGCTAGAATATAAACTCTAGGACAGCAAGGATCTTGTCTGTCTCATTGACTGCTGACTCCTCAGTGCCTAGAATAGAACCCGGCACACAGCAGGGACTCAATACATTTGTCAACTCAATAAAATAGGAAGAGTAGCTACCAGCTACCAGGACTAATGACAACGTGCTGAAAGGCTTGCAGACATTTCATTCAGTCTCCAACAACCACCGAGATAAAGACTACTATCATACCCATTTTGCCAACGAAGAAAAAAGCTCAGTGCACATCTCACAAGTTAGTGGCTATACTGGGATATTAACTTGGTCTGCTGGCCACCTAAGCTACCTTCCAACCATGGCACACTTCTTGCAAATATGAGGAGTGGTATTTCCCACTGATCCTCCACCACCAGCCCCTCACCCCCACCACCCACTGTGGACAGGCCACTCTGCTGGCTCCTATCTTCTGGGGCAAATCTCCTCCCTTCATTCTGAGGCAGCTGGGTCCCTCACCCTCAGCCCCCAACATCTCCAAGCGGGATCCCTGCTGTATCACTTTTTCCTATTTCTATCTGGTGCTTCTAATGATTGTGTTGGCTCTTCCTGTGAATTACTTTGGGTTTGAAAGATCACATGTAAAAACAAAAATTAGCCGGGCATGATGGCGCGCGCCTGTAGTCCCAGCTACTCAGCAGACTGAGGCAGGAGAATTGCTTGAACCCAGGAGGCGGAGGTTGCAGTGAGCCAAGATTGTGCCACTGCACTCCAGCCTGGGCAAAAGAGAAAGACTCTGTCTCAGAAAAAAAAAGAAGCAATATCAGACTTGAAAAATATACAAATGCACAAACTGGTCCAACAACCTCTCATTCTTTTTTCTTCTTTATTTCTGAGACAGGGTCTCACTCTGTCACACAGCCCGGAGTGCAATGGGGCAATCACAGCTCACTATAGCCTCAGCATCCCGGGTAGCTGGGATAGAGGTGCACGCTACCACACCTGACTAATTTTTTGTAGAAATGGGGTTTCACCATGTTGCCCAGGCTGCTCTCAAACTCTTGGGCTCAAGCAATCCGCCTACTTCAGCCTCCAAAGTGCTGGGATTACAGGCATGAGCCACCAAACCCCGCCAAAGAGCCTCTCATTCTAATGGCTAAAAACATACTTTATTTTAAAGGAAATGATTGTTGAATTCTCTTAAGATGTAAATAAATTAATTTAGATTTTGCAAGTTACGAAACCTATTTTTGAAATATATCAGTAAAATACATTTTACAGCAGAGGCACCAATCACTGCACATCCTAAATTTCACTTTTGATTTACCACCTAACAACTGCAATGCCTGAAAAACAGACTCACATTTAACTCTTATATCACTCTACACAGACTGCTAAAAAGCCACATGCTGCTGTCACTGGTCATTGAGAACAATCAAGATTTTTTTTAAGTTGCTGCTTTATTTCTTCAGGTTAAAAAAACACATAGGTAAATTTGGTGGCCATCACAAACATGATTGAGATCACCAGATTCTATCATCAAATGAAATCACAATGACAGGTTTCTGACAATAAACTCAACCTGAAGGGAGCACTAATAAATGCCCTTCCCAGCCTCTTCTAGGATGTGTGGTATGTGAGCTGCCTCCTGAAATGCCCAGGATGGCCACTCTCCCACATGGGATATTCTAAGCCCCTGATACCATCTAACTTTTCTGAAATAAATTAACAACTCAGCCAATCTTTACTAGGCTACAATCACAGAATTGGGTCCCCTGAAAGCCAGGCTTTCATGCCACATCCATGGCCACTGCGGTCTAGCCAAGTCTATAACGTCTTCTTACCCTTATTAATATGTATGTTACATAGGTTTACATATATTAATCCTTAATGACTTAAAAAACTCAACCTCGTTATGGCCAGGCACAGTGGCTCACATCCTGCAATCCCAGCACTTTGGGAGGCCAAGGCATGTGGATCACCTGAGGCCAGGAGTTTGAGACCAGGCTGGCCAACAAGGTGAAACCCCATCTTTACTAAAAATACAAAACTAGCCGGGCATATTGAGGCACCTGTAATCCCACCTACTCAGGAGGCTGAGGCAGGAGAATCGCTTGAACCTGGGAGACGGAGGCTGCAGTGAGCTGAGATCACGCCACCGCACTCCAGCCTGGGCAACAGAGCTAGATTCCATCTCAAAACAAACAACAACAACAAAAAAAAAAAAAACAAAGAAACACAACTCAACCTTGTCAGAAAAGTCCACCACCTCCAGGAGCTGAGGGGAACTTTTAATGTCCATCAGATGGGAGACCAATATGGGCAATGAAACGGTATTTCTATGAAATGGCAGCTTTGTCCTTCTTGCCCATTGACTGGATGTGGGAAGGCTGGGGAAGAAGAGCAACTCCCAAGTTTCTTGTTTGGGCAACCAAGTCAATGTTGGTGCATTTGCCAAGATGGTGGCTACCGGGTCTGAGAGGAGAGGGTGACAGGTTGGACATGCTGAGTTTATGGTGCCCAAGAAACAGCCACTAGGGGCATCAAAGAAGCACAGGCTCCACATCTGAGCTGGAGGGCAGGGGGCTCAGTGGCTTTGAAACATAGAGGCAAGAGCTGGGGGCACTGGGACAATAATTAAAGCACTGGAGTGAACATACTGGGGAGGGGAGTGTGAGCAGGGGACTACCAATGGTAGGTCAGTCCCATTTTTTCTTAGGCCTTTTTACAATAGTGTGTTCCATAATTAAACCTTTGGTGAGTAAAAAATTTGGGGGTGAGGAGAAACACCAACCCTGTGGCCACTCTGCCATGTAGGTACAAACAGAAGCAGAAAGGGCCTATTAAAGAAAAAAAAAACAGCAAGATACATTTCATCATTTAATAAGCACTTACTGTGCTCTGGGTCTTGTGCAAAGCACTAAACATGAATTATCTCCTGGAACCATCCAAACAATCCTGGCACAAAAGTCCTATGACTACCATTCCACAGATGGGACACTGAGGCTGGGAGCAAACGTGTGGGGGAGCTCAGGACTGTCATGTCACAGCCCACAGTCAGGCATTCTCTGGGCCAGATGGAGAATATTGAAGAACAATTATAATACATAAGAGCTGCTACTTAGTGAGAGATGGCGCTGGACTAGAAATACAATCTCAGCAAATCCTTACAACCCTTTGAGAGTGATCTCGTTATTATCACATTTTGTAAATGAGGAACCTGAGGTTATAGGAGGGGAAGTCAACTAGACCAATTCTGAATCTGGCCCGGGGGAGAAACCAAGCCTACAGCCAGAGCCCACCCTCAGAGGGTCTCCGGGCCACTAGGAAAACGCTGAATAAATGGTACCATTTACTGAGCGTTAAGTGCCAGCTGCTGTGCTAAGCACTTTACACATGATATTCTCACTGCATCCTGAAAACAACTCGAGGAAGTGGTTGCTATTTAAATCCCCATTTTATAGACAGGGAAACCAAGGCACAGAAAGATGAAGCCAGTTGCTCAAAGTCACACAGCTGGTGAAGGACAGAGTTTAAATTTGAACCTGGGGTCTCTCTGCCTTCCAAACCAACGCTCTTAGCAAAATAATCTCGGTTAACAGCAGCTAGCCTGCATTGGGTGCTAACTATGGACTCACCTCTTTACATGCACACGCTCAACTAATCCTCACCCTATGCAATCGATAACATCTTCACCTCATTTTTCGGGGACCTAACAATAACCCAAACACGTAGTAAGTGCCTCTTGTGTGCCAAATGTTTTATTCCATTATCTCAACAGAATCTCCGCAAGACACTCTCCTACTCGTTTTACTGCAGGGGAAATTGAGGTTCGGCGCGGTTTCCCCAGATCGCAGATCCCGAGTGGCACAGCCGGGACGCGAATCCACCACTCCCCGCCTCCAAGCTCTTCCCCACAGCGCCGGGGTGCACGCCTGGAAAGTTGAGCCATGCGGACATGAGTCCGGCTAGGTCCGGAGGGCGCAAGTCCCGGCGCCGCCGCCCCCCACGGCTAGTACCCACACCCGGCCGTCCGCCCGTGCTGACCCTCGGGGTCCGGGCAGCCACCGATTCCCCGCCACCCTTGCGCGAGGCCGATCCCGCACCCGGAGCCACATACCTGGGCGTCCCGGCTGCCCGCCTCGCGGGCCTCAAGACCGCGGCGTCTGGCTCCGCGCCGCTCGCTGGAGACGCCGCCAGCTCCGGTGGCCCGAGTGACTTCCAGACTGCCCACTTCCAAGCCGCTTCGCGCGAGGCCTCCTGGGAACCGTAGTTTCGCCCTAGCCAGCAGCAAACTGCAAAGAGCCTAGCGCGCGGGGACTGCCGGGAGCCGTAGGCGCACCGCCGCGCTGCCTCCTGGGAACGGTAGTCCACTGGTCTCCTCAGTGTGGCTCCAGTCTCCTGAGCACTTCCGCAGCCCCGAGGGGCGTGAAGGAGGGAGGTGTGTCTTCTGCAGACTCCAGCTCGAGGGCCACGCTCTTCACCTCGCTGGGGCGGTTTCTCCTTTCTCTCAACCCCGTCTGCCTCCTCCCTTCATTCGGCGGAACCTCTCCCTCACTCTGCCAGGCTCGAGTCACTCACCCCTAGGACGCTAGCCTGAGAGAAGCAGGAGAAGCGGAGCAGTGCGCTAGACCCCCAGTAGAGGGGACGATGGAGGAGGGCGTCGATGCGCGCTCGCGCACGCGCGGTCGCCGGCAGACCCCGACCTAAATTGCCGCGGGACCCCGCGGAGAGGATTTTTTTTTTTTTTCCTTTTGAGCGCGTGCGGGTTTTCGCAGCGGGCGCGCGCCCATGCGCACGCGCGTTCAGACCCCTGGCCTCGGGGAGTCCACCGGCCGTGGGGCTGGGGGCCAACCGCTCCGTGGGCGGAGTCCTCACGCAGCATCTGCCAGGTAGCTTCTCAGTCGCTGCCCCTAGCTCTAGGAACTCCTGGGTGCACACGCCGTAACCGTCCCTTGTCGGGAGTCCTATCGCAGGTAATAGGCGCACCCCATGCTTTGAGACAGAGACGCCCTGCCTCCCGCCCGTGTAGGGGGCCTGAGGGTGAGGGACCTCCGGTGGAGTCGCCTCTCCGCGGCCTAGACGGCTCCAGAGCTCTACCTTCGACGGGAGCCAAAAGATCGAGGGGGCTGCATAGGGGCCTTGTTATCTTGCATTCTTTCGTTTATTGCACATTCCTGAGGGTAACTAGTGTTTGTAGAGTACCTACACCTTGGGAAATTTTGTCCAAATTTAAGACACCTGCTGACATAACCAAGCAGCGGACGCCGCCCACCCCCACACTCCTTTTGTAATGTTCCTCGCTAAGAGTTACCGCGGGAATCTACTAGCAAGGACCTCTGGTCAGGAAGCCCTAGTCAATATCCTTTCCACCTCAGCCTGCCTTCTAGGAAGATGTTCACTAACACTTGAAGCTGGGAAGCATATGTTTCTTCCTCAGAGAACACAGAGAGTCTATTCTTTTGCCCATTCATTCAACAAAAATATATTAAGCTCTATTGCGTGTCAGGTTGGGTGATTATGGAGACACCTGAGAAATCCAGACAGACTGGAGTCCTCCTACCTTCAGGGAGCTTTCAGTCCAGTAGGGATATCAGGCCACCATGAGACCACGACAGTATACAGCAATGCTACCTAAGAGAAGAATACCTTGCACTTTGAGCCACCGAGGCAGGAGGATCACTTGAGACCAGCAGTTCCAGACTGGCCTGGATAACGCAGCAAGAAACCATCTCTACTAAAAACTAAAAAACTAGGTGTGGTGGCATGTGGCCATAGTTCCAGCTATTCAAGAGATTGAGTATCACTTGAGCCAGGAATTTGAGGCTGCAGTGAACCATGATTGCACTACTGCACTCCAGCTTGGGCCACAGAGCAAAATCCTCTCTCAAAAAAAAAAAAAAAAAGTTTGTGTGTGTTTGTATGTGTAATGCAAGCCACATATGCAATTTTAAATTTTACATAAACAGGTAAAATTCATTTTATTTATCATTATCATTTATTTACCTTTTTTTTTTTCTATGTTGCCCAGGCTGGTATTAAACTCCTGGGCTCAAGACTTCTTCCTACCAGCCTCCCAAAGTGCTGGGATTATAGGCATGAGCCACTGTGCCCAGCCATGAAATTAATTTTAATACTTTATTTAAACTCAAATATATCCAAAATATTCCAAGTTAGGTTTAATAGAAAAGTGTTTTCATTATTTCAGTTCTACCGTTTTTTTTTTTTTTTTTTTTTTGAGATGGGGTCCCGCTCTGTCACCAGACTTGAGTGCAATGGTATGATCTCAGCTCACTGCAACCTCTGACTCCCTGGTTGAAGCAATTCTCCTGCCTCAGCCTCCTGAGTAGCTGGGATTACAAGCATGCGCCACCATGCCCAGCTAATTTTTGTATTTTTAGTAGAGACAGGGTTTCACCATGTTGGCCAGGATGGTCTCAATTTCCTGACCTCATGATCCGTCTGCCTCAGCCTCCCAAAGTGCTGGAATTACAGGCATAATTCCAGCCTCAGTTCTACAGTTTAAGTTAATTAACATCAAATAAAATTAAAACTTTATGAGGCACTAACACAGATATTCCTTTGTAGTATTAGCTGCAGTAGCAAAAGTTTGGAAACTACCCAATGTCCATTAATAGATAGTTCAGCCACACAGTGGAATACCCTGCAGCTAGCAACTGTAGGGAAATAGTTTTATGTATTAATATGAATTAATATCAAAGCTACAGTAACAAAAAAAGGTGAAGAACAGTGTATACAGTTTACTATCACTTTTATAAGAAAAATACTTTTTTCCTAAAGTACAGAGATAAAGATTAAAAAAATACTTTTTACATATATGCTTGTGTGTATACAGAACACCTAGAAATACACAAGAAAGGCCAAGCACATTGGCTAACACCTGTAATCGCAGCACTTCGGGAGGCTGAGGCAGGCAGATCGCTTAAGGTCAGGAATTCGAAACCAGCCTGGCCAACATGGCAAAATCCCATCTCTGCTAAAAATACAAAAAATTAGCTGGATGTGCTGGTGCATGCCTGTAATCCAGCTACTCAGGAGGCTGAGGCTTGGGAATCACTTTAACCCAGGAGGCAGAGGTTGCAGCGAGCCAAGAGCATGCCACTGCATTCCAGCCTAGGCAACAGAGACACTGTCTCAAAAAAACAAAACAAAACAAAAAAGCACACACACCCACAAAAGAAAGATACAACCAGAATTACCTCTGGGAAGGGGAAACAGGACCAGATGGTTAGGTGTGAAAAGGTGACTTTTTTCCCCTTATCTGCCCCTTAGTACATTTTCAATATTTTCCATGTCCATTTTTAAAAGATGCTTAATTACAGGAAGGATAATAGCTAAGTTATTAGAATAATTGTAAGAATTAAACAAAATAGGCTGGGTGTGGTGGCTGACGCCTGTAATCCCAACACTTTGGGAAGCTGAGGCAAGTGGATTCTATGAGTCCAGGAGTTTGAGACTAGCAACATAGTGAAACCTTATCTCTACAAAATAATACAAAAATTAGCCAAGTGTGGTGGCACTAGCCTGTAGTCCCAGCTACTCAGAAGGCTAAGACAGGAGGGTCACTTGAGCCAGAGAAGTCAAGGCTGCAGAGAGCCATGATTGTGCCACTTCACTCCAGCCCGGGTGACAGATTGAGGCCCTGTCTCAAAATAAATAAGAATTAATATATATGTAAAATGTCAGGTTACTACTTTACAACCTAATTAATCCCGGATATTGTCATTAATTCTCAGGGATCCAGAGTAACTCTTCCATCCAACAGGAACTAACCCACCATGTTAATGTATGTTTGTCAGCCTGGAAAATTATTTCTTTCCATTAAGAAAGTGAAATGCGTTCCAATCCCAGTCCTAGCTATGCAGCCACCTGAAGGCCACAGTAGCACTCCCGGCACTGGGGACAAACTTGGACTCCTGATCACTAATGTCATTTAAAGAATCAAGTAAGCCTAGGTTGCCCCTCTGACTTTACAGTCAACCAATTAGGACCTTCTGATACCAGCTAGACTTTCTGCACCCTTGTCCCCCAAATGTGAGACCACCTACAAGGTTATCGAATCCATGTAGGGCCCTATCTCACAGTGTGGTACACACATCACCTTCCTTTTGGGTGGTCAGTTCTCCTTGTTATATGTCCTCAAAGCACTTTGTACTTAAAAATTGAATTTAATTTGAGAAAATTAAAAGTTACAGAAAAGTTCTAAAGGATAATATAACCCATCACCTAGAATTTCCCATTGTAATCTATTTTATATCTCTTCTTTGATGACTGTAAGCTCTAGGGAGCAAGAAACCTGCCTGGATCCCCTCACACACACCTGTTAACAGCACATCCGACAAGGAGTGAGCCAGAGGGAGCCCAGGGGCCTGACCTTGTCGTGGAGTGCAGCGCCCCCTAGAGTCAATTCTCTTTAACAAGACAACACTTGTGGGAGGTTTGCCTCCTCTCAGGCCGCCACTAACACTGTACCTTACAGAGGACTGCTGCAAAGAAAAGGAATATACTTTCAGTGTCAATGCCCAATCACGCACCTGGTTTGTCTCCACAGTCAGCAGGAATAACATTCGTTGGTCCCAAATACCCTTCACACTAAATTGGCCACAGAGCTTAAATTCTCCCATTAGATTATCTTTGCGTTGAGATATTAAACAATCAGTCAGGCTCACACCTGTAATCCCAGCACTTTGGGAGGCTGAGGCACGCAGATCACCTGAGGGCAAGAGGGCTGGCCAACATGGTGAAACCCCATCTCTACTAAAAAAAAAAAAAAAAAAAAAAAAAAAAAAAATTAGCTGGGCGTGGTGGTGTGCGCCTGTAATCCCAGCTACTCAGGAGGCTGAGGCAGGAGAATCGCTTGAACCCCGGAAGTGGAGGTTGCAGTGAGCCAAGATTTCACCACGGCACTCCAGCCTGGGTGATGGAATGAGAATCCATCTCAAAAAAAATTAAAAATAAAAGATATTAAACAATCAAGACCATTGGAATTAAAGCATTTGGAGCTTACTACAAACTTACTTTTAAGGACAGGCACTGGGATTAGGGAGTTGATTAGGGAGCCCCTCTGGGGCTAACCCAAGGAAACTGATCTACGAAGTGGGAGACAGTGGCTAATAAATAAATAAATATAGAGGACCAGGTGCAGTGGCTCATGCCTGTAATCCCAACACTTTGGGAGGCTGAGGCAGGTGGATCACTTGAGCCCAGGAGTTTGAGATCGCCTGAGAAATAGAGTGAGACCCTGTCTCTACAAAAATTTTTTTAAATAAATTAGCCAGGCGTGGGGGTGCATGTCTGTGGTCCCAGGTATTCGGGAGGCTGAGGCAGGAAGATTGCCTGAGCCCAGGAGTTTTGAGGCTGCAGTGAACTCTGACTGCACCACTGCCCTCCAGCCTGGGCAACAGAGCAAGGCCCTGTCTCAAAAAAAAAAAAAAAAAAAACCAGCACATAGAATTAAATAAACATAGAGATTTGGGGTTTGAAATTCCTCCTTCTCACTCATCCCCTAGAAATGTTCCCCCAAATAGTCCCAACCAATTGTTCTTTGTAGGCTGGTCAAGAGAAGTGGGACCCAGTGGACATAATTGGCATAATGGGAAGTGATGGCAGTGACTGCAAATTTGCTACAAATGACTACTCTCTCAGCAGCTCTGGGGCTGCAAGAAGGGGCTTACTGGGATAACTCTGAGCTGTGATTGTTGTTTGGGTTTTTTTGGGGGGGTGTGTGTTTAAGAGATAGGATTTTCCTCTGTCACCCAGGCTGGCATGCAGTGCGGCCATCATAGCTCACTGCAGCCTCAACCTCCTGAGCTCAAGTGATCCTCCCACTTCAGCCTCCCAAATAGCTAGGACTACAGGCACATGCCACCACACCTGGCTACTTTTTTTTTTTTAATAGATACAGGGTCTCACTATGTTGCCCAGGCTGGCCTTGAACTTCTGGCCACAAGCAAGTGAGCCTCCTACTTTGGCCTGGGGTAACTCCCACAGGGCCATCCACTGCTGTGCAGGATCTGAAGCCAATCACACTGGAGCCTGAAAGGTGTTCAGAAACAGAATGGAGGAAATAAGTTATCACAGGTGGGCAGTGTGCAGTCTGGGGAGTGTGGAAAGAGACACAGGATGCTGTGTGCTGCTAGCCAGTCACAAGTTCCCATTGTGAGTGGATCTGTAGATCAGCTGGCAAAACCTCTTCCTCCTCTGATGCAGTAGAAGAATCCTGAACTGTGGATTGGATCTTAGTCTTTATCTGCCCTATGTAGACTCAAACACATCCCTTTTCCTCTCTGAGGTCATGTTCCTCTTTTGTACCATGGAGATGATGATATCTGCCTCTCAGGATTCTTTCAAGAACTAACAAAATGATTGATGTTGAAAGCTTTTCTGTGAACTCTCCTCCACTGTATGCATGTGAGATGATGATGATAAATTTGGTCTGCTGCTTTCCTCCACCCCAAATCCAGTGAGCAAGTTTCTGTGGCGATACAGAGCCCTGGCCTCGCTATACCAGAGGATGGGTTCAGCTGACCTTGCTTCAGGAAGCCCAGACCAAATGAACTGGGACTCCAACAGTTCTCTAAACCAGTGGTTCTCACACTTTATTGTTGAAGCAAGGTGCAATGGTTCATGCCTGTAATCCCAGCACTCTGCGAAGCTGAGGTTGGAAGATTGCTTGAGGCCAGGAGTTCAAGACCAGTCTGGACAGCATGGTGACAGGCCCCCACCCCTGCCCCACCCCCACTCCCACCCCACCCCCACTCCCATCTCTACAAAAATTGGAACAAAAAAACAAAACAAGCCAGGCATGGTGGCTTATGCCTAAAATCCCAAGATTTTGGGAGGCCAAGTTGGGAGGATCACTTGTGACCAAGAGCTCAAGGCCAATCTGGGCAACATAGTGAGATCCTGTCTCTACAAAAACAAAACAAAGAAACAAAAAGTAGCCAGGTGTGGTGGCACATGCCTGTAGTTCTAGCTACTTGGGAGGCTGAAGTGGGAGGATCACTTGAGCTTTGGAGTTCAAGGCTGCAGTGAGCTATGATGGTGCCATTTTTTTTTTTTTTTTTTTTGAGACAGAGTCTCACTCTGTTGCCCAGGCTGGAGTGCAGTAGTACAATCTCAGCGCATGGCAGCCTGTCTTGCGAGTTCAAGTGATTCTCCTGCCTCAGCCTCCCAAGTAGCTTGGATTACAGGCGCCCACCACAACGCCCAGCTAGTTTTTGTATTTTTAGTAGAGACAGGGTTTCACCATGTTGGCCAGGCTGGTCTCGAACTCCTGACCTCAGGTAATCTGCCCGCCTTGGCCTCCCAAAGTCCTAGGATTACAGGCATGATCCACTGCACCCAGCCAAAACCCTGTCTCTTAAAAACAAAACAAAAATTCATATTGATGGCCCTTAACCTCAGAATTTTCAATAGAGTAGGTGTGGGATGGGGCACAATAATTTGCATTTCTAACAAGTTCCCACTATTTCGCTAAAGGGATGAAGTTCTTTTTCATCTGTAAGGCAAGGTTGGGCTCCATTGCCCTCTGCTGGCCAGACTATAAATTTAATTGCCATGTTTCGAGAGCACCTGAAAAGCACAAAGTATGAGTTGGAAGGAAAGAGAGTGGTCACCCGTCTGAGAACTAGGCTGGCCTACAAACAGCAATCATAAGTGTTTGTAGTTTCAGAGTGTGCTTAAAGGGTTTTCACATAAATAATCCTATTAAATTTTTGCAACAATCCTGTGACATAAGCAACAGTGGCATTTTCATTTTACAAATGAGGAAAAACTAGCCCATTGTCACATCAGTCATGAGAGACTCCCTGACAGAGGGAGAGTGCTAAAAGTAATTCACTGTACAATCAGGAAAAGTAAAGGTTTGTCCTCATGAAGGCCAAAGAAAAGGGAACAGGGAAAAAGAAAATGAACAGCAGATGTACCTTCTGTAAGAGAGCTATCTGAGGCCAGCCTCAGTGGCTCACACCTGTGATCCCAGGATTTTGGGAGGCCAAGGCAGACAGATCACCTGAGGTCGGGAGTTCGAGACCAGCCTGGCCAACATGGTGAAACCCCGTATCTACTAAAAATACAAAATTAGCTGGGCCTGGTGATGCTACCCGGGAGGCAGCAGCAGGAGAATCCCTTGAACCCAGGAGGCGGAGATTACAGTGAGCCGAGATTGCACCGTTGCACTCCAGTCTGGGCAAAAAGAATGAAACTCCATCTTAACAAACAAGTGCTCGCTTCCGCAGCACATATACTAAAATTGAAACTCCATCTTAACAAACAAACAAAAATGAGCTAACTGATTCCACAAGGCCAGGGAAGCCTGCTGCAAGGCCAAATGGCTCTATCCTCTCGCCATATGTGCGAGCTGGTGCTGACTCTTAGTCTGGGTGCCCCATAACTCCATTTCTTATTGCAGCAGTCAGACTCAAATGTCAGTAGAATCACCCAGGGAGCTCATTACAAGTGAGGGTTCCTGGGTCCCACTTCCATGCTTCTGATTCAGTAGGGCTGGGGCAGGAGCCCAGGAATATGCATTTTAAGACCTACAGGTCGGTATTGTGGCTCACACCTGTATTCCCAGTCCAGGAGTTCTAGACCAGCCTGGGTAACATAGCAAAACCCCATCTCTACAAAAAAAAAAAAAAAAAAGTTTAAAAAGTTAGCCAGGCATGGTGGTATATGCCTGTGGTTCCAGCTACTTAGAAGGCTGAGGCAGGAGGATCACTTGATTTTTTAATTTTTTTAAAACTTACCCCCAGGTGTTTGGGCATAGTGGCTCACGCCTGTAATTCCAGCACTTTGGGAGGCCAAGGTGGGGGGATTACCTAAGGTCAGGAGTTCAAGACCAGCCTGACCAACATGGTGAAACCCCATCTCTGCTAAAAATACAAAAGTTAGCTGGGCATGGCAGTGGGCACCTGTAGTCTCAGCTACTTGGGAGGCTGAGGCAGGAGAATCACTTGACCCTGGGAGGTGGAGGTTACAGTGAGCCAAGATTGCACCACTGCACTCCAGCCTGGGCGATAGAGATTCTGTCTCAGAAATAAATAAATAAATAAAACTTACCCCCAGGAATCAGGAACCCACAAAATGCTCTCTGGACATACCACAAAATGTGAAGGACTATTATTTGTCTGTGAGGGTATTCTTTCCCAGCCCCTCTCTAGGTTTCTCTGCTTCTCTCACCCATATATCTTACTGGGTTATGATAGAAACATGCTAGGATTCACTCCGCATTGGCTCTCTCCAAGCCTCAGTTTTCTCGTCTATAAAACGAGGTAATGCCTAGCTTACTGGGCTGTAGAGAGGATGACACGAGAAGGTATGTCTTGTGCAAAGTTCCTGACTTTCAGGAGGTGTTCAATAAAAATGAGTTCCTCGTTCTTGCCTTCTGAGTCCTAGCTGCTTGAAAAGTGGCAGTGACTAAGCCGGGCTCTTTTGGATTCCCACAGGTTTTTAAGCAACAGTCCTCAGGAGGGCCAAGAGATACTCACGGTGATGTCTTCCCCCAGACTCATTCCCCTGTGGAAAGATTTAAAACTTCTCCTAAATGACGTCATAAATAAAAGCAAGGTAATATATATGTAGGACATAAATGTATTATGGGTTGGCTGCTACCTGTCTTACAGTAATAAGCATTTAGAAGAGCCACAGATTGTCCTTGAGAACAGGAAGCAAACAGGGTATACCATAAAGACAATCATCCCCTTCCTTAGTAGGAAGTAGGCCATCAATTTCCATGAGTCACAGATCTCTCACAAGGACTTTTTCTTTTTTTTTTTTTTTGAGACGGAGTCTTGCTCTGTTGCCCAGGCTGGAGTGCAGTGGCATGATCTTGGCTCACTGCAACTTCCGCCTCCCAGGTTCGAGCAATCTTCTGCCTCAGCCTCCTGAGTAGCTGGGATTATAGGCGTGCACCACCGTGCACAGCTAATTTTTATATTTTTAGTAGAGATAGTGTTTCACCCTGTTGCCCAGAATGGTCTCAAACTCCTGAGCTCAGGTGATCCACCTGCCTCAGCCTCCCAAAGTGCTGGGATTACAGGCGTGAGCCACCACACCCAGCCTCACAAGGACATTTCAATAGTGGAAAGTATACACACTGGAGCATTGTCAGAGGAACTGACCTTCTGTAAACAGAGATTTTCTAAAACAGGAGGAGGCACCAGAGAGAACCACTGCCAATCTGTTTTGCTATAGTTGGCTCTGCATAAAAGGATCCCAGGGCCAGCCATGGTGGCTCATGCCTGTAATCCCAGCACTTTGGGAGGCTGAGGCAGATGGATCACCCGAGCTCAGGAGTCTTGAAACCACCCTGGGCAACGTGGTGAAACCCCATCTCTACTACTAAAAATACAAAAAAATAGCCAGGTGTGGCAGTGGATGCCTGTAGTCTCAGCTACTCAGAGGCTGAGGCAGGAGAATCACTTGAACATGGGAGGTGGAGGTTGCAGTGAGCTGAAATCAGACCACTACACTCCAGCCTGGGACCACAGAGGGAGACCCTGTCTTAAAAATAAAAAAAGGATATCAGATGCATATTTGATAGCATATGCTCTATCACTGTGGGATAATATGTTGTATACATGTTTATTCTCTGTCAGATTTAAAGGCCAGACAGGGTGTCCCAAGAATCTTACTTAGTGCAGCTTTAAGCTTTAGTAACTTAGAGCTGCACTGACTTTGGGAGACTCTGCTATATTCCATGTGGGTGTAAGGTGATGTACTTGTCTGAGTACTCTGTTAAATATTGTATCTTTTATGGTACGTGTACTTTCTAGACACAAGTAAGAATGTTAGAGGAGGCTGGATGTGGTGGCTCATGCCTGTAATCCCAGCACTTTGGGAGGCTGAGGTGGGAGGATCACCGGAGGTCTGGAGTTTGAGACCAGCCTGGACAACATGGTGAAACCCCATCTCTACTAAAAATACAAAAAAAAAAAATTAGGCTGGGCATGGTGGCTCACGCCTGTAATCCCAGCACTTTGGGAGGCCACGGTGGGTAGACTATGAGGTCAGGAGTTTGAGATTAGCCTGGCCAATATGGTGAAACCCCATCTCTAGTAATAATACAGAAATTAGCCGGGTATGGTGGCATGCACCTGCAGTCCCAGCTACTCGGGAGACCAAGGCAGGACAATCGCTTGAACCTGGGAGGTGGAGGTTGCAGTGAGCTGAGATTGTGCCACTGCACTCCAGCCTGGGCAACAGAGTGAGACTCCGTTTCAAAAAAAAAAAAAAAATGTTAGAGGACAGGAGGCATGGCTAACTTCATGTTGGAAAGAACATCATTTTTCCCTGTGTTCACACTAGAAGATTTGCCCACAGAGGCCCTGCAGAGTTGGGTTCCTTCATGCATTGGAGGATTTGTTACATGGTTGTGAAGTATAACTGTCCCACAGGTGGTAAGTTGTACACAGGTGAGTGGAACAGGAGTAGGTCCTTCAGGTGGGAGGCATGACTTTGGGAACTGCTCCAGTTGTGACTTGTGCAAGAAATCTATGTAGTGCCTGTGTGCCCTGCCCTCTTAGTTTATGCCACGCCTCTCTCCAGCAACCTTTAGAAGACCCAAAGAATTACCTAGTTGTGCTGAGCGACCAGTCCCAGATACTGTTCAAAGAATCTCGCTATCCTCAAAATATGCCGTGTGTATGCTGTTACTTCAGTGATGCCTACTTCTTCGCCTCCCTCTCTTGGGTGACAACGAACACAAAAGAAATACAGGTAAGACTGCCTTCCTTTCCCTCCTCCTTCCCCTTCTTGGCTCATTCTCCAAGGGCGATGCCTATGGAGCTCTTAACCCAGATTGACAAAGGAAGATATTCCCCATGAATAAATGTGCTCTGAAACCAGGAATCCCCCCTCATCCTTTCTCCAATTATAGTCCCCAAGTTAAGTAGGCTTCATGGTTCCCCTAAAGTAGACCAAGGTTAGGAAAAAGGTCCTAGAATCCTCTACCGTACTTCCAATTCCCATCACCAAGGGATAAAATCTCACTCTAGCATCCTCTAATTCCTCCTTAGCACAAAACATGGGGAAATACAGGAACATTCTGTCCTTTCCTCCTCTACTATCATCTCTAGGCAGTTTCTATCTCATTCTCTTCTAGGCTGTAGTATGGATGAAGAGCAAAACTGAGGACATAGTTGAGAAGAGAACATTCTCCATGACTGAACGATTGCCACCCATCCAGTCTATGGTGCACACAGGTTCCTTTCATATCCTTGTGGTCTACTGTGGCGACCTGATCCTGCGACTCTTTGGGGACCACTTTCGGGCATTCAAACCCCTAGGTAAAGTGCCCTGCCGCTTCAACATCAGCTGCCTCTGCTATGACCCGGAAATGAAGATGCTGCTGTCCGGTATCCTGGGGGCAGTGGTCACCTGGGTCATTGAGCAAGGTGGCACGGGCCTCCAAATAGCCCACATAGTCTCCATGCCAGGTGATGAGCTTGTCCAGGACATCGTGCTAAATGGTCCCAATGGCTCCCTCTTGGCCCTGTGTGAGACGGTGGTGAGGGTCCTTATGCGCCAGGGCAAGGGCCAGCTGGGGGAGGTGAAGAGATTCACATCCACCAGCAGTGGCTCCTCCATCACCTGCTGCTTCACCTGTTTTGATCAGGGCTTTTTCTATGTTGGAAACCAAGCTGGGGAAATCCAAGTTTGGAGCCTCCATCAGGGCCATCCACTCCACAGTTTCCAGGCCCATAACTCATCAGTGATCTGCATCCATAGCCGACCAGAGGCCCACACCCTGCTAACAGCTGGAAGTGACAGCCTAATCAAGGAGTGGAACCTGACTTCAGGGAGCCTGCTCCGGCGGCTAGAGCTTGGCGAGGAGCTGTACCAGCTCCAGTTTATTGACAGCATTACTTTCTTCTGCCAAACTGCCCACAGTTTTTCCTTGCGCCGCCTACCCTGCTTCTACAGCCTCTTCAATGTCTGTGGCTCTGCTCCCCAGCAGTTGCGTCGGGTCTGCTGTGGGGATAACTGGTTCCGGATCCTGTGTACTACTGAGGATGGCTTGTTGCGCTTTGTGTCCCCAATAACAGGGGATCTTCTGGTTATCACCTGGCCCTTCTCAATCCTGGACCAGGCTGTGGATTGGGCCTACGACCCAGGTAAAGAGGAGCTCTTTGTAGCAACAGGCAGCTCCGAGGTGCTGGTATTTGACACAACCCGCTGCCCTTGCCCAGCCAAGTATCTCTTATGCACCTCCCCAAATTCTCAGGACTTTGTACAATGCCTGGCTTACGGGCATTTCAAATTGGGGCAGGGCCTGGAGGGACTGATATTCTCTGGGCACCAGAGTGGTGTGATAAGAGTGCTCTCCCAGCACAGCTGTGCCCGATTAGAAAAATTCATGCACTTTGGTGCTGTACTGGCACTCTCCACACTGTCTGGAGGGATTATGGGTGGCCAAAGAAACTCTCTGCTCTGTTCCTATGGAATGGATGACTATGTGCACCTGTCAGAAGTGGTGCTTGGTGGGGTCAAAGTGCATCTGCGACCTCTCGCCAGCATTCTCAGCAGCTGTCACCTCACACATCTGATACTCTTGCCCAAGTCTGTGGGTGCCATCACAGAGACAAACTGCCTGCGTCTCTGGAAGTTCCATGATTTTATGTCCTTTGGGTCACAGGATGGCTTGAAATTTATAGAAACACTGCCTCTGCACCAGTGTGCCATCACATCCTTTGATGTCTGCCTGTCCTTGAGTCTTTTCGTCACAGGTTCTATCGATGGCTCTGTTCGGATCTGGGACTTCCAGGGCAGACTCATAGCCATTCTGGACTCATCACTGCACTTTGGCCCACTCTGTTTTGCAAATGACCGGGGTGACCTGCTTGTGACTTTCAACCAGAGTCTTTACCTGGTGTCCTGTTTAAAATTGCTCCCCCCAGCCCTGCTGACTCACCTTTCCTATATGAGTTTACCAGATGAAGTACTGGAAGCCCCTAAGCCTTTCATACCAAGCTTCTTCTTCTCCTTTGAGACCATGTTTGTGCCCAAGTACATCTACCTTGGACAAGGGCAACAGAAATTAGTGGGTCTGGAGAAACTTGTCAACAACCGAGCCATTGCCTTTGACCATTCTGTGCCACATGTGATAGAAGAAGATGAGAAAGGGAGCCCAGTGTTACTGTGTTCCTCCATGCATTATTCTTTGCAGAACATGGAAGACTGGATGCAGATGAGCAAACGTTACCGCCACCATTATGTGCTTCCTCCCCAACTACAACTGACTAGCTGGGATGGACTCAACCCCTATCAGATATTGCGATACTACTTTGGTCATGGGCGGGAATGGCTTTTGGCCCCTGATTGCTATATCCCCAATTCGGTGATTCGTGCTCGTCTTTGGCCAGAGGGCACCCCAATATACCTACAGTGCAACCTGCATGCACCCCAGCGGGAGTTGGAATGGGACAGGTTTCAAGAATTCTTTTTCTGGCACAGCAGGGTAAGAGCTATAAGCAATATAGAATATTCAAAGAAGGAGGAGGATGAACACTTCCTAGAAATGAGACTTTCTAAGGATGTAACCTACAGTGTCCTTATAGATAGAGCAAACCGAAGTTGGCTGGGAAGAAAGATGAGTGAAATAGCCATTAATAGCATGATTGAGACAATGCTCAATATTATGATCCATGCTTCCTCACTGAAGTACCAATCCTGTGTTGCTGCACTAGGGCAAATCTTTGCCTCTTACCAGGTGTCTCCAACCCTACGCTCTGAGACAGCCCGTAGGCTACTGGATGATACAACCAATTCCAACCCACTGATCCGAGAACTAGCTTGGGAAGGGTTGAAGCGTCTAGGAATGATTACTCATCTTTTTGCCGTGCCTCTGGCTCAAGGATTAATGGACAAGGATGAAAGAGTGAGGAACAAAACCCTCATGCTCATGGCTGAGATTGGAATCCATTCTAGGACCTCACTCTTACAGCTGATCCAGAAACCAGAGACTTTTCAGGAGATGCAGTAAGTTTGTGCTTTTCCTTCAGTTCTTTACCCCATTCCCCATTTCCCCCCTCCTTTTCTTTGCTATCTCTTCACCCTGTTCATTAATTCTCTGTGACCTTTCTTCTTTCTCATAGTCTTTGCTCATTCCTAGATGACTATCCTTGACAATCCCCTGACCGCTCACTCTTCTTCCTCCTCCTTTTTTTTTTGAGACAGGGTCTCACTCTGTTGCTCAGGCTGGAGTATAGTGGTATGATCTTGGCTCACTGAAACCTCTGCTTCCCAGGCTCAAGCAATCCTCCTGCCTCAGCCTCTTGAGTAGCTGGGGCTACACACATGCAACACCACACCAGGTAACATTTTGTAGAGACAGAGTCTCACTATATTGCCCAGGCTGGTCTCGAACTGGGCTCAAGCAATCTCCTGCCACCTTGGCCTCCTGAAGTGCTAGGAGTACAGGTATGAGCCTCCTCGATAATGCATGGAGGAACACAGTAACACTGGGCCACTGTACCTACCTCCTTTCTCCATTGCTTTTCCTATGTGTCCTTTTCCTATGCCTACAGCCTCCAATATAGATCATTCTGTTCGTTGCCATCTTGGCTTCCTAGATGCTTTCTTTCATCTCAGCCATTATTTTACTCTATATATGCCATCTCTCTTGGCCACTGTGTCAAGTCTCCTGCCTGTTCCACAGCCGTTCTTTTCTCCCCATTCTCCCTTTTGTTCCTGACTCAGCATAATCCTTCTTCTCTTTTGACTTTCATAGGCAGGAGATGATCGGGGAGGAACACTTGGACCATCTGCTGGGGATGCGGGCCACAGATCTCCAAATCCTTTACACTCAAGTGGAGCAGAGATTGAATGAAAATCTGACCTTGTCAAGTAGTGATGAAAAGCCGGCTTTTTCTTTAGATGTCTCAAAACTTTCTGAGCTTAAATCCTTTCCCATGAAAGCCCCAACAAGTTCTGAAGAACCTGAAGTAGCCGTTAAGCCAAGCAAAGGCAAACGACGAGGCCAAGCAGGGAGCAAAAAGCATAGTATGTAAGGGGTAATCTGGTCCATGCCTCAGGGTCCCCAAGAGGCAGGGTAGTTAGGGTTAAAGTGGATCAAGAGATACCAGGTGGGCTGGCTGGACACAATGGCTCATGGCTGTAATCCCAGTACTTTGGGAGGCTGAGGCGGGCAGATTACTTGAGGTCAGGAGCTCAAGACCAGCCTGACCAACATAGTGAAAACCTGTCTCTACTAAAAACACAAAAAGTATCCAGGCATGATGGTGGGTGCCTGTAATCCCTGCTACTCAGGAGGCTGAGGTGGGATAATCACTTGAACCCAGGAGGTGGAGGTTGCAGTGAGCTGAGATGGCACCACTGTACTTCAGCCTGAGCAACAGAGCAAAACTCTGTCTCAAAAAAAAAGATACAAGGTGGGAAGAGAGATAAGTGGAAAGATCTCATTATAGACACTCTTCTAAGAAGGATCCACTCAAACTCAGGAAGACTCTAAGGCCCAGCTCTCTAGGATTTGGCAGGAGTTGGGGGATAGGAATAAAGCAAAAAGAATGCTTTTTTTTTTTTTTAAAGTCCTCAGCCTTCTCTGTTGGTACTTTTTTTTATGGCAGCTCTTCTTAGCTCACATCTGATATTGGGAAGGGTTTCATTTGGCTTCCCAGGGTTTGCTTACCTCCATCTCTCGATTTTTCCTGCAGGCCGGAAATGGTTGCGAGGTCTCAAGAAGATGAAAGAGAGAGGCTCTAAACATATGGGAAGAGAGCTGGGTCTCTTAGAGGATGAAAGTGGGACTGAGGCTGCACCAATTGAGATGGAGGACGTATCCATCCATTCCAAATGGTCTTTAACCACCAGTGTAAGCACGCTCTTAAAAGATGTTGACTCTCAAGAGAAAGATATCTCACAGGATCGCATTGCACTGACCCTGAAGAGGCTGAGGAAAATACGTGACAAAAGAGACAAGAAAGCAACAGCTCAGAAACCCAAAAAGAAGCACAAGAAGAAGGGAGAAGCCCAAGTTATAACTGGGGAACCTCCTGTAGTAGAACAGCCAGTTATTAAAAAGTTTAAACTTCAAGGGCGGGGAGCCTCTGGAGTGTCTGGCCGCAGACCTACCACTGGAGGTGGCTCAACATGGCGGGATGATCTATGTCATCTTATGACCCTGAGGATATCTGGTTCCCAAACAGAAATGTCAGAAAATCTAACCACTGAGCTAGTGAAATTTGCTCAGGAGACGCTGGTAGATAGGCACCCCAGCTGGGAACTCTTTCAGGAGATCTGCCCCCTCTTGAAGAAAGAAAGTAAGGTTCTGCTTGAGGACCTTGATTGGGATGCAGTCCCGCCGGAAGAAAAACCAAGTTTTACTTATGAAGGAGCAATTAGAGAGGACATGACACGAGATGTGATGCAAGAAGTGATCAGACATAAGGAAGTGCTACCAAGGGATGAGGAACAAGCACAAAAGACAGCGAAGGACATGCCGGGCTTGGAGGAAACCCAAGTGATTTTGAAAAAAAGCAAGAAAAAGAAAGTTATTTTTTTAGAACCAGGTGACGTAACCAAGGAAAGACAAATACCAAGGAAAGAAGAGAAGAAAACGTTTCAGAAGTCACCTGAGCGAGAGAGGAAAGCTGTCCAGTGGGAAAGAAAAGCGGGAAAAATAAAGACGGAAATGACTAAAGAAGAGAGGGATATGAGTGAGGAAGTGAAGGAAACGGCCACACTTGAGGAGGAAGTGGTCGAACAAGAAGAAAGACCAGTTTTGACTAAGAGGACACCATCTTGGCAGGACTGGAAAAGGTCCTGGGATGAGTGGAAACAGGTCCATGGTAAGACAAGGAAATCCTGGAAGGCATGGAAGAAAGACTGGGAGAAGAGGCTTCTTCAGGAAGAGGAGAAACTACACCAGGCTGGAGAGAAGCTATCCCCAGAGGAGGAAATGCTTCAGGAGGATCAGAGAAAGCTGAAATGGAAGGAGTGGAAACAAGTCTGGGAAAATATGTTGTCATCTAAGTCCAAGGAGCAACCGTACGAGGATGAGGAAGTAGTGACTTTGGAGGAAGAAGTGTCTCAGGAGGGGGAAGAAAAAGAAGAGCAGGTCACAGAAGAGCAGAGACAGATCCAAGAAGAACACAAACAGGCCAGAATTCACAGGAAACAAGCCCAAGCTGAAAAAAAACGAGCCCAAGAAGAGAGGAAATTAGCACAAGAAGAAGAGAAACTTGCACAACAAGAGAGACAATTGGCCCAGGAAGAGAGAAAACTGGCCCAGGAGTATATCAAAAAAACCCAGGAGGATGGGAAAGTGGCCCAGGCAGAGGGTAAGTTTGCCCAGAAAGAGGAAACACTGGCCCATAGAGGGGAGGAGCTAAGCCAGGAGGCAGAGAACTTGGCCCGGCAAAGGAGGAAACTGGCCAAGCAACGCGAGAAAGTGGCTAAAGAAGAAGAGAAACTAGCAAAGAAAAGAGGGAAACTGGCCGAGGTAAAAAGCATATTGGTCCAGAAAGTGGAAGAAGTGGCCCAGAGGCAGCAAAATCTGGACAGGCAAAAGGAGCTGGCCCAGAAACTGGAGGAACTGGCATGGGACATGGAAGAACTGTCCAGGAAAGAAGAGAAAGTGAATCAGGAAGAGGAGACACTGACTGAAGAAAAGAAGATACTGGCTGAGGAAGAGGAGACATTGGCCTGGGAAAGGGAGAAACTGTCTGAACAAGAGCGAAAACTGGCCCAGGACAAGGAAAAAATGCCCGAGGGAGAGGAAAGACTGGCCTGGCAAAGGGAGCAACTGATGGAAAAGAAGGTGAAACTGGCCCAGAAAAGGGAAAGATGGACTAACCGCATGGAAGAACTCACAAAGAACAAGGCGATAGTGTACCAGAAGAAGAGGAATCTGGCTCAGGAGAAGAATAAATGGGCTCAGGGGGAAGAACATCTACTCTATGGCCAAGAAAGACTCACCCACAACAGAAAGCAATTAGCCCAAGTAAACGACAAATTGAAAATTTTCAAGAAGACACTGGCTCAGATGGAGGAGAAGCTGACACAGGAAAAGGAGACAGTGAGCAAGAAGAAGGAGAAACTGTCTAAAAGAGAGAAAAAATTGGTCCAAGTAGAGGATAGTCTGGCCGAGAAACAGGAGAAACTGGCTCACGAGAAAATGAAATCGGCTCTGGAGAAGGCAATGGTCCAAGGAAAGAAACGGCTCAGAGGAGAGCTGGATATTGCTAAGGAAGAAAAGGCATTGAACCTGGAAATGAAAAGACTGGCTGAAGAGAAGATGAGACTATTGGAGGGAAAGGAAGCTCTGTCTAAGGGAGAGACTCCCAACACTTCAAGACTAAGGAAAATGACTAAAGTTGAACAAGAACTAGTTGAGAGGAAATTGTCACTAGAGGAGAAGATACTGCTACATGAAGACAGGTTACTGGCCATAGAGAAAAGGGAAATTGCCAAAGGAAAACTGGAATTTACTAGAGTACAGAGAATATATGCCCAGGAGCAAAGGAAGTTAGCCAAGGATGCAAGGATGTTGATTAAAAAAAAGGAGAGCCTTTCCAAGGAACCAGCAAAACTGAACAAAATCTTAAAGGCACTTCAAAAACTAATCAGGGATGAAAGGACACTAACCGAAGAAGAAATAAAGGTGACAAAGATAAGGAGGTCATTCTTTGCTAAAGAGAGCAGATTGAATAAAGAACAGAGTAAACTGGGTATCAAAGGGTGGGGTTTTTCTGAGAAACAATCAGAACTGACTAAAGATGAAAAAAAACTGACTCGGAAGCAGAGAAAACTGGCCAAGGAAATGAGAAGAATGATAAAAAAAGAAGAAAAAATAACTGAGGAAGAGAGCAGATTGGCCAGAGCACATTCAGAAGTCATACTGGATGATGAAGTGGAAGGAGGAACAGAAGAAGAAGAGGTAATCCCATTCCTTAAACAAAGGTGGAGAAAGAAGAAAGAGGCCAACGAAGTTGATGAACCAAAGGAAAAGTTTCCCAGTCAAGTGGATGAGGTGGAAAGTGAAGAGCATTTTTATGAAGAAATGGAAAGCCTGTTAGATGAACTAGAGAAGCAAGAGAGTTTGTCTTCTGAGGAGGAGGAGGAGGAGGAGGAGGAGGATGAAAGGGATGAAGAGGAGGAAGAAGAAAAGGAAGAGGAAGAAGGGGAGGTGGAGGAAGAGGAGGAGGAGGAGAAGAGAAAGAAGAAAAAGGAAAAGAAGGAGGAGGAGTTTCAGGAGAAGGAAGAAGTGTTTGAGGAGAAAGAAGAAATTATGAGTGAGGAAGAGTTAGAAAGTTTGAGTGACAAGGAAGAGGAAGAGGAGAGCAGCTCACTGGAAGAAGAGGTAGACGAGGAAAAAGAGATCTTAAAAAGAGAAAAACTATTTAAGTTACAAGACCAAAGAAGAAAGAGCCTAAGAGGAAGGGAAAAAGTCCCTTCCATTGGAAAAGGAGTTTCTCATGTCAAAGGCAGGGCTATGAGACTAAGAGTTCTAAAAAGCCCTTTGAAGAAACTGGTGTCAATAGCTCTGGAGATGAGAGAGAAAACACCAGTGCCAGTGCCGGAGAAACAAATATCCTGGGAAGATAAAAAGGCCACAGTAGTTGCAATACCCAGGAAATTCTCCGGGACAATGGATAAAGAAAGAGAAGTGTTGGGAAAATATGAGCCCATACCTCCCCCTGTTTCGGGTACAGTTTTAGAGTCCCAAGAACAGGACTTAAAAATCCCATTTATGGCCCACATATTAAGGAAGACCATCGATGCTCAGGAACTCCAGTGCAAACCACTAGGTCCCCAGTGGAAGTGGCTTTTGCAGCATCTGTCTCTGCTGGGACAGACTGAGGTGCAGTTACCTCTGTCCCAAATCCGGGCTAAGGAACAACATGCAGACATAAGCCTCTCAGATGTAGAGTGGATCTGCCATGTCCTAGAACGAATGGAAGCAGGAGAAGAGCTTTCCAAGGACAGTTTCCACAGACTGTGCCAGCTCCTCAAAGACCTCACCTCAAAGGGAAATTTAGAATGGCTGCATCTGGCCAAACTTGAAGCCATTGTGTACCGTCACAGGCAGGCCCTGGAGTCACAAGGCACAAGGATCTCAAAACCAAGTAGGGAGTCCATGAGTCCTAAATACCTGAAAGTGATTCCTCCTATACAGGCAAAGGAAAAGGAGAGCTGGCTAGAACCTCTGGCTATTCCCACACGAAAATCCCCATTAGCTACCAAGAGGATTCCAGACCCAAGGGCTAAAAATTGGCATCTTCTAGGAGAGCCTTACAGAAGTGAGAGGGCACAGCAGATATCCATGGTTCACAAGGAGATGGCAATGCAACACTTTCATCCTGCCACAGGAGACATTTTTCCAAGTATCTATGCCTCTGTGGAAAAGCAAACCCTGGCACTGATGTTTCAGAAGGACTTGCGGGATTTTAAGGATAAACGCAGGTTTCCCAAATTGCCCAAGTTGGAGAAGAAGACACAGCCCATTTCTAAAAAAAAGGAAAAGTTGCCTTTGTGGGAGACATTCGTGGCACTGTACCATGTTTTGCGGATGCTGCAGCAGAGATACGGAAAAGACAGCACTGCTTGGATGGAACAGTTCAACCAGCTCATGCAGCTGTACCAACTTAAGTCCCCCCGAATCCAGAGGCTTCTACTAGAGTTACTGCAGGGAGAGGAACTTCAACCCCAAGAGATCATCTACAAAGAGGCCCTAAAAGCCACAGAGCTAGTTCCCGGCGAACGGCTGCTCTACTGCCTGTTTTGTGGCGGCTCTCATACTGCTAGAGGCCCTCAGGAGTTCCAGGGTGTGGTACCCGTCCCTGGGCAGAACAATGTGCATACCATCCTTCCTGTGGGCATTGCCCAGTATGGGATCTTAGAACTTGCCTGGAAGAGCCTGCCCCAAGCTGATATTCACCTCACCAAGGCATTGATACACACTGTTGCTCCCACTCCCTAATTTGGAACAGACTGGAGGTAGGGACCTTTCATTACCAACTGGAGAAAGTCCTGGTCACCAGAATCTAGACCTTCAGATAACTTTTTTTTTTCTTTTTAGATGGAGTTTTGCTCTTGTTCCCCAGGGTGGAATGTAATGTCACAATCTTGGCTCACTACAACCTCCACCTCCCGGTTTCAAGTGATTCTCCTGCCTTAGCCTGAGTAGCTGGGATTACTAGCATGTGCCGCCATGCCCAGCTAATTTTGCATTTTTCGTAGAGACAGGGTTTCTCCATGTTGGTCAGGCTGGTCTCAAACTCCCAACCTCAGGTGATCCACCTGCCTCGGCCTCCCAAAGTGCTGGGATTACAGGAGTGAGCCACTATACCCGGACCTAGACCTTCATCTCTGGGCCCACACAAAGGTAGGGCCAGGTCAAAGCCCTTTCCCAGCTCTGGAAACACAGCTTCTATATGGGGAATAAAGAGGAGGTTCTTGTTTGTAACAAGCACTTTGATGTGTTCTTTCCCCCCAAACTGGTTCCCCAGGAAGGTAGCCAGGGAAACCATTTACTCATACTCCTGAGATGGAGGAAGCATCCCAAAAGACAGTGGTGCTCACCGTGTGGATGGTTGAGGCAGAGGAGTCTGTCCTTGACCTCTTCATACCTTCCCACCATCCCCTCCAAGAACTCTAAGAGGGAAAGTACCAGGCACAAAAGCTAATGTATATTTGGCATGAATATGAGAGGTACTGATATCATGCAAAGAGAATGGGCTTTAGAATCAGAAGACGCAATATTTTATCCCTTAGTATTTGGGGGCCTACAGTGGGGCTGACTCTATTTTTCTGATTGTAGTTCTGCATGCTGATGATTTGAGTCCCAGATAACAGGAATACTGGGTGTTGAGGAGGCTCTCAGAGTAAAGGAATAATCTTCAACAAGTTTTAGCCAGTACCACCACCATCTGATTACTGGATTTTTCTGATAGCTCAGGGTTTCCATAATCTAAGGTCTAGATGTACTTCAAGAGTCCATGAAGCGCTTCAAATTGAATGAAAAAAAGTTGTTGGCATGTGTTAGGTACTTTTTTTCTGCTGAGAAAAAGTCTGTAGCTTTTATCAGAGTCTTAATGAGGCTCCTGACACAAATACATGAAATCAACACTTAAGGAGACAGCACAGGGCTTTAGCTCAGACATTGCCAATCATCAGTTGAATGACCTTCAACAAGTAATGGCCTTACTGGGCCCTAGTTTTCTAATTTTGTTTGTTTGTTTTTGTTTTTTAAGACGGAGTCTCACTCTGTCACCCCGGCTGAAATGCAATGTTGCGATCTCGGCTCACTGCAACCTCCGCCTCCCGAGTAGCTGGGACTAAAGGCACTCACCACCATGCCTGGCTAATTTTTGTATTTTTAGTAGAGACAGGGTTTCACCATTTTGGCCAGGCTAGTCTCGAACTCCTGACCTTGTGATCCACCTTCCTTGGCCTCCCCAAGTGCTGGGATTACAGGCACACACCACCATGCCTGGCTAATTTTTAGTAGAGATGGGGTTTTACCATGTTGGTCAGGCTGATCTCAAACTCCTGACCTCAGGTGAACCGCCCACCTCAGCCTTCCAAAGTGCTGGGATTACAGGCGTGAGCCACCGTGTCCGGCCAGGTGGGAAGCTTTTAATATGGGAGTGTAAACCAAAATAAAATTCTAAGCTCCCAGCCAACTGAATGGACCCTTCCTCTTGGCCAAGGGCGTTCTAAGGTATACCTGAAACACTAGTTCCAGCAATGATGGTCAGACATGTCTCATTATACCTTCCTTTCTTTGGAATTCAGGTACAGCTGACCAGCATTAACACCGAAACAGAGACCTTAAGACTGACAAAGCATACCCTTTGTAGCAATAAGATACCAACATGGGCCAGGTACAGTGGCTCACACCTGTAATCCCAGCACTTTGGGAGGCCAAGACAGGTGGATCACAAGGTCAGGAGATCAAAACCATCCTGGCCAACATGGTGAAACCCCATGCCTACTAAAAATTAAAAAATTAGCTGAGTGCAGTGGCAGGTGCCTGTAATCCCAGCTACTCAGGAGGCTGAGGCAGGAGAACAGCTTGAACACAGGAGCTGGAGGTTGCAGTGAGCTGAGATCATGCCACTGCACTCCAGCCTGGTGACAAAGTGAGACTCCATCTCACAAAAAAAAAAAAAAAAAAAGATACCAACATGACAGACAGCAGACCCTGAAAGAAATGGAAGTATTTTATCCTAAAATACGTTTCTTTGACATATTTTGAAATGGCCCTGCAAAGCTGATTCTTGTGGGGCAAATTGACACATTTTGTAGAAAATCCCCTTCCCTTTCCAGGTCTTTTGCCTGATTCAAGAGAGAATTAACTAAGAATCTGGCATCTTTCTAAGTCTGATAAAAAAACATGTACAAATCTATTATCTCTGAGACCTGCTACCTGGACACTTCATCTGCATAGTAGGAATCTTGGTCTCCACAGCCCCTTATATTAACCCAGACATTCCTTCTATTATTGATCGCAGGTCTTTAGATAAACTCTTTCAACTTCCAGTCAGAAAATCTTTGAACCCACCTATGACCTGGAAGTCCCCCACTTCCAGTTGTCCAATCTTCCCAGACTAAACCAGTCTAATCTTCTATGTATGATGCTTTATGTCTCCCTAAAATGTATAAAATCAAGCTGCAGCACAGTCACCTTGGGTGCATATTGTCAGAAACTCCTAAGGCTGTATCACTGGCCATGGTCACTCATATCTAACTCAGAATGAATCTCTGCAAATATTTTACAGAGTTTGACTCTTTCTGTCGAGAGGAGACATTTAAGGATTTTTTTAAGAGTTAAAGAGGAAAGACAGGCCCAGCTTGGCGCGGTGGCTCACGCCTGTAAATCCCAGCACTTTGGGAGGCCGAGGCGGGTGGATCACGAGGTCAAGAGATCAAGACCATCCTGGTCAACATGGTGAAACCCCGTCTCTACTAAAAATACAAAAAATTAGCTGGGCATGGTGGTGTGTGCCTGTAATCCCAGCTACTCAGGAGGCTGAGGCAGGAGAATTGCCTGAACCCAGAAGGCAGAGGTTGCGATGAGCCAAGATCATGCCATTGCACTCCAGCCTGGGTAACGAGCGAAACTCCGTCTCAAAAAAAAAAAATAAACAAAAATAAAAAAAGGAAAGACACACAAAAGGTAGCTCAACAGTCAAAGACAGGTTTATTTTGGGACAATAAACCTGAGAGGGGCTTCTGGCTGATTTGGTCAGGAGCATTCTCTCTTACAGACTAAGTATTTATTGGTAAGAGAGCTTGGAATGTTTCTGTGTCGGGATGAAGTTTACAGTGGGGTTGGAATGACTCTGGTTAGAGGGGAGGTTATCTTGGGGTTATCTCTCCCAGCCAGTTGGGAGGGGAGGTTATCTTAGGGCTGGCATGTCTCTGGTTGGGGAGGGGTTTGGAATGTTTCTGGTTGAAGATGTTATTTGTGGTTTATGGTCATGCTGACCTCAGCCATTAGGCTGATGCCCTTTGGATTTAGGCAGGTTTTGATCAACGTGAACTTAAAATGACAGTGCTTGTCCAAGGTAGCGATACTTCTGCTCTGTCATGTTTGTCATGCTGATGTGGCCAAATCATGGAGATGGTAAGTTCGAAGGTGTAGGATGAACAGGGGAATACTAGGAATACTGGTATAAGCCAGGTCCCTGATAAAGCAAGAGAGAATGGGGTCCAGAGTCCAGCTGGAAGAATTAGCTTTAGACAAGGGGAAAAGGATGTACCTTTCCAGCATAGTGAGGGGTATGAAAGAAAAACATCTTGGGCCCCCAGAATCACTAAGCTAAAGGGGAAATTCAAGCTAGGAACTGCTCAGGGCAAATCTGCCTCCCATTCTATTAAAAGTCATCCCTCTGCCGGGTGCAGTGGCTTGCACCTGCAATCCCAAAACTTTGGGAGGCCCAGGTGGGCAGATCACCTGAGGTTAGGAGTTCAAGACCAGCCTGACCAACATGGTAAAACCCCATCTCTACTAAAAATATAAAAATTATCCAGGCATGGTAGTGTGTGCCTGTAATCCCAGCTACTTGGGAGGCGGAGACAGAAGAATTGCTTGAACCCAGGAGGAGGAGGTGGCAGTGAGCTGATACCATGCCATTGCATGCTAGCCTGGGCAATAAAAGCAAAACTCCATTTCAAAATCAAAAGACAAACAAAATCATCCCTCTACTCACTGAGATAGATGTATATTCTGATTGCCTTATTTGAAAAGGCTTATCAGAAACTCAAAATAATAAAACCATTTGTCTATCTTACCTGTGACCTGCAAGCCCCCTCCCTGAGTTTTCCCTGCCTTTCTGGATGGAACCAATGTACTTCTTACATATATTGATTGACGTCTCATCTCCCTAAAATGTATAAAACCATGCTGTGCCTCGACCACCTTGGGCATATGTCGTCAGGACTTCCTGAGGCTGTGTCACGGGCACGTGTCCCCAGCCTCAGCAAAATAAACTTTCTGAATTAACTGTGACTTGTCTCAAATTTTGGGGGTTCACAGGAGGAAGAAAAGAGAGGTAAGTTTGTAGCTGTGACAAATGAGAAAAAAACAAAATTCTAAGTCTCCAGTGTACTGAATGGACTAAATCTTGGCCGAGGGAACCCTAGAGAAACCTTGGAAGGTGAGTTCATGGCCATAATAAGATGCGAGATCAGAGAGGTCTCGAACCCTTCCTTCATTAACAGTCATTAGACTTTCTTCCCTAAGGGCTAAACAGAACTCCTCCACAGCCCTCCATTTTTTGAGACAGGGTCTCCCTCTGTTGCTCAGGCTGAAGCACAGTGGCACAATCATGAATCACTACGGCCCTGACCTCCCAGGCTCAGGTGATCTCCCACCTCAGCCTCCTAGGTGCTACCATGCCTGGCTAGTTTCTTTGTATTTTTTAGTAGAGACAGGGTTTTGCCATGTTGCCCAGGGTGGTCTTGAACTCTTGGGCTCAAGTGATCTGCCCACGTTGACCTCCCAAATTTCTGGGATTACAGGCATGAGCCACCACATGGCTGGCCCTAAACCAGCCCTTTCAAAAGACTGCTGGCTTATCTTCCCTGGTAAAGAACAAAGACAAGATTAATCCGTTTGATTCCTTCACCCCTTCCTGAGACATGCTTCCTATTCTCCTTTTCTTCAAATGTACATATTGTCTTTTATAAAATGTAGATTTACTGGGCACTAACTAAAGTCTCACAATTATGTAATCATTTGTCTCACTGTGGGCCTCCCCCTGCCTCCTGCTTTAAGGAAAATATATAAACACTAAACCTCCTGAGAACCTGTTTGGAGGTTCTCCAAACAGCCGCAGATATTTCTGTGACTCACGTTTTTTTCTGGGGCGCACCCTCAGAAAAAGATGCTGAAGAATCCCAAAGTGCTGGGATTACAGGTGTGAGCCAGTGGATGTGACCCATATTCTATTTTTAGAGTGAAGTAAAAAGTTATGATCTGGGAGTTTGAAGGGAATAAGAAGAAATTTGATTTTGCAGGGCAATGATCTCCAAGGAGTACAATATTCTTCAGGAGTGTGGGCAGCCTGCAAAATGCAGGATCAGTGAATATTGTTGATTCAAAACAAATTTAGACTTGGATAAGGAAAGACCTTAGTTAAAAAGGTGTGGTGGCATGTACCTGTAGTCTCGTCTACTTGGGAGGCTGTGACAGAAGTATCGCTGGAGGTTATGGTCAAAAAGTTGGAAGCTTCCAGCACTCTGAGGCCAAGGTAAGCAGATTGCTTGAATCCAGGAGGTCAGTATCAGCCTGGGCAATGGCAAAACCCCATCTCTACCAAAAATAGAAACATTAGCAGGGCATGGTGGCACGTGCCTGTCGTCTGCAGTCCCAACTATTTGGGATTCTGCAGCAAGATTGCCTGAGCCCAGAAGTCCAGGCTGCAGAGAGCAGTGATTGCGTCACTGAACTCCAGCCTGGGAAACAAAGTGTTTCAAAAAAATGTTTATAGTGGGAAGCTTGAATTTAAAATTTCAGAGGGGACAGGGTGTAGTGGCTCACACCTGTAATCTCAGCACTTCGGGAGGCTGAGGCAGGTGGATTACTTGAGTCCAAGAGTTCAAGAGCAGCCTGGGCAACATGGCAAAACCCATCTCTGTAAAAAAAACATAAAAACTAGCTGGGCATAGTGGTGCACATCTGTGGTCCCAGCTACTCAGGAGGCTGAGGTGGGAGAATCACCTGAGCCCAGGAGTTGGAAGCTGCAGTGAACTGTGATTGTGCCAGTGCACTCTAGCCTGAGTGACAGAGTGAGACCATGTCTCCATAAATAAATAAAAGTGCAGAGGGAAATCATTCTGAGTAATACATTCCAGGGTGTGGGTGGCTGATGGGGAGTAAAAGTGAAGGTTGTGAGAGTTAGTGAATCCAGGGAACAGAAACCCATGTTCAGAGGGGCTCTCACTCAGGACAACTGCATACCAGTAGCTGCAGAGGAAGCACAGGAGCCAGGTATAAATCTGGCCTCTGAACAAGGGAGAGAATCATTGATACCACGCCATTCTCCTTTCAATAAGATCTGTCCCTTCCCCCAGAGGAGTGAGCCAAGCAGTCACGACCCTCCTTTGGGTTATTGTGTATACCAGATCCAAGCTAAGCCAATCAGCTTCTCCTTTTGAGGAATTTGGAATTAAAACTGAGAGCAACTGGTCAAACTCTGCTGGCTGCTTGAACCGAGGAACTGTACCATTGGGCTGGAATCTCCCTATTTGGCCACGTGCATGCAAATAGGCTGAAAAAGCCAATATATGGATATACAGATATATAGAAAGGGAATGAGAGGGAGTGAAGGAGAGAGGCTTCTAAAGAGAAACATCAGATTATCTACAAAGGAACAAGGTTCAAACTGACATCAAATTTCTTTGTAGCCATCCTGGATGCAAGTAGACCAGGGAGTAAAATATGGAAGGGAAAGAATTGTGAACCAAGAAATTTACAACCATATTGTCAATCAATGAAGACTCTAAAAAAAAAAAACTTCATTTAAATCGAGCGTTAAGGGAATGCAATATTTAAATCAAACTCTGCCAATGCTTATCTCTAGAGGCTTGTTGCCATTTTTGTCTTCTATGGAATTTTTGTCCCAAGAAAGGCAGGATTACATTTTTTTTCGAACAGATTGAGCTGCTGTAGTGTATTCTTAGTTATCAAAATACTCATATAGCTTGGGGATTTTTGAATTTATAAATATTCATAATGTGTGAAAAAGCATGATACACACTGTACGATCTCTATCCCATAAAATTAAACGTGACTATACACACATAGGACCTAGAAGGACACGTCAAACTGTAAAGTGCTTATGACTGTGGATGACTTTGTTCTTTGCTTCTTGTGCTTTTCAGTTTCCTATAGTGCATACATTAATTTTTTAAAAATAAAAGTTATTTTTAAAACATGAAAAAAATAACTTTGAACTCGCAAGACCTCTCAAAGATTGCCACAGAGGCCCATTTTGAAAGGGGTTTGCAAGAAGGACCAAAAAAAAGAAAGAAAGAAAAAGAAAAATTCTATGGATGCTGCAGAAAAAAATGGAAAGAGGCCAGGCACGGTGGCTCACGCCTGTATTCCCAGCACTTTGGGGGGGGGTCAAAGTGGGGGGATCACTTAAGGTCAGGAGTTTGAGACCAGCCTGGCCAATGTGGTAAAACCCTGTTTCCACTAAAAAGACTAAAATTAGCAGGGTGTGGTGGTGTGCGCATATAATCCCAGCTATTCGGGAGGCTGAAGCATGAGAATCACTTGAACCCAGGAGGCAGAGGTTGCAGTGAGCTGAGATCGCACTTCAGCCTGAGCTACAAAGCAAGACTCCGCATCAGGGAAGAAAAAAAAAAAACCCAAAAAACCAAAAAATGGAAAGAAAGGGTGATTTATTTTGGTAATGATTTTGGTAACTGTTCCTTATTATTGCCACACTAATAAGGCTAGGATCAAATGAAATAAAGGGAACATTCATAACTCTAAAATAAAATTCTGGACAGTATCAATATGAATGGAGGGGACAAGGATAGGAGAAGAGCAGAGGGACACAAGGATCATGCTAAAGTATCTGTCCTGTTAGAGATGATGTTGTCAACTTACTGCCTCTCAGGCCGGGCACGGTGGCTCACGCTTGTATCTTTGGGAGGCCAAGGTGGGTGGATCACTTGAGGCCAAGAGATCCCAGGCGGGCAGGGGAGGAAGAGCCCCATTTTAACAAGATTGTTCCACTTGGAATAACAATCACCTCTAGACAGAGGTTTTAGAAGTTACCAATTTGTAAACACAGAATCCTGAAATAGGACAATCAGGTATACAAAGCGTCACCCTGCACCTTGCACAGAGATCCCAGCAAACACCACTTTTGTGCAAATGACAGAGTGGTATCTTCTAGGATCTCTGTGTGATTTCACCAACACGACACCCCATCTGGATATGTATGTCATTGCTAAAGACACTAAATGTGCCTACTAGATGCTATGAAAGTTTTTCACAACAGCCCCTGCCTTCTCACAACATAGCAAGAAGGGGAAATTTGTAAAAGAACACGCCAGAGTCTATGTCTCCCGATGATTATTAAAAGTTGGTAGAGGCTTCTTCTCTATCATCTTTGTTTCTGAAATCCCTTATGATTTTAAAAAATACAAATGCCCTGAATCAAAGATGCACAAGTGTTTGATTTCATTCCAGTTTGAAGCATCCCTTCGTTTGCTTTTTGTTTGAAAACTACAACAATAAGAGATTGAACGTTCTATAACTTACCAAAGATTTCAGAATCAACTCAGGTGAGAAGAGATTCCTTTTCTGAATGTGGATGAAGCCACCCTGATCCCTATTTTGTACGAGATCCATTCGTCCTGGAATTGTTGGAAAACTGCTCCTTCCCACTCCTTGGCTGAGAGTCCCACACATGGGGGGCTGAGGCAGGAAAACTGCTTGACCCAGGAGGCAGAGGTTGCAGTGAACCAAGTTTACACTACTCCAGCTTGGGTAACAGTGAGACTCTGTCAAAAAAAAAAAAAAAAAGAAAGAAAGAAAAGAAAAGAAAGAAAGAGAAAACAGCTGGGCACAGTGGCTCATGCCTATAATCCCAGCAGTTTGTGAGACTGAGGCAAGTGGATCACGAGGTCGGGAGATCGAGACCATCTTGGCTAACATGATAAAACCCTGTCTCTACTAAATATACAAAAAAATTAGCCGGGCGTGGTGGCACATGCCTGTAGTCCCAGCTACTCAGGGGGCTGAGGCAGGAGAATCGCTTGAACCCAGGAGGCGGAGGTTGCAGTGAGCAGTGAGCTGAGATCGTTCCACTGCACTCTAGCCTGGGTGACAGAGCAAGACTCCATCGCAAAAAAAAAAAAAAAAGAAAGAAAGAAAAAACAAATATTTGAGGTGATGGGTATCCCAAGTACCTTGACTTGATAGTTATACATTGTATACAGGTATCAAAATATCACGTGAACCCCCCAAATATGTACAACTATGATGTATGTATAAAAATATAAAAAATAATAAAGGACAAAGAAAAACATACTAGTAAAAAGTACAACAGAAGGAAATATGTTAATCTTAAACAGGCAGCTAACAATCCTGCCTAAAATATAGCAAAGTGACAAAACCATAAGGAGAAACAGATTGTTGGAAATTTGAATACTCAATAAGAAAATTGTAATATGCTTTTTTTTTTTAAGATGTAGTCTCTGTCATCTAGGCTGGAGTGCAGTGGCATGATCTTAGCTCACTGCAACCTCTGCCTTGTGGGTTCAAGCAATTCTCCTGCCTTAGCCTCCCAAGTAGCTGGGATTACAGGCGCCTGCCACCACACCTGGCTAATTTTTATACTTTTAGCAGAGACCGGGTTTCACCATGTTGGTTAGGCTGATCTCGAACGCCTGACCTTATGATCCACCCACCTTTGCCTCTGAAAGTGCTAGGATTACAGGCATAACCCACTGCACCCGGCCACACCTGGCTAATTTTTGTGTTTTCAGTAAGACGGAATTTCACCATGTTGGCCAGGATGGTCTCAAACTCCTGACCTCAAGTGATCCACTTGCCTCAGCCTCTCAAAGTACTGGGATTACAAGTGTCAGCCACTGCACCTGGCCTGCTTTTGGATATTTTAACAGAAAGGTGGGGAGAAATAAATGACTGAGAGATTTAATCAGAGAAAGAAAAGATCCCAAGGATCTAAACAATAGTGTCAACCGTTAATTCCAATAACTAGCATATACAATAAATAGCATACAAAGCCATTGAACCTTTAATATCAATAGATTTAACCTTTAGCTAATTGCAAAACTTTAATACCAATACTTATATACCACATACATTTTTAAAATTATATTTCTCCTGCTCCTTACAGGTTAGACTTTTTTTTTCTTTTGAGATAGGATCTCACTCTGTCCTCCATGCTGAAGTGTAGTGGCACAGTCAGTCATGCTTACTGCCACCTCACCCTCCTGGGTTCAATGCTGGGATTACAAGTGTATGTCATTGTGCCTGGCTGATTTTTTTAAAAACATTTTTTATTGGTTGCAAGCAACTCAAAAGCTTATCTACAATGGCAATAGGGTGTCTGGCAGGCTTGAAAAACAGCAAAAAGGCCAGTGTTCCTGGAGTAACAGGGGGCTGCATTATTCACGATGCGTAAGATGGAAACCATGGTAGAGTTCTGAGCCAAGGAGAGTTGCAGTCTTATTTATTTATTTATTTTTGAGACAGAGTTTTGCTCTTGTTGCCCAGGCTACAGTGCAATGGTGCGATCTCAGCTCACAGTCACCTCCGCCTCCTGGGTTCAAGCAATTCTCCTGCCTCAGCCTCTGGAGTAGCTAGGATTACAGGCATGCGCCACCATGCCCACCTAAATTCTATTTTTAGTAGAAACGAGGTTTCTCCATGTTTGTCAAGCTGGTCTCAAACTCTCGACCTCAGATGATCCGCCTGCCTCAGCCTCCCAAACTGCTGGGATTATAGGCATGAGCCACCACACCTTGCCTGTAGTCTTATATTTTTAAAAAGCACCTTGACTGCTCTGTAGAGAATAGATTACATCGAGGTAGTAAGAAGTGCAGGGAAGGGAGTTGAAGCAGGGGAATGAATGAAGAGTCTGCTACAGTAATCTAGGGGAAAGAGAAATAGTGGGCAGATCTGGATCTCTTTGGAGGTTGAGCCATAAGGATTTGCTGATAAGACTGGGTGTGGGTATGAGAGAAAGAGAAGAGTTAATATGACTCCAGGGTTTTTTGGCTTGAACAGTTGGAAAGGTTGGAGGTACAACCAAGTTGGGGAAGATTAACAAGGAAGTGGGATACTGGAAGGAAGATTAGGAACTCACAAATTCAGTTTTGGACAAATTAAGATGCCTATTAGACGTTTAAGTGAATTTGTCGAATAGGCAATTGGACATATGACTCTGGAGTTGAAGGGAAAGGTTTGAGTTGGAGTTATAAAATGCAGCAAACATGGATACCAATGAGGTACCTTTTTATTTATATAAAAATTACAGCAAAAATGCCAGTATACCTGAAGGGGAGAGTAACAGAAAATGAAGTCAGAAAGTAGGCCGGGTGCGGTGGCTCATGCCTGTAATCCCAGCATTTGGGAGGCTGAGGCAGGCAGATCACTGAAGGTCAGGAGTTTGAGACCAGCGTGGCCAACACGGTGAAATCCCATCTTTACTGAAAATACAAAAACAGAGTGGTGTCAGGTGCCTGTAATCTCAGCTACCTGGGAGACTGAGGCAGGAAAACTGCTTGAACCTGGGAAGAGGAGGTTGCAGTGAACAGAGATCACACCACTGCACTCCAGCCTGGGTGACAGAGTGAGACTCCATTTAAAAAAGAAAAGAAAAGAAAGTAACAAGGGGCCATATTATGAACCCCAGATCAGAAGATAGCTAAGGCCATGAGACTGGATGAGATGACCAAGGGAGTGTGGATAAGGAAGAGGAACAAAGATTGAGCTCAGAGGAGCATTAATATTAAGAGGTTAGGGAAGAACAAGCATAGGAGATGGAGAAGGAGAGGCTAAGGAGGTAGAAAGAAAACCAAGAATGTGTGATATCAGGGAAACTAAGTTTAAAAAGTGTATTAAGGAGGAAGGGTGATTATTTGTGTTAAGTGCTGCAACAGTCAAGTAGAATAACCAAAAATCAACTACTAAATTTAGCAAGGTGATTATTGGTAACCTTGACAAGAACAGTTCTGGTAGTGATGGATGCTGAAGTCTAATGGAATGAGTTCAATAGAGGACAAGAAAAGAGAAATTAGAGGCAGGAAATACAGGTAATACTTTCTAGGAGTTCCGCTAGAAATGGAGCAGTAGTTGACGGGAGTAGGGGAATTTTTAAAAGAAAGAGAGCACTTTGGGAGGCCGAGGCGGGTGGATCACGGGGTCAAGAGATCGAGACCATCCTGGTCAACATGGTGAAACCCCGTCTCTACTAAAAATACAAAAATTAGCTGGGCATGGTGGCGCGTGCCTGTAATCCCAGCTACTCGGGAGGCTGAGGCAGGAGAATTGCCTGAACCCAGGAGGCGGAGGTTGCGGTGAGCCGAGATTGCGCCATTGCACTCCAGCCTGGGTAACAAGAGTGAAAATGTCTCAAAAAAAAAAAAGAAAAGTTGTGTTTGGCAGTGAATGAACTAAAAACACAACCAAATCGTAAACAGCGTTTCTGTGGGGGGAGCATGAAGAATGACGAGGTTCGCGGTTATAACTTGAAAGCGGGAGCAGGGTGGCAGTGCACTTTTCTCCAGCCACAGTCGGGCGGGGTGCAGCCTGGCTACTTAGGGAGAGGAAGCCACCGCCTGGGGCCTGCTGGGAAGGCTCCTTCTCCTCACAGGACCTCCTGGGAGCCGCAGTCCACCTGTCGCCTCCACCAGGGAGGGAGACACGAAATACAGGGAGCTACAGAGGGGGCACGCTGAGCGTTGCCATCTCCCACACCCTGTATGCTAGGGGCTGTGGTCCCAGTCCCCACCCCAAGTACCATCTCTGCTCACATCTACTTGCAGGCAACACCGGGGAGATGAAGACCATGGAGCTTCCCAACGCGAGGCCGATTGGGAACTTCAGTCCTCCTGTCATCGCCCTCCTCCGCTATCACCAGGGGACGCCGGGAGCAGATTAAAGGGAAAGGCGAAACCCACAGAACTTGGAAGGGATCTTACCTGAACAGTCAGTTTCCCCAACGCGGGCCACAGCTGCACGGGGAAATCCTACTCCCTGTGGAGACGGAGGAAGGCACCACCGCCTGGGAGGGCGCTGCTCCCTGGACGCTGGCGGATGCAGTCCCGCGTCGCGGTCCTCAGAGGACTTGCAGCCCGCGCCCCCACCCGGAAGGACGACGTCTCCCGCCCCGAGGGGGAATCCCGCACTAAGGCCGTGGTAGGGGCTTGTCCACCACCTATTTATTTATTTATTTGTTTGAGACAGAGTCTCGCTCGGTGCCTCAGGCTGAAGCGCAATGGCGCGATCCCGGCTCAACGCTACCTCCGCCTCCCGGGTTCAAGCGATTCTTGTGCCTCAGCCTTCCGAATACCAGGGATTACTGGCGCGCTGGGATTACATGTCCGGCTAATTTTTGTATTTTTAGTAGAGACGGGGTTTCGCCATGTTGGCCAGGCTGGTCTTGAACCCCTGAGCCACCACCGTTTAATGTCGCTCTCTCTCTCCTGTCCCTCCTTGAGTCGGTCTCCGAACGCCCGGCGCAAGGCACTACTCAGAATTGGAGGGGGAGGGGAGCCTCAAGAGCCAGAGAAAAAGACGGCTGAAGAGGCGCGTAAAACGTCAAGAAAGGAAGGCTGCTGTGAAGCGGCAGCTGCTGGCTAGCCTCGCGGAAGCTCCCGGGCCGAGAGGTGCGCTGCGAGGGGGCGTGGCTCCGCGGATAATACAGCCCCGCCTTTGCGCGCGAGCCGAGCCCCTACTGGCTTGCACGCACGCGCAGTCGGTGGGTCCTGCGCGCTTCCCGCCAAAATGCGGTGGCGGCTTTTCCGAGCTCCAGCGAGGCGGCAATGAGATTCTCGTAGGGCACGGGGCTGGCACAAAAAGGAGCCACTGGTCCTGCTTAGACACCTGCCCCTGCTCCCTCCCGACGCCCTGAGACACCAGGTTTTACACACGGAGTCCAGAGCCTCTGTGTGTGTGTGTGTGTGGTTTTTTGAGAAGGAGTCTCTCTGTTGCTCAGGCGGGAGTGCAATGGCGCGATCTCAGCTCACTGCACCTCCGCCTTCCGGGTTCAAGCGATTCTCCTTTCTCAGCCTTCTTTGTAGCTAGGATTACAGGCACATGCTACCACACCTGCCTAATTTTAGTAGAGATGGGGTTTTTCCATGTTGGCCAGATTGGTCTTGAACTCCTTACCTCAGGGGATCCTACCTTAGCCTACCTCAGCCTCCCAAAGTGCTGGGATTACAGGCGTGAGCCACCGCGCCCGGCCTTCTCATGGCTTTTGTTTCGTGGCTTTTCCTGGCCTGGCAGGTCTGGAGCATTGCCTTTATGAAGGGCTACATGGGGACCCCCAAAACCACTAAAGAGCCGGCTGTGTGTGCAAGCCAGTGATGCAGGGCCTCTGTCACAAAGGCCAGAGCATCCCACGCACTTCCCAGCAGGCCAGGGACAATGGCATAATGGCTCAGAACACGCCTGGAGTCTGACTCTTGGCCCTGCCACATTCTGACTGTGTGGTGGGGCTTTTCCTCACTGGGAGGAAGGAAGATGATAGTTTTAAGTAGTGTTGCCACATTTTATTTAGCAAATACAAATGCAGGACACCCAATTGAGTTTGGATGTCAGTTAAAAGAGAAAACAGAATTTTTTAGCATATATGTCCCAAATATTGTTGAACTGTAATTCAAATGTAACTGGGCATCGAGTTCAAATGTAACTGTATTTTATCTAGTAGCCCTGCTTAAAGGCATTGTTTGGAGACAATGCATGAACAGTTCTGGAACGGTGTCTGGCACATGTAAACACACAATGAAGTCTATTAATATAAAAGGTCACACTCCCTCAGAACATATTAGTGTCTCTACTCATCCAGCTGTAGGATCTCAAATGGCCAGCCCTCAGAAAGTCACTCTGTCCTAAAAGTTTAAATCTCGCCATCCCACCACAGTGTAGTGACCCCTTTCCACTACCACAAAGTACCAGATTTCCCCTGCCTTCCAGCACTTGGCACATTCATGTGGGGATTTTCATGCTCTTCATGTTGCTGCTTTCACTGGATGTATGGGGGAAGGGCTGGGGGAATCTGAGGCATTATGATGTCGGAGCCAGCGACACTCTTTCTACAGGAAATTGTAGCTAGAGTCTGTCTCTTCTAGAATTAGGGGCACGTAATCCTCTGTGTGAGCCAGGAGGCAATGGAGATTCAGTGGGGAAGCCTAAGATGTTGTTTGTATGATGTTAATAACAAGCTTTCCCCATGGGGTGAATGTATATTGAGTGGCATTGGTCGCACTGAGCTCATTAAGACATCTGCGGTAGATGAGATGAAACTTTGTTTAATCTGAGAAGTCCAAAGGAAAAAGAAGTTGAAGGGGACAACCTAGGTTTATAAACGTAAGTCTATTTGACGCTAAAGTTTCTGTTCCGTCTCTTATTCTCCCTTGATTTCAGCGCACCCCTTCGCCTCTCTCATACATCATAGCACCCTGCATTTATACTGCATTTTTAAATTATAAAGCCTTTTGAATTTCCTTGTCTCACTTTCTTTTTCTTTTTTTAGACATAGTCTCACTGTAGCCCAGGCTGGAGTGCAGTGGTGCAATCTCGGCTCACAGCAACATCCGCCTCCCAGGTTTGAGTGATTCTCCTGCCTCAGCCTCCCAGATAGCTTGGATTACAGGTGCGTGCCACCATGCCAGCTAATTTTTGAATTTTTGGTAGAGATGGGGTTTCATCATGTTGGCCGTGATAGTCTCAAACTCCCGACCTCAGGTAATCCATCAGCCTTGGCCTCCCAAAGTGCTGGGATTACAGGCATGAGCCACCACACCTGGCCTCACTTTCTTTTTCTAAATGCTTTAGTAGGGAAAAAGAAAAGGGAATTTCTCTCTGAGATCAAGAAGGGTTAAAGTGAAATATCTGACACTCACCAAAAACTTAATGGAATGAAGTCTTAGTCTAGGATTTAGAAGTGTCAGGAAACCCCCATTTTCCCAGTTAGAGCTACTAGTCTTAAATTACCAGAGGAAACTTGGGAAGGCGCTGAGGTTGTAGGATCTAACTCTTACTTCTCTTCACACATCAGCTTGCTGTAGCAGCCTGCTCTCTCCGTCCTGTACTTTCATTCTCCCTTCTTAGTGGCTTCTTTCCCTTGACTTTTAAACACATTTAATTTTCTCATTTAAAAAAAAAAATCTGGGCCGGGCGCAGTGACTCATGTCTATAATCCCAGCACTTTGGGAGGCCGAAGTAAAGAGATCGAGACCATCCTGGTCAACTTGGTGAAACCCCGTCTCTACTAAAAATACAAAAATTAGCTGGGCATGGTGGTGCGTGCCTGTAGTCCCAGCTACTCGGAAGGCTGAGGCAGGAGAATTGCTTGAACCCAGAAGGCGGAGGTTGCGGTGAGCCGAGATCGTGCCATTGCACTCCAGTCTGGATAACAACAGCGAAACTCTGTCCCCCCCCCAAAAAAAAATTTTTCTTTGCAGGGGCCAATCACTTCGTGTTCCCTTGCATGTGCTTGAGAGTTGTATGCAAGATTTTGGAAAGTTTAAACTTCACTTACGGTAGGCCAGGCACAGTGGCTCACGCCTGTAATCCCAGCACTTTGGGAAGCCAAGGCAGGCGGATCACCTGAGGTCAGGAGTTCAACACCAGCCTGGCAACATGGTAAAACCCCATCTCTACTAAAAATACAAAAATTAGCCAAGCGTGGTGGCGGCGCACACCTGTAATCCCACCTACTCAGGAGGCAGAGGCAGGAGAATTGCTTGAACCCAGAAAGTGGAAGTTGCAGTGCGCCAAGATTGTGCCACTGCACTCCAGCCTGGGCGACAGAGTTAGACTCCATCTAAAAATAAAATAAGTAAACTTTACTTATGGTAGAAATTGAGTGAGGTAAAAGAAGAAAAAGAGTGAGGTAGTGACTCTCGCTGGGTGGAAAAGAAAGGGTTAGAATTGTTCAGCTAGGGATAGGAATCCCAAAGGAGGTCCTCCATTAGCACACTGGTGTCAGCAGGGAGCTGTTTGTCCTTGACCCAAACAAGATTAAGTACAGAAATTCAGAGTAAGCATTTAGGAACTTTCATAGTAGTTTTGCAGAATAATCTAATGTCTATTGAACTAATGATAAAAAAAAAAATCAGTGGCTCACGCCTCTAATCCCAGCATTTGCGGAGGCTGAGGTGGGCAGATCACTTGAGGTTAAGAGTTCAAGACCAGCCTGGCCAACATGGTGAAACTCTGTCTCTACTAAAAATTCAAAAATCAGCCAGGTGTGTTGGCACACCCCTGTAGTCCCAGCTACTGTGGAGGCTAAAACAGGAGAATCACTTGAACCTGGGAGGCAGGAGTTACAGTGAACTGAGATCATGCCACTGCACTCCAGAGCAAGACTCTGTCTCAAAAAAAAAAAAAATGGGGTTCTAGTACCAGAGCAGCTAGCAATCCTAAACCTAACGGGAAAAGAAATGAAGGGGAGCTGGATATGGGTGTTTAGAATTCTTATATTTAGGTATTTGATCTATTTTGTGCTTGTTTTTTAATAGTTTAAGGTAGATATCCAAATTCATTATGTTGCATGTAGATATTCAGTTGTCCTAGCACCATTTGTTGAAAATAAATATTTTCTAAGTAATTTTTTCTAATTATTTCTGTTTCTTTTCATTAGCTTTTCCTTTTTTTTTTTTTTTTCCTTTAGATGGAGTCTCATTCTGTTGCCCAGGCTGGAATGCAGTGGCACAATCTCGGCTCACTGCAACCTCTGCCTCCTGGGTTCAAGTGATTCTCCTGCCTCAGCCTCCCAAGTAGCTGGGATTACAGGTGCACGCCACTATGCCCAGCTAATTTTTGAATTTTTTAGTAGAGACGGCGTTTCACCATGCTGGCCAGGATGGTCTCAAATTCCTGACCTCAAGTGATCCCCCTGCTTCAGCATCCCAAAGTGCTGGAATTACAGTCATGAGCGAGCCACTGCACCCAGCCTGCTTTTCCCATTTTTATCCTCTAGGTTCTTCACTGGGTTTTCTCCCTTGTGTTCCTTCAACTTTCATCCTTCTGCTTGTGATACTTGATTTTTCTTTGATTTCTGCCTGCTCTCCATTTGTTTTTACCTGTTCCTTCAGCATCTCTTCCCTGGATGTTTGTATTTTTGCTTTGTGGTCTTCCATCATAGAGGCAATTGCATCAAAATTTTTTTTATTCATGGCAAAATATTTGGTTATAATTTTTTTTTGTTTTTGAGGCAATGTCTCATTCTGTTGTCCAGATGGAGTGCAGTGGTGAGATCACAGCTCGTTACACCCTCAACCTCCAGGGCTCAAGCAATCCTCCCACCTCTGCCTCCTGAGTAGCTGAGACTACAGTAGTGTGCCATCACTCCTGGCTAATTTTTTATTTTTTGTAGAGATGGGGTCTTGATATATTGTCCAGGCTGGTCTTGAACTCCTGTGCTCAGGGAATCCTCTCACCTCAGCCTCCTGAAGTGCTGAGATTACAAGCAAGAGCCACCATACCTGGCCTAGTCATAGTTTTTATCTGACTCATTGACGCAGTTTTCCAGTGCAAACTCTTCATATAGATGGAATCATACAATACGTGCTCTTTTGTGTCTGTCTTCTTGTACTCAGTATTAGTTTTTGAGTTTCATCTATGTTGTTGCAAGTGCCAGCAGTTCATTCCCACTCCTATCTTTTTAAAAACAAAGGAGTTTCTCCGACTTCTAAAGGAGTACTTCTTTTTTAAATTATATTTTTCTATTTTAATTTTTTTTTGAGATGGAGTCTTGCTCTTGTCGCCCAGGCTGGAGTGCAATGGTGTGATCTCAGCTCACTGCAACCTCCTCCTCCAGGTTCAAGTGATTTTTCTGCCTCAGCCTCCCAAGTAGCTAGGACTACAGGCTCGTGCCACCATGTCCAGCTGATCTTTGTGTTTTTAGTAGATATGGGGTTTGGTCATGTTGCCCAAGCTGGTCTCAAGTTCCTGGGCTCAAGTGATCCACCTGCCTCGGCCTCCCAGAGTGCTGGGATTACAGGCATGAGCCACCTGGCCCAGCTTCTAAAGGAGTACTTCTCTAATTTATCCTGTTGCCCTTCCCTCTTTCCCATTTCCCTTAATTTCCATTCTAACATTAGATGTTATGATTAAGAGACCTTTACCTTCCACAGGTTCTGTAATCCAAGATGTCTATAAAGAGCTGGGATGTCACTAGGAAATCATCTTCACCCAGACTTATTCCTGAGTGGAAAAACTTGAATTTCCTCATAAAGAAGATCCTGAAGGACATAAAGGTGATGTGTATGAGAGCTGTGCACGTGGTGGGCCTGGACTGATTATCTCTGCCAAGCAGGCTGGGCCCTCCCACATCCCCCAACCATTTCTGCTAAGTTAAGATGATAGCATTAGGCAAGTTAGAACACTTTGTGCTGCAAGTAACAGAAAATGGATTCATATGGATTAAACAAGTAGGAGGCATCTGAGTCTTACATGTTGCCAAGGACCCGCATTATTTTTCTTTCTTTTCCACCATTTCTATTACGTTAGTTTATTATCCTAGGGTTACAAGATAGTTGTTGCATTTCCAGGTATCAGCTTCAAATTGCAAGTAGACAGAAGATAGAAAAGGGAAGGTCAGAGAGCCACAGGGCTGTGCCCTTCTGGGTCCATGATCACCCTAAACAAAATCGGAATTTTATTTGGATGAAAGGAAGGGGAAGAGGAAGGAGAAAGGTTTGGTGTAAAATAGATAGCAGTAATATCAGGTAGATATGTTGTGTTCATTTAAGATATTCTTAGCTCTTTGGCCAGGCGCGGTGGCCTCAGCCTCAAGCACTTTGGGAGGCTGAGGCGGGTGGACCACTAGGTCAGGAGATCAAGGCCATCCTGGTCAACATGGTGAAACCCCATCTCTACTAAAAATACAAAAAATTAGCTGGGCATGGTGGTGCGTTCCTGTAATCCCAGCTACTCAGGAGGCTGAGTCAGGAGAATTGCATGAACCCAGGAGGTGGAGGTTGCAGTGAGCCGAGATCACGCCATTGCACTCCAGCCTGGGTAACAAGAGCGAAACTCCATCTCAAAAAAAAAAGATATTCTTAGCTCTTTTTCATAGCAAAGCATTGATATTGTTTAATGAGTGAATTAATTGTTTGCACATAAAGGCTTGAAAAGAGAAAAGGAATGATGATTAATAGAATTAGAGGTATGTAAATGAGCTTTCTGATTAAGAGAGATGAGGGGTTGGGAGCTCAGACACCAGGGTTCTTTGACTCAGCTGTGCTACTGCTACTGAATCAGCAATTGCAATGGTGTTGTAAACTCTTGAGATCTGAAATACAGGTAGGGCTGGGCATGGTGGCTCATGCCTGTAATCTCAGGACTTTGGGAGGCCAAGACAGGAGGACCACTTGAGCCCAGGAGTTCAAAAGTAGCCTGGGCAGCATGGCAAGACCCCATCTCTACAAAAAATAAAAAAATTAGCCAAGTGTGATGGTGCATGACTATAGTCCCAGCTACTCAAGAGGCTAAGGCGGAAAGATTACTTGAGCCCAGGATTTTGAAGTTATGGTGAGTTATGATCACACCATGGCACTCCAGTCAGGTCAATAGCAACAGACAGAGCAAGACTCTGAGAAAAAAAAAAAATTGTCCAGGCGCAGTGGCTCACATCTGTAATCCTAGCACTCTGGGAGGCCAAGGTGGATTGCCTGACCTCAGAAGTTTGAGATCAGCCTGGGTAACACAGTGAAACCCTGTTTCTACTAAAATACAAGAAATTAGCCAGGCATGCATCTGGCTATAGTCCCAGCTACTCTGGAGGCTGAGGCAGGAAAATCACTTGAACCTGGGAGGCAGAGGTTGCAGTGAGCCAAGATCACACCACTGCACTCCAGCCTGGGCAACAGAATGAAACTCTATCTAAATAAATAAATAAAGAATAGTGACAGAAGTGCATGCCACAGGGTCTGCCACACGTGGTGAGCATTCTATTACATGTCTGTGAAGTATGTGTTTCCCAAAGGTGGTATATCATGTGTGTGCAATTGTAACGGCTCTACCTTTTGGTGTAGGCTGGAACTTAAAAAGAGTTTACAGCGGTGACAGGTATACATATTTGTCATGGTTGGGTTCCTCTGTCATGCCTCAGATTTACATATTTGCCATGGTTGGGTTCATCCCTCAGTAAATATATATTTATTTTACTCATAGAGAATTGCATTCCTTTCTTTGTTAGCACTTACCATTTTGTATACTCAGCTGTTAGTTGTTTAATGTCTGTTTCCCCGCCAGGACTCATCTTCTTAAGGGCCAGAGCTGTGTCTATTTTGCTCAGCATTGTATTCTCGGTGTCTCTCATAGAACCTGTCAGCCTTTCTCAACTGTGGCTTTTCTTCTGAACCGTGGAACACAGACCATGATTTGAGGAGCTACTTTCTCATTTCTCTCAATGTCTCATAACTAGTAGCATTCTAGATGACGAGGAGAGAAATTAATTCATTATGTAGATTGGATACTTTAGGACATAAGGGCTTACTCTCTTTTTTTGAACAGAAACTTGGTGAGAAAGCCTGGAAGAGACTGATTGATGTAGATGCAAACTGTTGCAAACTGAGGGTGAGGGAGGGATGACTCCCTAAATAATGTTTTCTAGTAGTAGGGTAAATGTTAGCTAGAAAGCAACCAATGACCACTCATCCCTTTTATAGATATTTATTTAACTTATTGAGACAGGGTCTCGCACTACCCATGCTGGAGTGCAGTTGTGCAATCATGGTTCACTGTAGCCTGACCTCCTGGGCTCAAGCGATCCTCCTGTCTCAGCCTTCTGAGTAGCTGGGACTAGAGTCATGCACCACCATGCCCAGCTAATTTTTGTATTTTTTGTAGAGATGGGGTTTTGCTATGTTGCCCAGGTTGGTCTCGAACTCCTGGGCTCAAGCGACCCACTTGCCTTGGCCTCCCAGTGTTGAGATTATAGGCGTGAGCCACCACACCTGGCCAGTAAATATTTCTTAAATGAATGAATGAGTGGGGATTCAGAACTCTGAAATCAGGTTACTCCTCTCTCTCAGATTGATGAAGAACCAAAGAATGACGTGGTTATACTGAGTGACTGGCCTGAGACTCTATACCAGGAGTCCCACCATCCCCAGAACAAGCCTTTTGTCTGCTTCTACTACTCCATCAAGGTCAACTGTTTTGTTTCCTTAAACTGATGGAACCATATGGAAAAATGCAGGTAAAGCCCTTAATTTTCCTCCACTCTCCTTAATCCAATTTACATGCATCACACCTGAACTGCCCTCATTTTAGAATGATGGCAGTGACTGTGAATTAGCTCATTTTAGTAGCCATCTCCATATCCCAGTTTGACCTGGATGCAGTGATCCTTCTTCACCTCTAGTTATCAGGCCCACAGAATTCATATGCCCCATAAAGTAGACTGAAAGCCAAGAAAAGGGCCTTCAACATGGTGCTTCTATCATGTACACAATTCCTGGTACAATAGTCCTCGCATATTCATGGGAGATACATTCCAAGCCCCCAGTGGACATCTGAAATTGCAGATAGCACCAAACCTGATTGCCACCAATTGGAACATGTTTCTGTTCATGCTGCTCACCCACAAATTGAATGCTTTTTCCATCATAACTAAGCACTTATCATGCACTGTGGCCATAATGTGTGCAGTTGAGGTGCAACAGAAAAACTAGCATGAATTTCTCTTTCCTCCTTCACAATTTCACAGAAGGTTCATTCTTACTATAGATTGTAGCAACCTCATGATACAATTGCTTTCCTTATTAATTCAAGAACCTTCACCTTTTCACTTGAAAGAAGCATTTTGTGGCTTCTATGTGGCATATCTGAATTGCCAGTATCACTACTTCTGGCTTTAGGGCCATTATTAAATAAAATAAGGGTTACCTGAACACAAGCACAGTGATACTGTTACAGTTAATCTGGCAACCACGATGGCGATGGCTACTAAGTGACTTAACAGGAAGATAAGATATAGAGTGTAGATAGGCTGGACGGAGAGATAACCCAAGTCCCAGGCAGGATGGAATGGTACTGCGTGAGATTTCATCATGCTACTCAGAACATGCAATTTAAAACTTACTGTTTATTTCTGGAATTTTTAATTTAATATTTTTCGACTGCAGTTGACCAGACAGGTACCTGAAACCACAGAAAGTGAAACCGTGAGCAAGGGGGTTGCTGTAGTAGGAGGCTCCGAGAGTCAAGCTGCCTAGTCTTTCCTTAGTCACACCAGAGGAAAGAGGGATCTGAATATTCAGCCTTCCCTACCCCACACTTTTGGGAAATGATCTGCCTCCACAGTCAGGCTTTCATCTCTCATCCTCTTCTAGGCAGTACTTTGGATACAGAAAACGGGTACAGAAATGAAAGGAATGATAGAGAAGATGAGGCTTCGCATGATGGATCAGCTGCCGCCCACCCAAGCAATGGTCCACACAGGTTCCTACCATATGTTAGTTGCTTACTGTGGTGACATGTGCCTGAGGCTTTTTGGAAATCACCGTCGAGGGTTCAGATTTCTGGGTATAGTGCCCTGTCATTTCTCCATCAGCTGTCTCTTCTATGACCCAGAAACTGAGTTGCTGCTATCTGGTACCCTGGGGGCTGTGGTTACCTGGTTTATCTTACCAAATGGCAGGGACATTGAGATGGCTCAAATAGTACCTATGGCTAACCATGAGCTTGTACAGGGATTTTCCATGAATGGCCCCCAGGGATCTATGTTTGCTCTGTGTGAGGATACAGTGAAGGTCTTCATTCACCGGGGTCAGGGCCAGCTGGAAGAAATGAAGAAGTTCACTCCAGTAGCCAGTGGCTCTTCCATCACTTGCTCCTTTGCTTGTGTCTCTCAGGGCAATTTCTATGCTGGAAACAGGACTGGAGAGATCCACGCTTGGGGTTTAGACCAAGGTAACTTCCTCCACAGCTTTCAAGCCTATTCCTCATCAGTGATATGTATCCATAGCCGGCCAGAGATCCACACCTTATTAACAGCAGGCAGTGAAGGTGTAGTGAGGGAGTGGAATCTGACATATGGAAACTTGCTGCGGCAGCTGAATATTGACAATGGTCTGCAGAAACTGCAGTTTATTGATAATACCACTTTTTTCTGCCAGACCACCTATGGTTTTTCACTGCACCACCTGCCCTACTTTTATAGCCTCTTCCATGTCTGTGGTTCTGTTCCCCAGCAGGTGCAGCGGGTCTGCTGCGGCCATAATTGGACTCGGATTCTATGTGCCACTGAGGATGGCTTATTGTGCTTCTTGTCTCCAGTAACAGGGGATCTCATGGTTATCACCTGGCCTCTACTTGTTATGGATAAGGCTGTGGCTTGGTCCTATGACTCAGAGAGAGAGTAGCTCTTTGTGGCAATAGGCAGTTCAGAGGTGCTGGTATTTGATGCAACACGCTCTCCTTGTACAGCCAAGTATCTTGTGTGTACTTCAGCAGACCCTAAGGATACAGTAAGATGCTTGGCCTATAGGAGGTCCCATCTTCATAAAGGCCTAGGAGGATTAATGTTCTGTGGGTATGACAGTGGCATTGTGAGAATCCTTTCCCACTATAGTTGTGCCCGAATAGAGAAGACTGTTCACTCTGGGGCAGTACTGGCACTGTCTACCCTGGAAGGCACTCCGGAAAATGCCTTGCTCTGTTCCTACGGCATGGATAACATCATACACTTGACAGAGGCTGTGCTTCAAGTTAGCAGAGTAGTCCTGCAGCCTGTCAGCAAAATTCTCTGTGGCTGCCCCCTAAAACATGTGATACTCTTGCCAGGTTCTGTGGGTGCCATCACTGAGAGCTACTGCTGGCATCTCTGGCACTATGATGGCTTTCTGACATCTTCAGAATCAAAACAGAGCTTTGTTTTGAGAGAGACAAAATGCCTGCATGAATGTGACATCACTTCATTTGATGTTTGCCTTTCCCTGAAACTTTTTGTCACAGGTGGTATTGATGGCTCAGTCTGGATCTGGGACTTTCTTTTTTTTTTTGAGACGGAGTTTCGCTCTTGTTACCCAGGCTGGAGTGCAATGGCGCAATCTTGGCTCACCGCAACCTCCGCCCCCTGGGTTCAGGCAATTCTCCTGCCTCAGCCTCCTGAGTAGCTGGGATTACAGGCACGAGCCACCGTGCCCAGCTAATTTTTTGTAATTTTTTAGTAGAGACGGGGTTTCACCATGTTGACCAGGATGGTCTCGATCTGTTGACCTCGTGATCCACCCGTCTCGGCCTCCCAAAGTGCTGGGATTACAGGCTTGCGCCACCGCGCCGGTAGACTTGTAACCGAGTTTGACTCAGCCCTGCATTTTGGTTCACTCTGCTTTGCTAATAATCGAGGTGACCTGTTGTTGACTTTCAACCAGAGTATCTACATAGTATCTTGCTTAAAACTGCTCCCTCCACCTCAGCTGGCTAACCTGTGTATCCTAAAAAAATGCAGATGAAATACAAGAAGTCCCCAAACCCTTCTTTCCTAGCTTCTTCTTTATGTTTGAAACAGTATTCGTACCCAGATTTGTCTACCTTGGAAAAGGGCGGCAGGAATTACGGGGGCTGGAGACCCTTGTCAACAAACGGTTCATTGCCTTTGACAATACTGTGCCCCATGTTGTAGAAGAAGAAAGATGCAAACCCCTTGTGACTGAAAAGAAAGCCATATTTCCTTCTTTGGAGAATGAGGATATTGATTTGTCTACTCTTGACTCCAAGCATAATCGTCCCCGACATTGGGTTCCTGCTCAGTTGCGGCTGGCTGGCTGGGATGGATTAAATGCCTACCAAATGCTACAGTGCTTCTTTGGTCAAGGGCGACTATGGCCCTTTGCTCCTGATGGCTACATCCCCAACTCAGTGATCCGTGCCCGCCTATGGCCTGAGGGTACCCCAGTCTTCCTATCCTGTGATCTATATTCATCCTACCAAGTTAAGGACTGGAAATTATCATCTATGATTCTAGTAGAAGAGAACATTTCAAGGAGTAAACAGAAGGATAAATCCAAGGAGAGAAAAGGAAGTTTCCTTGATATTCTTGAAAGCATGGCAAAACCAAATTGGATGACAAGAAAAGAGAGTGGAAGGCTTATGGATGATTTAGTAGAGGCCATCCTCAACCTTACAATTTACTGCTCTTTAGAGGAATGCAAGAGATATTTTAGGATACTTCAATGTATTTTTGCCACTTGCCAGATATCTCCAGCATTGGTTTCTAAGACTGCTCATTGCCTCCTGCAAGATACAACCCATGCCAATCCTCAGATCCGTGAGCTAGCCTGGGAGCTGGACAGGCTAGGCCTCATGAACCATTATTTTGCTATTCCATTGGCTATGGGATTGATGGACAGTGATGAGAATGTGCAGGCTAAGGCCTTATACATTATGGTAAGAGTCACAGGCATCCAAACCAAGACCAGGCTGGTACGCCTGCTGAAGAAAGAAGAAACTCCAGAAAATTAAGTAAGTTGGATGGTGACCTTCTCCTCTTCCGGTTCTTTTCATCTCCTATCCTCCAAAATCTGACTATTTCCTCCTGTTTCTAAATCCCTTTTTAAATTCTATTCCTGCTAGGCATGGTGACTCACACCTGTAATCTCAGCACTTTGGGAGGCCAAGGCATTTGGATCACTGGAGGTCAGGAGTTCAAGACCAGCCTGGCCAACGTGGTGAAACTGTATTTACTAAAAATACAAAAATTAGCCGGGTGTAGTGGCGCACGCCTATACCCCTAGCTACTCAGGAGACTAAGGCACAAGAATCGCTTGAACCCAGGAGGCAGAGGTTGCAGAGAGCCAAAATGGCACCACGGCACTCTAGCCTGGGCAACAGTGTGAGACTCAGTCTCAAAAAAAAAATAAAAATAAATACATTATCTTCTTCCCCCTTTGCTCTTTGTTTCAATTTTCTCTTTTACCCAGCACCTACCCCTTTTCTTCTGACCACTGACTACCCTGTCCTTCCATTTTTACTTCATTTCCTCAAGATTCCTCAAGACTCATGTCCACAAATCTCCCAACCAAAGAAGCATCATGTATCCCACTGACTATAGGCATACCTTGGAGATAGTGTGGGTTTGGTTCCAGACCACTGCAATAAAGTGAATACTTCAGTAAAGCAAGTTACATGGTTTTTTTGGTTTCCCAGTGCATATAAAAGTTATATTTACACTAGACTATAGTCTATTACATGTGCAGTAGCATATCTAAAAAGATCAATGCACATACCTTAAAGAAAACTACTTTATTGCTAAAAAATGCTAATGATCATATGAGCCTTCAGTGAGTTGCTATTGTTTTGTTGTTGGTGAATGGTCTTGCCTTGATATTGATGGCTGCTGACTGGTGGGTACTAAAGTTTAGGGTGGCTATGACATTTTATTAAAATAAGACAAAGAAGTTTGCTGCATCAGTTGACTCTCCTTTTCATGAACGATGTCTCTGTAGCATGTGGTACTGTTTGATAGCATTTTACTCAAATAGAACTTCTTTCAAAACTAGAGTCAGTCCTCTCAAACCCTGCCACTGCTGTATCAACTAAATTTATGTAATATTTTAATATCCTTGTCTTTTCAGCAATGTTCAAAGCATCTTCACTGGGAAGAGATTCTTCATCCATTCAATTTTGATTATGAGATTGCAGCAATTCAGTCACATCATTGGAGTCCACTTCTAATTCTGTTCCTCTTGCTATTTCTGCCACAAGTAACTGCAGCAGTTACTTCCTCCACTGAAGTCTTGAACCCCTGAAAGTCATCCATGAGGGTTGGAATTAACTTCTTCTAAACATCTGTTCATGTTAATGCCTGACTTCTTCCCATGAATCACAGGTATTCTTAATTTCATCTAGAATGGTGAATCTTTTCCACAAGGTTTTCAGTTTACTTTGCCCAGATCCATGAGAAGAACTGCTGTCTTTGGAAGCTACTGCCAAACAAGATGTATTTCTTAAATAAGACTTGAAAGTCAAAATTAATCCTTGATTCATTGGCTGCAGAATGGATGTTGTGTTAATAGGGATGAAAACAACATTAACCTCCTTATATATCTCCATCACACCTCTTGGGTGACTAGGCACATTGTCAGTGAGAAGTAATATTTTGAAAATGACCTATCTTTCTCAGCAGTGGGTCTCAATATTGGGCTTGAAATCTTCAGTGAACTATTCTATAAAGAGATGTGCTGTCATCTAGGCTTTGTTGTTCCATTTACAGAGCACAAGCAGAGTAGATTTGGCATCATTCTTAAGGATCCTAGGACTTTCAGAATGGTAAATACACATTGGCTTCAACTTAAAAGTCACCAGCATTAGCCCATAACAGGAGACGTAGCATGTCCTTTGAAGCTTTGAAGCCAGCCATTGACTCCTCTCTAGCCATAAAAGTCCTAGATGGCATCTTCTTTGAATAGGCTATTTTGTCTACATTGAAAATCTGTTATTTAGTGCAGTCACCTTCATCAGAAATTTTAGCTAGGTCTTCTGGATTGCATGCTGGAGGTTCTCCATCAGCACTTGCTGCTTAGGCTTGCACTTTATGTTCAGAAACAGCTTCTTTCCTTAAACCTCATGAATTATTCTCTGCTAGCTTCAAACTTTTCTTCCACAACTTCCTCACTCTCAGCCTCTATAGACTTGAAAAGCATTAGGGCCTTGCTCTGGATTAGGTTTAGGCTTAAGAGAATGTTGTGGCTGGTTTGATCTATCCAGACCACTAAAATTTTCTCCATATCATCAATAAAGCTGTTTTGCTTTCCTATCATTGTGTGTTCATTGGAGTAGTACTTTCAATTTGCTTCAAGGACATTTTCTTTGCATTTGCAACTTGGCCTACTGTTTGGCACAGGAGGCCTCGCTTTCAGCCTGTCTTGACTTTCAACCTGCTTTCCTAATGATTCACTAAGTGTAATCATTTCTAGCTTTTGATTTAAAGTGAGAGACATGTGACTCTTCCTTTCACTCGAACACTTAGAAGACATTGTAGGGCTATTCATTGGCCTAAGTTCAATATTGTTGTGTCCCAGGAAATAGTGAGGTCTGAGGAGAAGAGATGGGGGAATGGCTAGTTAATGAAGCAGTCAGAATACGCACAACATTTATTGATTAAGTTCACCATATTACATGGGTGTGGCTCATGATGCCTTGAAACAATTACAGTAGTCACTTTGAAGATCACTGATAACACATCACCAAAGTGGATACAATAATAATAAAGAAAAAGTTCACAATACTGTCAAAATTACCCAAATGTGACAGACACAAGAAGTGAGCACATGCTGTTGGAAAAATGATGCTGACAGGTTTGCTCTATGCAGGGTTGACAAAGACCGTCAATTTGTAAAAAAAGCATTTGTGAAGCACAATAAAGCACAGCACAACAGAATGAGTTATATGGCACTACATTCCTTGCCATCCCTCAGTCTTTTTTTTTTTTTTTTTTGAGACTGAGGCTTGCTCTGTTACCCAGGCTGGAGTGCAGTGATGCGATCTCAGCTCACTGCACCCTCTGCCTCCCGGGTTCCAGTGATTCTCCTGCCTCAGTCTCCCAAGTAGCTGAGATTACAGGCGACAGCCACCACACCCAGCTAATTTTTGTATTTTTAGGAGAGATGGGGTTTCACCATGTTGGCTGGGCTGGTCTCGAACTCCTGACCTCAAGTGATCCACCTGTCTCAGCTTCCCAGAGTGCTAGGACTACAGGTGTGAGCCACTGTGCTCAGCCACATTCTTTATTCTTTAACCAGACTTTACTTCAGCTGTTCTAAATTAATACTTTAACCCTGTCTCTTCCATTGTAACTCTTCTCTTTTTTTGAATTTTGTTCTATAACTAGCTTAGTACTGTCTTTTTCTTTGACTTATATAGGCAAGAAATTATAGGGGAAGTCTCTCTGGGCCAACTGCTGAATATTCAAGCTGAAGATATACAGTCCCTGCTTACTGCTGTGGAGCAGCAGCTAAATGAAAACTTGACCTTGTTACAAAGAGAAAAACCATTTACTTTTTCTTTTGATATGCCATGGTCTGAAGAACTTAAGGTCTTTTCTGAAGAAATGCTTGTACCTTTGTCAGAATCTGTAAAGATCACAAAAGGGAAGAAAAGAAAGCAACGTTTTAAAGCAAGGAGCAGAAAGCTTAGTATGTATGGGGTGATGTATGGGGTGTGTTTGGGGCCAACCTAGGGACCCAAAATGCAGGGTGAATAGGTCCAAGGTATATGAAAGGATATTAGTGAGAATGGAGTTCAGTGGGAGAATCTTATTCATAGAAAGTGAACTTCCTGAGAAATAACCCCAGAGCAAATGCCAAGGTCTTATTTAGAATATGTTTGGTGGGATGAAACAGCAAGTATTTCCACATCATAAAGCCTCAGTCCCCCTGCTTTTTATCTCTTATGGTAATTCACCAAATTAAACTTTACAAAGGATCTTCCTCAAGACCTCTGTGTTTCTCTTAATTGTTTTTCCCCCAATATCTCTGCAGTTAAAAGGGACCTGAGAGTTGCCAGGAAGCAAAAAAAGACAAAGTTGGAAAAGTCTAGTTCTGTGTTGACACCTTCAGAAGATGCTGGTGAACAAAGAAAGGCCAGGAAATCAGAGCAATTTGAAACCCAGGATGTTGTCTTAGAGCCAGAGCTACCACTGAGTACTTTAAGTGCAGTCCAATCCCAGGATGATGCTGAAACAGAGGAGGAGGTCATTTTGCAAGCTATAGAGGCCATGGAGGCCACAGATGCCATGGAAGCCATAGATCAAGGTAGCATGAAAGATGATGGATCTGTGGTCTCTAAGCTGGAAAAAAAAGAATGCATTAAAAGGCTTTGGAAAAAGGCAATGAGAAAAGGCCTCAGAATAGCAGATGTGCAGAGGAAAGAGAAACCAGATTTGAAGGGCATTTCAGAGGTGACTACAGAAGAACCTAAGGAAGAAGTCATAAAAATTGATGAGCAAGAAGAAGGCAAAAGGAAGAAACACAAAAGGAAGAAGAACCAGGGTTTGGCTGGGACCCCTGGACGTGTGGGTAGACCAGACACCATATCTTGGAGGGATGACATTTGCTCTCTTGTCACTTCAAGGATAGCAAGTTCTCAACCAGGAATGTTAAGGGATCTGGGCAAAGAATTGGTAGACCTAGCTGGGGTGATACTTGCTGACCGACAGCCCAGCTGGAATCTCTTCCAAGAGATATGCCCCCTTTTAAAAGACTCAAGCTCAGTCTCATTAGAATTAGATGACAGAGTAGTGGAGGAAACACCCACCATAACAAAAAAGTCATTAAAGGGGTTGTCAAGGACAAAAGGACAGCAATATTGACAGAACAAGAGGATAAAAAAGGGTTAAAGGAAGATGAGGAATTTTCTCAAGAAGGAAAGAAAGCTGTTTTCCCAGCAGATCGCCTAGTCTCAGAGAAAAGGAAATTTAAAAGAAAAGTGAGGAAATGGGCCCAGCAAGAAGGGAAAATAGCTAAGGAAGAAAGGAAACTCACAAAGCCAGAGGAAAAAATGCAGAGAAAGTAGAAACCAACCAAAGATAAAAAGAAACTGACCCATCCAGAAGAAATAATGGCTCAGGAAGAAGAAGTACGTGCTTCCCCACAAAAGGAATTAGTCATGGAAGATCAGATGTTAGTCCTAGAAGAAAAAGGACTAACCAGAAAAAGGAGAAAACTACTAGGGAAAGGAAAGGAAGTGATCAGGAAAAAGAGGAAACCAACCCTAAAAAAGGAAAGGTTGGAATGGAAAAAGATACAGGCCCAGGAGGAAATCATGAGGGTCCAGGAAGAGGAGCTGGCTGAGGAAGAGGAGGAGCTGGCCAGGGAAGAGGAGGAGCTGGCTGAGGAAGAGGAGGAGATGGCTGGGGAAGAGGGGGAGCTGGCTGAGGAAAAGGAAGCACTAATCCTAGACACAGAGAAACAAGTTAGAGAAAGGAAGAAACACATCTGGAGAAAGGAGAAACATGTGGAGGAAGAGGCCCGGGAACTGGGGAAAATGGTTCAGGATCATTTGTCCATGTCAGAGGAAGGACTGTCCAGGAAAAAGAGAGAACAGACATTAGAAAGGGAGACCTTGGCAGAGCAAGAGAGTAAATTAATCCAAAAAGAGAAATGGTTTGGCAAAGAGGCTCTTTATGGGAAACATGAGGAACAAGACCAGACAGAGAGGCGAGCTCAAAGAGAGGAGAAAGAGGCCAAGGAGAGCAAACAGTTAGCCTGGAAAAGAAAGAAACTGTACCTAGAAGTTGATGAAAAGTTTGGAGAACTGGAAGAATTGTCACAAGAGGAAGAGAAATTAGCTCAAAAAATGGAGCAGGAAGCTGAAAAAAGAAAACGGGCCAGAGAAAAAATGAAACAGGTCTCAGAAGAGAAAACAATTACAGAGGAAATCAAGAAAGGGTCTCCAAAAGAAGAGAAGCAGCCCATAGGAAAAGAAAAAAAAGCTAAGAAAAAGAAGAAACAAATTGGGAAAGATGAGAAAGCAACTGAGGAAGAACAATGGACCCAGGAAAAACTAGCCTTACAAAAGGAGAAAGTGGCCCAGGAAGAGAGAATATGGAGTCAGAAAGACAAGAAATGGTCCCAGAAAGATGAGAAAGAGGTTGAGCCAAAAAAACAACAAGTCCAGAAAAAAGAGAAATTGGCCCTAGAAGAGGAGGAACAGGCTGGTCAAATGGAGGAACAGTTCCAGGAAAAAGAGAAAGAGGCCAAGGGAAAAAAGAAAAGGGCATTGGCAAAGAGACTGGCCCCAGAAGACAGTGAAGTGGCCAAGAAAGAGAGTCATATTGCTGAGAAAGAAAAGGCAACGTCCAGGGAAAGAATTGGCATAACTAAGAAAAAGAAAAAAATAACCCAAGAAGAGAAAGAAATGATAAAAGAAGAGGGTGAATTGGCCCAGGAAGACAGGCAACTGGCCTATGACGTTAAAACCAAGGAGAGGGATGTTGCCAAGTAAAAAAAGAAAACCAAAGAGGAAAGAAAACAGGCAATGAGAAAACTGGATATGGAAAAAGGGATTGGTTCTGAAGAGAAAGAGGCTCACTCCAGGGAAGAAAATATAAGAATGAAAGAGAATCAACTGTTTGGGATCCTGGCAGGAATAGTTAGAGAACTGATTACAGTTCCTTCAGAAGAAAGAGAAATAACTGAGGAAGAGATATCATCCATTATGGAAAAAAGTGAAATTGATGGCCACAGGTGGGAATTTTTTAAGAAACAGGAGGAAATAATTGAAGAAGGGAAGGAGCAGGCTGAAAGAGATAGGAAACTAGAAGATAGACTGGCCACCAAAGAGAGAACGCTAACTGATAAAGAGGGCTTGGAGGAGGACCGAAAGTTCTTAGAGGAGGTCCAGGAAAAGATAATATTCAATAAAATCCAGGTACACAGACTCTGTTAAAGAAGTTTCAGAAGACAAATTTGTTAGAAAAAAGGCACATACAGGAGCTTCTGAAGAGAATTGAGAAGCATGAGCTGGAGAAGACTCAGATGAAGTGGTTATTAGATAATCTCAGAGGTGTACTATTTGAGGACTTATATAAGAGCTTGACTGAGAAGGAAACAGAGGAAGGTCTAATTACGAAGGGGAAAGAGGAGGAGATTCTGCCCAAGAAAGAGAAAAGGAAACATCTGATTAAGAAGAAGAAAATCAGTACAAGTGAAGAGGAACTGGAAGATAACTTGGCTAAGAAGCTAAAGAAAAAGGGTTTGACTCAAACAAGGAAAATGGAAAGGAGTTTGAAAGAGAGGCTGAGTAAGAAAAAAGAGGGCCCACGAGAGGAAGAGGAGAGCCTTAGTGAAGAGGAGTGGAGGTGCTGGAGTGAGGAGGAGGAAGAGGTGAGCCTGAGTGAGGAGGAGGAGAGCCTCAGTGAGGAGGAGGAGGAGGAGAGCCTCAGTGAGGAGGAGGAGGAGGAGAGCCTGAGTGAAGAGGAGGAGGAAGAGAAAATGGAGGAAAAAGAGAAGGAGGAGGAGGATGAAAGGCAGAAGGATGTGGAAAGCCTGAGTAAAGAGAAGGAAAAGGAGAGCAGACTTATGGAGGGAATGTTCTCAGAAGAGGAGAGAGTATTGAAAACAAAGCTCTCAAAGGAAAAAGTGAGATTATCCAAGCTGGTGATAGAAGGTGAGGATCTTGCTGAGAAAAGGGAGGGTACAGCTAAAGGAGAAAGGCATTTTAAGAAAGAAGGCTTGATTGATGTAAGGAGACTCCAGACTTATGGACAAGGCTATGTGGCCAACAGTTCTGAAGAGCCCCTCCAAAATACCATTCCAGATAACCCTGGAGGGAAAAGAGAGAATGCCCCTGAAAGTGTCAGAGGATCACTGGGATTTGGAAGACAGACAGGGCAGTCAGCTTCTTGGAGTACAGCCCATGACAAGTTCATTGGGAAGACAAGAGAATGAACTCCTGGAGAAAGCCAGGGGTATGTTTTTACAAGCCATGGAAAGAGGCTTAGAGACCCAGGTTCCAGAAGGTCGCCGTAGGCTGGAGTTTCAATTGTCTGATACTTTCGTGGAACCACAGAAACCTAAACGCAGACCCAAAAGTGAAAGGTGGAAGTGGTTCTTGGGGTATCAGGATTCTCTGATGGGGGAAACTGAGGGCCAGGCTCCAGCTCCAGCCCCAGCCCCAGCCTTTTCACCTGAAATGGCAGGTAGGAGATATCAAAGGCCAGCCTTCTCAGAAGCAAGCTTTTCAGATGAGGATTGGATTAACAATGCCTTAAAAAGGCTGGAAGCAGGAAAGCAACTTTCCAGGGAGAGTTTTCATCGGCTGAGTCAGATCCTCAGAGACTTTACTTCAAAGAGATACTTGAAATGGATGCTTCTTTCTAATCTTAAGGCCATTGCTAAACATCTCAGGCAGAACCTAGAGTTAAGTCACACGCTGATACATTACAACCCTGTAAGGACGTTTTGAGTCCAGTGCACTTAAAAGAGATCCCTCCAATTAGAAGAAAAGAAACAGAGAAATGGTTGAAGCCATTCTCTATCCCCGAACCAGTGTTACCATCAGCCATCAAGAGGACTCAGACCCCACAGGCTCTCAGCTGGCATCTCTTAGCTGAGTCCTATAGAAAGAAGCAGGCACAACAGTTATCCACTGCTCTCAAGGAGATAAAGCACCTTTATCCAGTCAGAAGGGATGTTCCTATAGCCGTCTGTCCCTCTGTGGATAAGAAATCTCTAGCCTTGAAATTAGAGAAGGACTTCCCAGCCTTGAGGAGGAGGGGTGAGATCTCCAAATTTCCAATGACAAAGAAGGAAGCACTGCCCATGCCTGCTCTGGCAATACCATTAATTACCAAGAGAATTCAAGATCCCAAAGCTATAAACTGGCATCTTTTGGGAGAGCCTTACAGGAGTGCATGGGTACAACAGTTATCCGATGCCCTCAAAGAGATGGAGAGGCGACATGTCTCTGCCACGAGAGACATTTTCACAGGTGCCCATGCCTCTGTGGACAAACAAACTCTAGCACTAATGTTTCAGAAGGATCTCAGGGCTTTTAAGGGTAAAGGCAGGCCCCCTAAATTGCCCAAGTTGGAGAAGGCAAAACCCATCTCTGAAAAGAAGGAAGAGAGGCCTTTGTGGGAGACATTCGTGGCACTGTACCATGTTTTGCGGATGCTGCAGCAGCGATATGGAAAAGACAATGCTGCTTGGGTGGAACAGTTCAACCAGCTCATGGAGCTGTACCAACTTAAGTCCCCCCGAATCCAGAGGCTTCTACTAGAGTTAGTGCAAGGAGAGCAACTTCAGCCCCAAGAGACCATCTACCAAAATGCCCTGGAGACCAAGGATCTGGTGGAGGGTGAGCGGTTGTTCTACCACCTGTTTTGTGGTCATTCCCATGGCCCTGCAGGTCCCCTCAAGTTCCAGAATGTGGTACCCCTCCCTAGGCAGAACAGAGTCCATGCTATCCAGTCTGAGGGCATTGCCCAGTATGGCTTCCTAGAACTTGCCTGGAAAAGCCTACCACACGTCGGTCCTCATCGCATCGGGAGGCTACCCAGTATTCCTACTCCTACCCTCTGATTAGGCTTAATATTAGAACTTTGGAATCCTATGGGAAAAGGAGCTACCTGGGTCACAGACTTTAAGCGTCCTTACTTGTTCCCCGCTTTGAGGTGGGGCTAGATGAAGACCTGCCTCTATTCAGCTCCAGAAACCTGATACTGAATAAAGTGACATTTCTCAGTTGTAAAAAATATTCTTGCTTCTCTTCCTCTTCAGGCCTAGAATCCCTTGGAAAGTGGCCAGAGAAAACAGATGCCCTTTGTCCTAAGGCAGACAATTTTTTCAGTCAGTGCAATATATCCTTTGGAGGGCAAGGGCCAGTACCTAATCACCTTTTCAGAGAAGAGTCTGTCCCAGCACTCTTTCTCTTTGGCTACTATTTCCTTTCCTTAGAAGGTCTTGGAGAGATAGGTGAGCATGGCGGCTCACGTCTATATAATCCCACTGCTTTGGGATGCTAAGGCAGGCAGATCACCTGAGGTCAGGAGTTAGAGAAATATTTTTATCCAGAATATAAAAATGTTCTCTTTAACTCAATAAGGAAAGAAACCTCAATTCAGTGGGAAAATGGACAAGAGCCTTGGATTGGCAATCCACAAAATGAAAAATTCATATATAATAAATATGAAAAGGTGTCCAACCTCACTACTGGTAATCAGAGAAAAGCAAATTAAAACTATAATGAGGTGGATACTACTACCACATTCACCAGAATGGCTAAAAATAAAAAGACAACAAAAATGCAAATGTTGGCAAGTCTGTAGAACAACACTCTACATTTCTAGTGTGAATATAAACTGGCACAAACACTTTGGAAAATAGTCTGACATTATCAAACTAAAACTGAAAATACACAAAACCTTGCGCCATAATTACACTCCTAAGATATATAACTGACAGAAACACATACATATCTGCACCAGGAGACACACAGATAAGAATATTCACAGCAGCATTACTATAGCAAATAGAAACAGAAACAACTCAATTTCCATCCATAGAATGGATAAATTATAGTAATGCAATAGAAAACTAATCAGAAATAAAAATGAACAAACTAATGAGCAATGGAGTCAAGCATAAAATATACATAGATCATGATTCCATTTAAATTAAGTTTAAACTATTATCATTAGGAATGCAATTTTGATTATAAAACTTTCATGAAGACTAAGGAGAGTGATTACCATAAATGTCAGGATATGACTTACACTGTATTTAGGATGGCGGGTAGGGGCAGTGATTGTATCAGTGAAGGGCTTCCAGGGTGCTGGCAATGTTTCTTAAACAGGGAGCTGGTTACATGGACGTTCACTTGATAATAGTTTATTAAACTATATATTTGTGTTTTATGCATTTTTTTTGTATGGCTGTTATATTTCACCACACATATGGTAAAAGAAAAAGCTGAAGGATAGACTGGAGTTGGGCTAGCAGGAAGGCAGCAACTTTTATAACAAAATGGGGGTGCATGGGAGAGTTTTTAAAGTACAATCTTATTTTTTGAGATCAGAGTAAAAAAGATATGGAGAGGGCTATGGACCACAACTTTAAAACTTTGCAAAATATTTTACTTTATGTCCATGAAAATCTTTTATTTTCCTCTGAGAAATTAATAGACTTTTCATGAAAGACTGTGTAAACTATATAAGGACTTTTGTTAATTTTAGTTTTATGTCCTAATTTGTTTCTCCTAGGAAGGTCAGATTCAAATTTGAAGCTTAATTCTTAATGAACTTATTTCTGTATATTCTAATTGCAAGTTTCTCCTAGTCTTAATTATCTATGTTTTCCTAATTTTTATCTATTTAGGGTTTTTCATCTTATTGTTGAGATTATTGTGGTCTACTTTACCTGCCTTATAGAATAAGATAATAAAATCAATACATCATTTAAAACTCACATAGGACTTCATAATTTCTTCTGAAATATTTTTGCAAAGACCTATAATAATAAAAAGACAACCCAAAGAAATTGAGGAAAGTGTTTCAGTAGGCATTTCACAGAAGAGGAATGGCCAGTAAACATGTTTTTAAAATCTCAACCTTATTAGTAATCAGAGAGATGCAAATTAAAACCGAAATGAGACTCTACTGTATATATCTGCATATACATCTATCAGAATCACCTGAACTTAAAATTCTGTCCATTTCAAATGTTAGCAAAGAGTATTATTTGAAAAATCCTCTTTGGAAAATATTGCACATTGTCTAGTAAAGTTGAGGATATTTGCACGGAATATTTACTCTGTGTTCAGTAATATATTCTTAATATATATCCTAGAACAGGACTTAGCAAACTATGGCCCACAGGCTAAATCCTGCCTCTGCATAAAGATTTACTAGAACACACCCATTGTTTTACATATTGTCAATGGCCATGATTTTATGCTACAATGACAGAGTTGAGTAGTTGTGACAGAGGCTGTATGGCCCAGAAAGCCTAAAATATTTCCTATATGTCCCTCTACAGAGGAAAGTGTGATGACCCTTGCCCTAGAACAGCCTCTGCATTTCCATCAGTAAGCATGTACGAGAATGTTCGCAGCAGAACTGTAATTGCAAACTTTGAAGCATCTCACATTTCTATCAATTGAGAATGGATTTTAAAAACTGTAATATAGTCAGTCAATGTAATACTGTACAATGAAAATGAATGGATTATAGCTACAATGCTTAATCTCAGGAACATAATATTGACCAAAAAAAAAAACTGCATCACAGAATAGTATACAAAATAGTTATATAAAACTCAAAAACATCCATAAGCAACATAGTTTTGGAGTAAGTAGTTGAAACTATAAAGAAAAGCAAAAGAATTCTAAAACTCGAGATAATTGTTATATCCGAAGGAAAGGGGAATAGAAATGGGAATAGATATCTAGGAGTCTTCAAAGTTAGTAGTTAATATTTTCTTTCTTAAAAAAATGTAGTTGGTACACAGGTTTTTTGCTGTATTGAAAATTTAAGAAACATTTCATAAATATTTTGTATCTACTCAATGTTTAATAGAAACTATCTTTGAAACATATGAATTTAATTAAAAGAGCAGGTGAAGGTTAAAATCTTTTAGTAGGACAAAGTGAACTCAATTTCCTCCAATGGACTGGAGCCTCTAAGGCAAATACTTGAATAATATTGTAAAATATTTCTGTTGACTGAAAAACTGGGCTTGAATAACCAATGATTTCACTCTACCTGATTCCTCCTCCCTCACCAAGACCCTTGTCATTTTTTTAACCATGTCTTTCTTTCCCATGATCTGATATGGAAATTATAATGGGCTTAGAAACTTAGAAGCCGTCTTGCATATAGCAAAAGATAAGACATTGGTCAGACTCTGGCTGTGGAATTGAGACCCATTTCCATGGTTGTCAGGAAAGCAAGGCCATCCTAGGAAGGGCTAGAGAAAGCTACAGTCAGAGTGGTCTCTGTACAATTCTGAAAAGCTCTAAATATTTTTTTATATTTTAAAATTAAAATTTACATATATGAGTAATGTTACCTCGTTGAGAGAGAGAGAGAGAAAGAAAAATAACCCATAGTGCTTAAGTTCCCTTTGACATTTACTTCTCCCCCTTTACCCTAAATCTTCCCTTCTCTCCCTAAAGGTTACCATTAACAGGAGTTTGGTGCCTATCACTCTATAAAATATGTACTTTTTGTTGTTGTTGTTTTGTTTTGAGATGGAGTCTTGGTCTGTCAGCAGGCTGGAGGGCAGTAGCACGATCTCAGCTCACTGCAATCTCTGCCTCCCAGGTTCAAGCAATTCTGCCTCACCACCGAGTAGCTGGGACTACAGGCGTATACCACCACACCCAGCTAATTTTTGTATTTTCAGTAGAGACAGAGTTTCACCATGTTGGCCAGGATGGTCTCGATCTAAGAGATCGAGAGGTCAAGGACCTCATAATCCGCCTGCCTCAGCCTCCCAAAGTGCTGAGATTACAGGTGTGAGCCACTGCACCTGGCCAAAAATATATACTATTTTTATACTAATTATAGCACATAGTCTTCTAACAAATCCTTCTCAGTTCCTGCAGTCTAGGTTTCTAATGGTTTTTACTTTTAAGTGATAGCTTTCTTTGTCTTGTAAACACTCATCATAACTATTCAGAAGACTGATCATACACACATAGGTTCATTCACTCAAGAATTCTGTTCACCAAATTTGCTATTCCAGTCACATTACTGGGAAGAGATCAATGTATTTGATATATGTCTTGAAAGACCAAGTTTTATTAATTTTTTCCCCTCCAAAGGAGTGGTGAAATTATCTTCTCTGTGCTAGAAGTTCACAAGTTTGTGATTATTCAAAAACCATAAAAGGCCAAGAGGTCTCGAAGTTAGTAAAGATAAGTTCAGGTTTACCAACAAACTCTACAGGCTTAAGTTACTTTCTCCCCACCAGTCAAGGTTTTCTCGTCAGAAAATAAGGACAAGTGTTTGACCTAGAATTTGGGAAATTTGACCAGTGCTGTACTGTGCTAAAATTCACCCTTTTTATGTATAACGTTATTTTATTGTTTTATTCGTTGATGGCCTCTTAACTTTACCCAGTAATAAGAGAAACTTTACCCTCTAATTAGAAAATAATGGATATCCACTTTTGGCCTACTGAGGCAGAGGAAGACTGTTACCCTAGAACTGGTTTTGAAATAATCTTTCTAAAAACAAAGAAAAACCTATGTTAATTTTGCATTGTTCCCCATAACACATACATTTGATCCAACAGAAAAATCATGTCTCAATTACTTGTCAGATAAATTATCGTTTCCAGATTATCACATTACTATTTAAGGAAGAAATAACTTGGCCATTGTATTTTCACTGTCACACGCGGTCACACATAGTTCATTTGCTAGTGGCACCCTTACAGACACTGAAATACAAGCACAAGGAAAGCACCTTTAAGTAACACAAATCACCAGTTACACAATTATGGACACACACAAAAAGCAGATATCCATAAGCAAAACCACAGCAGAGATCTGTGTAGAATCGTTTTACTCTGTCAGACGATTCTACAGTTATAAAATCCCATTACCACGCAGCTTAAAGTATCAATCACCTCACACCCTACAGCAGGAAGGATCTCACACACAGGCAGAAATACAACCATACACACCCGGCCACGGAAAGACTCCCAGTCCACCCGGCAGCTCCCATTGTCACATACACGCACACTCCCCCTAAGGGCCTGGCAGGGCACACAGAGGGTTCTCTGCAAATCCGAGGTTCTGACGGGTCCCCGCACCTGCCTGGCCGGCTGGTCCCACCCTCTCTCCTGGTCTGGGTAGACCCTGGGACAACTCAGAGCTCGCTCTCGCAGGCCCTGAGCGCCCGACGCCTGCGCACTGAGCGCGGGCGGGCACTCCTAGAAATCTCCGGGGCGCCGCAGCCGGGACCAGCAGGTTCCACAGGCTGAATCCACGAGCTCCCGGAGGGTGAGCGGTCTGAGCCTCCCCGCGTGCCGGCCGGCTGACAGGCCAGCCACGGCCTTCCCGGCGCTGGACTACATTTCCCAGAGTCACGGCGTCCGGAACGCGGCTTCATTTCCGTTGGGTTGCGAGATTTGGAGGCCTCGCGTGGAGAGAGGGCCGAGTCTGTGGAGGATCTTGGCTTGGCACCTGCTAGATTGGCGAACCTGAAATCGAGCTTGGAACCCGAGCGCCAGATCTTGGACCCTGAACTGCACCTCTGTCGGGGTAGGAGTGTCCGGAATGCCAGCGCGGACTTGGACGGAGAAAGCGTCGCTGGGGTTACCCATGTAACCCATGTGTCTCGGGTTTTGTGTGCTGGCTGCAGCCTGCCTGGTATTGGTGCCTGCCTGTGCATACACGACTGGGAGTGTGTGGCTGTGGTTTTGTGTATGAGCAGTTGTGTGAGTGTGAGTTGTTTGTGACTCTGAGGGTGTTTGTGACTGTTTGCTTATCTGGCTGGGATGTACTCATGTGACTGTGTATGTACCGTGTGTATAATTGAGGTTTGCTTGTGACTATAAAGTCTGTGACATTTATGACAAGAGTTTGAGGTTGTGTACATACCTGATATCGTGTGACGGGTTTTCCAGTAAATGTAAGATGTGTGACTGTAGCTGTGACACGGTGTTTGTGACCACGTGTTTCCCTGATCTGGTACTTGGTTGGGTGACTGTGTATGACTGTTGGGTTGTGTGTGCTGTTTTTATGACTGGGTGAAGAGACTAAACTTGCAGCTTGGAAAGGGTGTTTCTGGCGGTATGTGTCTCTGACAAGGTGCTTGGATGTAATTATATGCCTTGTACTTAATGGGATTTTGTTTGAGAGGAGGTGCTCTAACAGTGTAGCATAATTGGATGATTGTGCCTTTAGTTGTGTGACTGTGGAAATGTGATTATGTGTGACTGTCTGGCCATTTGTATATTCTGTGACCTTATGGGGGTTTAGTCCAGTACAGAAGTAAATTTCATTTTGGTATTTCTGGGGCTGAGGTCTGTCTATGGATCATGTCTTATGCGGCTCTGTGCTCCTCTGAGGACTTAAGGACTTCTTTTTGTTTTTACCACAGTGGCTGCCCGTTCATACATGGCCTGTATTCCTTCATTTCTGTATTCATCCTTGGCTCATCTGTGAAATGTAGTTACGGGGTCACGGCTTCTTCCCTGTGTCCTCTCACCTTATAGCCTGCAGGGGACTGAATGCAAGGAAGTGGCAAGAAGTAAGGAAGCCAGTCATTTGGACACCTGGGTGAAGAATAGGAGTTATTTGCAAGCCACAGACCTGGTTTTGAGATGAGAATTTTAGGGCTTAAAATACCTTCAAGACAGGCCACTGGAAATGTCATGGGATTCCAGGAGTGGGAATAGTTTCAGAGGGAGTACTTTTGGAGGCAGCCACACAGTTCTGAACCTGAAGCACTCCACCGCAGGGTTCTGTCTCCAGCATACAGCTTTGAATCCAGAAATAAATTCAAGACAAAGACACCTGGCCCTTTTTTCTGATACAGAAGGTAGAAGACCTGTTCTAGTCCCGCCTGACTTTTCTTTATGTTAAATGAGATTAAGAGGATAGGGGAAGAGGATGTGTTCTAATTTAGTATATTCCCCAAGAAGGCCTAATATCTCATTCTGTTTTTCTTTTCCTGAGAGTAGAACCCAGAGGATAAAGAATGGCTGTTTCAGTCGCAATGTCCAAGGTGAGTATTTCCTCTTTGTTTCCTGAAATACCTTTGTTATTATAGAACATAGGCATTTTTATTTTCTTTTTGAAATTTTCTGCCTTCTGAAATGACAGAGGGGTAAGGCAATTTTTGGTAGATTGAGACAAAGATAATGTGCCATTAATTGTGATAGATGCTTCCCAATAGTGATTAAATTTAGGAAGAATGGATTTTGAGACTCATGGATTTAAAAAGCGGCACTCTATGGTGTTATCTCTGATACAGCAGCATTTTGATTTTTTAACTTTTTTTAAGCTTTTTCTTAAAAATTTCAAATGTACACAAAAGTATAATGAATATGCCTAGCTTTAAAGCAATCACTTTCCAATCTTGTTTTATTTATTTTGACTTCAGTTCAAAATCCTTTCTAATTTGCCCTTTTGATTTCTTCTTTGACTTATAGGTTATTTTGAAGTATTGTGTTTTCAACTATTTTGACGCTCTTCCAGAGATCTTTTGTTACTGATTTCTAATTTTGTTACATTGTGTTCACAGAATAACACTTTGTATGATTTGAATCATTTTAAATTTATTTGGATTTGTTTTATGACCCAGAATTTGGTGCATCTTAGTAAATATTCCATGTGCACTTGAAAAGACTCTATTTAGTGGTTGTTTAGTGTTTAGTGGAGTGTTCTATAAATGTCAACTAGGTCAGGTAGATTGATAGTATTGTTTAAATCTTTCATATCTTTACTGATTTTTTCTTTGTTGGATTTTTCTCCTTGTAGTTTCTTTCAGTTTCTACTTCATGCATTCTTTTTCTTTTCTTCTTCTTTTTTTTTTTTTTTTTGAGATGGAGTCTTGGTTTGTCACCCAGGCTGCGGTGCGGTGTCATGATCTCGGCTTAGAGCAACCTCCACCCCCCAAGTTCAAGTGATTCTCCTACCTCAGCCTCCCAAGTAGCTGGGATTATAGGTGGACACCACCACACCCAGCTAATTTTTGTATTATTATTATTTTTTTTTTAGTAGAGATGGGGTTTCACCATATTGGCCAGGCTGGTCTCAAACTTCTGACCTCAGGTGATCCACCCACCTCTACCTCCCAAAGTGTTGGGATTACAGGTGTGAGCCTGTAATCCCTGGCCTGGCCTGCTTCATGTATTTTGATATTCTGTTAGTAGATAAAGGTTTTAGATTTTTACATCCTACTGGTGAATTGACCCTTTTTTCATTAGGAAATGGTCTTCCTTATACCTGATAATATTCTTTGCTCTGAACATCTGCTTTGCCTGATATTTAATGTAGCCACTCCAGCTTTTTTTTTTTTTTTTTTTTTTAGACGGAGTCTTGCTCTGTCACCCAGGCTGGAGTACAGTGGTGTGAGTAGCTGGGATTACAGGTGCCCACTACCACACCCGGCTAATTTTTTGTATTTTTAGTAGAGATGGAGTTTTACTGTATTAGCTAGGATGGTTTCGATCTCCGGACCTCATCATCTGCCCGCCTTGGCCTCCCAAAGTGCTAGGATTATAGGCATGAGCCACTGCACCCAGCCTCCAGCTTTCTTTTCATTAGTGTTAACATTGTATATCTTTTTCTATTATTTTACTTTTAGCCTATTTGTGTTTTGATATTTCAAGTGCATGTTTTATATACAGCATATAATTGGGTCTGTGTTTTTATTCAATTTGGCAATTTCCTTTTTTTAAACTCAATTTGACAATCTCCTTTTTTTTTTAGACAGAATTTCACTCTGCCACCCAGGCTGGAGTGCAGTGGCAAGATCTCAGCTCACTGCAACCTCTGCCTCCTGGGTTCAAGTGATTCTCCTGCCTCAGCCTCCTGAGGAGCTGAGATTACAAGCACACACCAGCAGGCCCAGCTAAATTTTTTGTATTTTTAGTAGAGACAGGGTTTTGTAGTGTTGGCCAGGCTGGTCTCAAACTCCTGACCTCAGGTCATCTGCTCACCTCGGCCTCTCAAATTTCTGTGATTACAGGTGTGAACAACCACACCCAGCCAGCAATCTCCAGCTTTTAATTGCAGTATTTAGACCATCTATACTTAGTGTGATTATTGATATGGTTTGGTTCAAATCCATCATTTGCCATTTGTTTTATATTTGTCCCATCTGTTCTTTATTTCCTATTCTCACTTTTCTGCCTTCCTTTGGGTTGAGACGAAGAGTTTCAAAATAACAATACCAATATATTGCCAACCATATGAATATAGAAAAGCAATAAAGTCCTGTTGGAGTTTGACAGGACATATCCCACTAGGGATGTATAATTGAATTACTGTGTTTTAAAAGTCATCTAAATAGCACTTCTCATTTGGTTAAGCTGCCAACTGGAAATGCAGTTAGGCTCATTTGTTTTATATTGCTTTTCATGTCTGGGGATTGCTTTTCTCCCACTATGATTTAATCTTGTTTTTAAATTACATAACATATATCCAAAATCAAAACTACAGAACAAGATGAATTTGGAGAAGTCTAGTGTCCACTTCTGTCCCCTCCACCAGCTTCTTTCTTCCCTCTGTACATAGCTACCTGTACTTCTCATTGGTTTTACTTTTATATTTCTTTTAAATGATATATATGTTTATGTATATGCATTTATATGTGTGTGTATGTATGCAATTTTTATTCTATTTTTAATTAAAAGGAGTACTCTGTGTACACTGTTCTGCACCTTCTTTTTTCTTTTTCACACATCTACAGTATCCTGGAAATAACTCTATAGGAGTCTATAAAGATCTTCCTCATTTATTTTTATAGCCGCATATTCTATTGTGGTGTTATAGTAATTCAACCAGTCTCCAATGGATGGCCATTTGTTTTTTTCTGTTTTTTACTGTTATATAATGCAGCCATCAATAACTACATATGTCGCTTTTATCTGTGGAAGTTTATATTTGGGGCAAGTTTGTAGAATTGGCCTACTTATAGTTTATGTTAATGCTTTGCTTAAGTTCTGCATGAATTGCAACTCCGTGTCATAACAAAGTTGGTACACTTCTTCATTTTTCTTCTTTCTTATCTTCTATTACCTAACTTTTAAAAAAATTATCTTAGAGTATATGCTGTTAAATATTCTTTTTTCTCCAAATTTAGTAAGAATCCTTTTTTTTATAAAACTTGCATTTCCTGTTTAGAGTTCAGGAAGCTGATATCTTTGTTTTCTGATATCAAAGTAGTACTCGTTTGTTGGTGTGATTTAGAAAATACAAAAATAAAGACACAAAGGATAAAATAACAATTACTGAAAAACCATCCTCTGTAATGAATCGTTCATATGTGGAGTCCATTCTTCAAGTCTCTTTTCTTTAACTTCTTCTTATGGAAAAAATTAAAACATATACAGAAGTAAGTGTAGTGTAATGTATCCCATATACTCTACCCATCACTCAGCTTCAACACATATCAGTTTATGGCTAAACATGTTTCATCTGTATCCCTGTTTCTTCTCCCACCCCTCTTCTAAGATACAACATAGAGGACTGGGCATGGTGGCTCACACCTCTAATCCCAGCACTTTGGGATGCCAAGGTAGGCAGATCACGAGGACAGAAGATCGAGACCATCCTGGCCAACTTGGTGAAACCCTGTCTCAACTAAAAATACAAAAATTAGCTGGATGTGATGGCATGTGCCTCTAGTCCCAGCTACTTGGGAGGCTGAGACAGGAGAATCCCTTGAACCGGGGAAGTGGAGGATGCAATGAGCCGAGATCGCACCACAGCACTCCAGCCTGGCGACAGAGTAAGACTGTCTCAAAAAAACAAAAACAAAAGCATAAGTTATCTTGAAGTGGATTTCAGATATATAATTTCATCCTTAAAGATATTAATATATATCTGTAAAAAGTAAGAACTTTTAAATTAAATAAAAATAATAACCATAGTATCATCACTGCTAAAAAGTAAAAAGCCAGGCATGGTGACTCATGCCTGTAATTCCAGCACTTTGGGAGACTGAGGTGGGCAGATCACCTGAAGTTACAAGTAGGAGACCAGCCTGGACAAAACGGTGAAGCCCTGTCTCCACTAAAAATACAAAATCAGGGCCGGGCGCAGTGGCTCACGCCTGTAATCCCAGCACTTTGGGAGGCCAAGGCGGGTGGATCACAAGGTCAAGAGATCGAGACCATCTTGGTCAACATAGTGAAACCCCGTCTCTACTAAAAATACAAAAAATTAGCTGGGCATGGTGGCGCGTGCCTGTAATCCCAGCTACTCAGGAGGCTGAGGCAGGAGAATTGCCTGAACCCAGGAGGCGGAGGTTGCGGTGAGCCGAGATCGCGCCATTGCACTCCAGCCTGGGTAACAAGAGCGAAACTCCGTCTCAAAAAAAAAAAAATACAAAATTAGTGGGGCATGGTGGTACGTGCCTGTAGCCCCAGCTATTTGAGAGACTGAAGTGGAAGGATTGCTTGAGCTTGGTAGGCAGAATTTACAAGGAGCCAAGATTGCACCACTGCACTCCAGCCTAAGCAGCAGAGTGAGACCCTGTCTCAAAAAAAAACATCCAAAAAAACAAAACAGGCAATATTCTCTTAATGTCATGAGCCAGTGAGTGTTCAAATTTTCCCATTGTCTATAAATATTTTTTATGATTTTTTTAGAATCAAGATCTAAACAATGTTTATTTGCTATAATAGTGCTATATGTTTCTTAAATATTCTTTTACTCCCTGGGTTCTTTCACTTTTTCTTTCTTACAGTTTATTTTTTCCAGAAACAGAGTTTTCCCGTAGAGTTACCCATGTTCTGGATTTTGTTGATTGCTCGCCTGTGGTGTCATTTAACATGTTCCTCTGACCCTGTATTTCTTGTAAACTGGTATTTAATTTTAGAGGTTTGATCAGGTTGAGGATTTTTGTTGGTTTTTGCTTGTTTTTTACTAATCCGTCTTACATAGTGATGTGCACTTCTCCGAAGTGGTGCATAGTATTTGCTTGTTTTCCTTTACGTGATGTTAGCAGCCAGCTATTGGCATCTTTGTTTGAATATGTTATTTTATCAGGGGTTACAAAATGATAATTCTTCTGCATTAATAGCTGGAATATGTCTATAAAGGGAGTCATTCATTCTCAGTGTCTTGGTTACCTAAAGAATAGTTTATGGTGTAAAAACAACCAAAAAAACAGAACTAGAATCAAAGATTGGTTTTTCTCTTATTATTTTTCAGCATCTCCCAAAGCTTATTCTGTGTTTTTCTTTTAAACTATTAGTAGCTTTGCGCAGTGGCAGTATCGTAGCCAATAAGGTTTATCCGAGGAGCAATTATTGCTAATTGAAAACTTTTCCCAATACCCTGCCGTGACGACTTGCAATATAATCGGCATTGGCAATTTTTGACAGTCTACAGAGACTGAATTAAAAAGAAAAGAACGGTTACTATTAACTTGTGGATTAAAACATGTCTGTTATGTTTCGATCTGTAAGTTACTGTTTTTATTAATGCTCACATTGTTCCATGCATGGCAAGTGGAAAGTTTACCCTCTGTGATTTTCCTACTCTTTTATTCCTTTTTGTTCTTTTCAACATGACTCCAGTAGTCTTTGGTAGATTCCAGACTTTCTGTTCTGACAGGGTATTCTAGGCTCATTTAAAACATTTTCCCATCCCAAACATAAGATCAGCCACTTCTTTATGGGACCCTGGTTCCTTTTATGTGAAGTAGTTTTAAGAAGTCACAACCAGGACAGCAGGAACTCTCATTGCTCCTAGTTGTCATTGCTTATAGCCTTAACAGCTGGTGAAATACAAATTTTTTTAGAAGGAGAAAAAAAAAAGCCTGAGGGTATACTGATATTTTCAATTGAATTAAAAGATTATAGAGTTTTTCTTACTATCTGATTTTATATTTGTGTGGCTTTTGTAATCTGAAAAAATCTTAATTCGTAATGATTAATGATACTAAGATTCTCACTGATATATGGGTATGTGTGTATAATCATTTCAGGTTATATACATGTATTAGTTTTAGACTAACAACGCTAATATTAATAACGGTATAACTGCTAAAAAAACTCTAATACATAACTTCACAAAGTTATAAACTCTAAGACAACTTTGAAAAACAGTTTATAGTTATTTTGTTTGTAGGTTATATTGGGTCTAAAGTCAAATGACTATATTTTGGCTGTGTGCAGTGGCTCATTCCTGTAATCCCAGCACTTTGGGAGGCCAAGGCAGGAAGATCACCTGAGGTCAGGAGTTCAAAACTAGCCTGGCCAACATGGATGAAACCCCATCTCTACTAAAAATAAAAAATTATCTGGATATGGTGGTACGCATCGGTAATCCCAGCTACTACCCAGGAGGCTGAGAGAGGAGAATTGCTTGAACCTGGAAGGCAGATATTGTAGTAAGCCAAGATTGTGCCACTGCATTCCAGCCTGGGTGACAGAGTGAGACTCCATCTCAAAAAATAAAAACAAAAAGACTATATTTTAAAGTTTCTTAAAATAATCACTTCCTTTATATGTTTAACCTTCCAGCTTTATGCGCAGATAAATTTGTTTCATTTTGCTTTTGGTTCCTGAGAATATTTTTCATTTTGATTTAATTTTGTGATTTTAGTTATAGGAAACATACTTGTGGTTCCAAAGTCAAATAGATTTGATTGTAATACTTTATAACTGTTGTAATACTTTATGTCTGTTTTCCTAGAGGATATTGAACTGTAATTTTTTTGTGTGTAATATCTTTGTGAGATTTTAGTAATATGGTTATTTGGCCTCAAAATATAGAACAGAATGCTATCTCCTTTTTCTTTTTTCTGAAAAAGTTTGTGAAAGAATAGTGTTATATCTGCCTTAAATGTTGGTAGAATTTACCAGCAAAGCCATCTGGGCCTTCTCTAGATTGTTTGTTTGCTTGTTTGTTTCTACAAATTCAATTTCCTTAATATAAATGGGATTTTTTTTCTGTTTTTTTCTTGTGTGTGAATTCTGTGTGAATTTTGGCAATTTTTGTTTTAAGGAATTTGTCTATATCATTGAAATTGCCAACATTTTTCGCATAGAATTGTATTATCTTTTTAATTAAAGCCTTAAAAAAAATCTGTGCTCTAGTCTCCACTATGGTAATGTTTTTTTCTTGAAAACTTGGTAGGGGTTTACAAACTGTATTAATCTTTTGAAAGAATTGAGTTTGTTGTCATTTTAGAAATCTAAATTTCTTCATTATAAGTAATTGTAAGCATAAGCATTAATTATTTATGTCTTCTAATATAGTTGTTATGATCATAAATATACTGAAATATTAAGTGGTTGATTATCTCCATTTTGACATCTGTAGATGTCAAATTACCTACGAGTTTCATTTCAGAAGTGGTAGAGACATTGTTATATTTTCTTTTTGTAGATAGAAAGCATTGAGTTTGATCAAGGTAGGAACCACAACCTATATCTATCCTTCTTAGTGTGTGTTTTGCAGTGGAAGAAAGATACAGGAAGAAAAGAACAACAAAGACAATTCCAACTGAATCATTTCTTAATTTACAAAATACCTGTTCTTACTGTTCTGCTTTTTCCTCCCTAGCTCTGCATTCTCCAGACTCTGTGCTTTTCTAAGATAGGAACCCAGAAGAGGACTGATCATTTCTTGCAGGTTTAAAAACCATGGCTTGGGTAAATTGGAGTTTCTTTGTGCTCTCTTCACTTACTTTTTTACAGAGTATGTGTGTATTTGTATTCTTTACTTCTGAAGATTCATTCCTGACTGACCTCCCTCAGGAATATGCTCCCCAGTTTGTCCCATTCTTATAAGTGATAGTGTCTTCCCTAAGTGTATCTTTCTACTCTATAGTCACATACTTATTCAACAATCCATTCAGCATCTTTGACTAGGAGCACTGATCTAACAAAAGCAGAGTTCCCTGATTTCATAAGACAGAGGAAGATATTAAATGGCACCACACATGAAAACCTTTTGAACTTCTCTTTAGATCTAAGTTCCCAGGTAGACAAGACAGGAGTTGATCGTGACTGGGATCACTCTCAGTATATGGCAAGAGCTCATGTTTTATTAGTTTTTAAGATTAGGAAGATGATTAGGGACTGAATACAGAAAGATCAGGGATCTTCCCCAGGAAGATGTAACTTAATATGGATCAATTGGAAATTCAACATTATGTGCTGGTCTTGAATGTGTAAATTTAGATTATGTTTTTCACCTTTCTAATGCTTAGAATGATGAAAAGTTACGTTTATAGTTGAATAGTAAATACGATCATAGTAAAGGTGATCATTTCCCAGCAGAAGTTGCTGAGAATAATAAACTCTGAGAACTAAGAAATACTTACACAGTTTTATTTTATACAACCTAAAATGTTTAAATATGAGCACTTATTAAATCAGATGTATTCATTATATGGAGCTATTCTGTATCCTATAAAATATTTACTAAATTATTGATGACGAGGAAAATGTTTATGATATAGTACTTGGATCTAATGGTGAATCTGGAGCTTCAATAAATTCTTTAATTTTATACAAATCTATTTTATAAGGTTTTACAGATAATTTTTCCCAGTTATTTTGTTTATTCCTTAAATAGTGAAGAAAGAGAAAGTTACATTTATTGAGAATGTATGATACACAATATACATATTATATAGAATGCTTGTGTATACTATTTCCTTTAATTGCGACATTGCATTTAGTTTATTAATTCCCAGACTTATCTGTAAAGTAAGATGTTCTGTATGTAGAAAATATCTACAGCAGGCCAGGTGCAGTGGCTCACACTTGTAATCCCAACACTTTGGGAGGCCTAGGCAGGAGGGTCCCTTAGGCCAGGTGTTCAAGACTCTCCTGTGCAACATAACAAGACCCCTGTCTCTACAAAAAAATTTAAAAATTATCTGGGCGCAGTGGCACGTACTTCGGTCTCAACTACTCAGGAAGCTGAGGCAAGATCACTTAAGCCCAGGAGTTCGAGGCTGCAGTAAGCTATGATGGCACCATGTACTCCAGCCTGGGTGGCAGAGGGAGACCCTGTCTCCAAAACAACAACAACAACATCAAAACTATAGTAATAGGAATAATCAGGAACATATTCGTACTTTTCTGCCCATTTGCTCTCTTGCTTCCTTTGTGGAGTGTTCCCCATCATCTCCTCCTCCATTGAGAAAGTTTTGGTTTTGTTTTTGAAAGAGTCTTACTCTGTCACCCAGGCTGGGGTGCAGTGGCGTGATCTGGGCTCACTGCAACCTCTGCTTCCTGGGGGTAAGCAATTCTCCTGCCTCATTCTTCTGAGTAGCTGGGACTGCAGGCACCCACCACCCACACCTGGCTAATTTTTTGTATTTTTAGTAGAGACGGGGTTTCACCGTGTTAGCCAGGATGGTGTCGATCTCCTGACCTCGTGATTCTCCCGCCTCGGCCTCCCAAAGTACTGGGATTACAGGTATGAGCCACCACACCCAGCCTAGTTTTTTAATTTCCAAAACTAATATTTCATTTGTTGTTTCAGAAAGTAGTGATGTTCCGGGATGTTGCCATTGACTTCTCTCAAGAAGAGTGGGAATGCCTGGACGCTGCTCAAAGAGATTTGTATAGAGATGTGATGTTGGAGAACTACAGCAACTTGGTATCACTAGGTAAGGAATCTGGCCTTCATATTTCAGGATCTACCTTTGGAATGGCTGCTTTCTCGGCTGGTATTTCACCGTTGCCTTTTTTTTTTTTTTTTTTTTTTTTTTTGAGACGGATTTTCGCTCTTGTTACCCAGGCTGAAGTGCAATGGCGCGATCTCGGCTCACCGCAACTTCCGCCTCCTGGGTTCAGGCAATTCTCCTGCCTTGGCCTCCTGAGTAGCCGGGATTGCAGGCACGCGCCACCATGCCTAGCTAATTTTTGTATTTTTAGTAGAGACGGGGTGTCACCATGTTGACCAGGATGGTCTCAATCTCTTGACCGCGTGATCCACCCGCCTTGGCCTCCCAAAGTCCTGGGATTACAGGCGTGAGCCACCGCGCCCAGCCTCACAGTTGCTTTTTAAGTAATTAGCTGAATTTCTTATTCTTTTCCAAGGAATGGTTTGAAATTACTGGAAGTTAATTTCTATCCTTCAAAAAGCCTTACCACTGCCTTCTAATACCATCTTCCTGCTGTCTTCCTTGATGATCAAGGGGCTAGATTGGAAGTTTGGAATAGTTGGAATATCTGCAGATTAAATAGCCTATACATTGTTACACTTTAGATCTGCTAAAGGAGCTCTGATAATTCACAACCCAGTCACATATTTTAAAAATATGTGCAGAGATGTATGTTTTTTCTGATCAGAGTTTACATCATTTGTATAGTGATAGAGCAGATCAATGCATTTTACCAACAACTCAAATGAACACAACCCATTAATTAGAACAAACACATTGTCTTATATGTGCTTAGTTGTTGAATATTACATATTAAGAAGTTTGGGCTGGGCACAGTGGCTCATGCCTGTAATCCCAGCACTTTGGGAAGCACAGGCAGGTAGGTCAGCTGAGGTCAGGAGTTTGAGAACAGCCTGAACAACATGATGAAACCCCGTCCCTACTAAAAATACAAAATTTAGGTGGGCATGGTCGCACATGCCTGTAATCCCAGCTACTCAGGAGGCTGAGGGAGGAGAATTGCTTGAACCAGTGAGGTGGAGGTGGCAGTGAGCCAAGATCCCATTACTGCACTCCAGCCTGGGTGACAGAATGAGACTCCATTTCAAAAAAAAAGAAAAAACTTTACATTAGCCATTGAATGAATATGCTAGAATTTTCTTGTATTGGAAAAGAGTTGAGAGGGAACTTGTGATTGTCTAGGAAAGTTTATTGTTTTCTTCTGTAGTATTTTTATACATAACAAAATCCTTATCAACTAAAACTTTAATAAGTGATTTTCCAACCTAGATGATCACTTTATTCCCTGTGCTGGAATAAAATATCCCTTGCCTCTTCCTTCCTTTATCCTCTAAAGGCTTTAGGAAGTTATTGATTAATACATGTCCCTAGAGCGCCCAAGTTGTGTGGAAAAAAGACCTATGACTTGAGGAGAAAAGCAAGGGTTTTCCCCATGATCTTCCTAAAGAATCTTACCTAATTCCTCTACCTCCTTTCCCTGTTGGTTTTTTATTATAATTCTTCCCACTTTCAGAAGAGGGAATGGCTCTTCCTCCTCCCCAGTGACAACACTTTTATGTAAACTTGGGAGTCAATTCCTTTCCAGATTGTTTCTTTAAATCTATACTTACCGTCTTTATTCTTTAAAGTATTGTTCATTTATCCAAAATACATTTATTGAGTACCTATTCTCTGTCAAGGACTATAGGAGCCATTGGGGAAATAATGGTCTAGATAAGATTCTTACTCTGCTGAAACACATTCTTATGGGAGAAATACAAAATGCATAAGGAAAAAAAATTATATGTATATGTATGTGCATGTATATACATACGTATGCATTTATTTAATAATTATCAATATAACAATAACAGGTAGTGATAAGTAGTACAAATAAAGGTAAAGAGAGGTAGGCAAGTAAAGAATAATGAGGAGTTGGAATGGCCTGTTTAGACTGGAGTGGCCTGTTCTAGATTTTGGAAAAGCCTCTCTGAAGAGGTAATATTTGAACAAAGACCTGACTAAAAAGTAAGGGCATGAGTCAAGCCAGTACCTGGAAAAGCAGTGCAAAGGCCTTGGGATGGGTATTAACTTCGTAGGAGGAACAGATAAACGTGTATCTAGAGAAAAGTGACTACTAGGATCATAAGAAAGACAGTGACACAGAATAAAAAAGACTGAAATTTTATTCTCTAAGGTGGTGCCTCCTGACTCCCCATCTGAAGCACATGCAAATCTCCAGAGGAAAGTAAGAGGCCTTTAGAATTCTCACAAGTTAAGATCAACAAAAGGTGAGCTCACAAAGATCATCAACTTCACAGGGAAATAGGTCACAGAAGAGGGACAGATAATCTGAAGAAATAACATATTACATGGCAAAAATCTTTACATATTAGAATGATTAGATGTAGCTACAAGCTGTGGCTGCTGGTTTAAAGAAATAAAGAAATTAAACCGCAAGAATGATGACTAATAGGTTTTCATATAGGGACAGATTTGAAAGAAAAACAATTTCTAAAAGTTCTATTTAGTTCTTTTTAAAAATGATAATTGAAAGCTTGATAAATTTGGCTGCATGAATATTACTCTCTTTATCAAAAGACATTATAAAGACAGTGAAAGACAAGCCATGAATTGGGCAGAGATACTTGCAATGCATATAGACAACAATGAAATTACTAATTAGTATCAGAATATAAAAAGCTTCTACAGATTGATAAGAATAAGTTAAATAACAATTTTGAAAAATTCAGAAAAAGATATCTATTGGCAGTTCAAGGGAAAAAATGCAAATTAGGCTGGGCATGGTGGCTCACGCCTGTAATCCCAGCACTTTGGGAGGCCGAGGTGGGCAGATTACTTGAGGCCAGGAGTTCGAGACCAGCCTGGCCAACATGGTGAAACCCCATCTCTACTAAAAATACAAAAATTAGCTGGGCATGGTGGCAGGTGCCTGTAATCCCAGCTACTCAGGAGGCTGAGGCAGGAGAATTGCTTGAACCCAGGAGGTGGAGGTTGCAATGAGCCAAGATCGAGCTATTGCACTCCAGCCTGGGCGACAGAGGGAGACTCTGTCTCAAAAAAAAAAAGCAAAACCACAATGATATAATTATTTTACATGCTGTAAATTGGCAAAAATTAAGATGTTTTACAGTACCAGGCATTTTCAAGATTTAGAGGCAGAAGTGCACTATATCTTGATATTCACAATAGCCAAAAAGTGGGAGCAACCCAAATGTCGATCAACTGATGAACGGATAAAATTTGGTATGTTCTTACAATGAAATACTATTCAGCAGTAAAAAGGAATGAAGTTCTGATACATGCTTTAATATGGATGCACCTTGGAAACATGCTATAAAGAAATACCTGAGGCTGGGTAATTTATAATGAAAAGAAATTTACTTGGCTCATGCTCCTGGAGGCTCTACAAGCATTGCACTAGCATCTGCTTGGCGTCTGGTGAGGCCCAGGAAGCTTTTAGTCATGGTGGAAGGGAAGGGGAGCCAGTGTGTCACATGGCAAGAGAGAGAGGAGGAACTTCCAGGCTCTTTTAAACAACCCAATCTCGTGTGAACTCATAGCATAAGAACTCACTCTTTACCACAAAGATGGCACCAAGCCATTCATGAGGGATCCACCTGCATGATCCACGTACCTTCCACCAGGCCCCACCTCTGACACTGGGGATTACACTCAACATTAGATTCCATCAGCATGAGATGCAGAGGGGACAAACATCCAAACATATCCCATGCCAAGTCAAGCCAAATACAAACATTACATATTATATGATTGCATTTATATGACATGTCCTCAACAGGCAAATGTGTACTGACAGAAAGTAGATTACTGGTTACCCAGCACTGGGGATAGGAAAGAGGTAGAGGGAATGGAGAATGTGGAGTGGGGAAATGAGAAGTGACTGCTAATGAGCACACAGCATTTCTGTTGGTGGTAAAAAAAAAATGTTAAAAAATTAGATTGTGGTGATAGTTATACAACTCAATGGGTATACTAAAAGCCATTGTGCAGAAATAATATGGAAATGATTTCCAAACTTGTGTGTACTTTAGAAACAGCTACGGTCTTTTAAAAAGAATTCCACACCCCAGACCAATTAAATAATAATCTCTGGGCATGGTACACAAGTATCATTATTTTTTGAAATTCTCTAGGTTTTTCAAATATTTAGACATGTTTGGTAACCACTGCACTGTGGTATTATCTGAGAACTTTTTTTAAAATTGAATGTTCACTTCATTTAATTTATTACCAATATACTCGGATTTATTTGTCCCCTATTTTATGCTTTTTGTTTCTTCTTTTTATCTTACGGGCTTAAAAAATTTCTCCCTCCTTAATCAGGGTGGATACAATCTTGTTTTATTTTTTGCAACTCCATTTTCCCCCTTATTTAGTTTGGAAAACATACAGTATTTATATTTTTTTAAAAGTTATCTTTAAATTTGTATCATGTGTACCTAATTATTTTAATGCCAGTAATATTTTACAGTTTTTATTCATTGTAATTATGTCTGAAAAATTACATATTTAATGGACATTATACGTTTTGATGGATACTAAAATGCATTTATTCAGTCCACATACAATAATTGGTTTGCATATTGCTTTGCAATAAACTTGCTCTATCTCCACCCCTAGGATTTCGAGGCCAACAAGTTGAAAAACACAGATAGAAAGGATAGTATCTACCTCAAAATAAATTGCTAACCATTGTGGCAATTAGTTGAGGTTCTAAGGAGAGATAAGAAATTGACATTTCTGTGTCAAATATATATTTTATTGTCACAGAATTCTTATCAGAAGTATACCAGCAATGCATACCTGTTTTATACTTTATCAATAGTGGCTTATATCACTTAGAAATATCTTTGTTAATTTGTAGATGGAAAACAAAAGAACGTTTCTGCCATTGCTGGTGAATTTAAACATTTTGGGGGTATTTCTGCCTGTTTTGGTACTTTAATTATTATCATTATTGTTTGTGTCACTTGACAAATACAAACTTAATTTAGCAAAGGCTGAAATTCATGTCTGACTTTCCTCAAGATAATGTAAAGGATATTGGAATCCTTTAACTTTTATCTGTTTCTCCAATCTGGTATTTTTCTCTGGTATTTGAGCTCTGTTCTTTTTTTAGCCTACAAAATGAGCATTAGTTTTTTTTATAATGTCAGTATTTGCTTGTGGATTTGTTTGCATAATTATCTTTTATATGTATGCTATTCCTCTTTCATTATACCTTCCTTCTAGGATATTTTGTTTATCAGAAAATACATTAGGGAAGGCGTCTTTTTTGTTGCTGTTACTGTTGTTTTTCGAGATGGAGTCTTCTCTTGTTGCCCAAGCTGGAGTGCAGTGGCATGATCTCGGCTCACTGCCACCTCCACCTCCCAGGTTCAAGTGATTCTCCTGCCTCAGTCTCCCAAGTAGCTGGGATATCAGGCGCCCACCACCACGTCTGGCTAATTTTTGTATTGTTAGAGATGGGGTTTCTCTTCTATGTAGAGATGGGGTTTCACCAGGTTGTCCAGGTTGGTCTTGAACTCCTGACCTCAGGGGATCCACCTGCCTCGGCCTCCCAAAGTGCTGGGATTACAGGCATGAGCCGCTGTCCCCGGCCTTATTGTTAACAAACGCTCTAAGTGTTTATCGTTGTTGCAAAAAACCTTGTATCACTGTCATTCTTGCCTGATGATTAACTAGGTATAAAATTCTATACTGACAATTATTTTTTTCTCAGCACTCTGAAGATATTCTTCCACTGTCTTCTGGCTTCTATTGTTGCTCTTGAGAAGTCTGCCATCTGTTTCATTGTTGTTCCTTTTGTAAGTAATCTGTATTTTCTCTGGCTGCTTTTAAGATTTTTTTTCTATAAGATTTTTAATATAATTGATTATATCGTTTCATTTATAGAAGTTTGATATCCTCCTCCTCCTCTCCCAGATCTTTTTTTTTTTTTAAACTGGTCCCTTTCTCATGGATTTTATCTTGCACTTTCATATATTTCCAGCACTTATATGTCAGACAATTCAAATTTCTGGGAAACAGGTCTAATTTTGCTGTTTCTTGTATCCTTGGGGACGCTTGTGTAACAGTGAATTATCCATAGCAGTTTTTTTCTCCTTTTCTTTGAGAGTCCAGGCCAAGACTGAAAAGTTCCATGTCATTTTCCTTTAAGGTTTGATGGATTTGTTTTTCTTTCTCTGAACTTTATGCCTTGAATAGTTCCAATTTTGTAAAGAGGTTTATTTGTAATTCCTGCTCTTTTGTCAAGGAGAGATCTTGTCTGTTGAATTTTTTCAGACCATTAAGATACAAACATCTAGGTAATTAAAATCAGCAAATATCCCAAGGATAGCTGTAACTTCAGAGCGTATTTACCCCTCTAGTTTCTGGTTCTTACTTCATTGTAGTACCCCTGGATTTACTTTCTTTTATGCTTCACATACTTTTAAAAGGACATTTGTCGCTGGGCGCGGTGGCTCACGCCTATAATCCCAGCACTTTAGGAGGCCGAGGCGGGTAGATCACGAGGTCAAGAGATCGAGACCATCCTGGTCAACATGGTGAAACCCTGTCTTTACTAAAAATACAAAACTTAGCTGGGCATGGTGGCGTGCGCCTGTAGTCCCAGCTACTCGGGAGGCTGAGGCAGGAGAATTGCTTGAACCCAGGAGGCGGAGGTTGCAGTGAGCCGAGATCGTGCCATTGCACTCCAGTCTGGGTAACAACAGCGAAACTCCGTCTCAAAAAAAAGAAAAATAAATAAATAAATAAAAGGATATTTGTCATATTTTATCCAGTATTTATTTATATTTTTCAAGAAATCTGATGCATCATTTACATATTAACAATATTGAATCCTATTGTTGAACATGTTAAATCTGCTTTACTTTTTTTCTTTTTTTTTGAGACAGAGTCTCACTCTGTCACCAGGTGCCAAGCTGGAGTGCAGTGGCACAATCTCGACTCACTGCAACCTTTTCCTCCTGCCTCAGCCTCCCGAGTAGCTGGGACTACAGGCACACGCCACCATGCCCAGCTAATTTTTGTATTTTTAGTAGAGACAGGGTTTCACCATGTTGTCCAGGATGGTCTCAATCTCTTGACCTCGTGATCCACTCGCCTCGGCCTCCCAAAGTTCTGGGATTATAAGCTTGAGCTGCTTTTCTTTTTTTATGTTCTCTGGAAAGTTTTGTGGGTTTTTCTTAAAAGGCTTTACACATTTCTTAAGCAATTTCTCAGTACATTTTGTTTATATTATGAATAGGATTTTTGTTCTGTAACATTTCTAAATGGCTAATACTGATATATATTATGTATGAGCAAGTATTGATTTCTATAAATTGATAATAATCTTATGGAAATATCTAATAGTTTTTCAGTGGATAATAGTGCATTTCTAGATAGACAGTTTTGCTCTCTACATATAGTATGTGGTCTTTTCCTATTTGTACCTTTAAAAAAAAGCAACTATATTCAGTAGGACCTCTAGCAGAATTTGAAAACAAATCGTTCTTATCTTTTCTCAAACTTTATTGGCAGTGTTTCTAATGTTTAACTATGAAATATATTTCTGTGGGCATCTGGTAAATACTCTTACCTAGATTTTTACCTGATTCTAGATTTAGAGAACTTTTAATAAAGGGTCTTAGAATATAGATTACAAATTTTGGCATTTCTTGAAATAATGTTATTTTATTCTTTAAGTTCTTCATGTGGGAAAATAGACTCTGATGTTGAATTATTCCTGCATTTGTGGGATAAACTTTATATGATTATGATGTGTTATCCCTTAAATACACAGCTGGGTTCTTTGTTGCTAATATTTTATTTTAAAATTTTACCTTTGTTCATTCATGAGACTGGCTTAGATTTCCTGAGGTCATTGTTCAGTGTTGTTGTATGAGTTGATTTAACTTTGTAAAATGACTAGTGTAGATTACCATGTTTTTTTTTTGTTTTTTTTTTTTTTTTAGAACATCTTAAATTTTTAATCCTTTCTTTACAGGTTACCTAGACCACTTTTGATTAAGAAAACTGTAGAAAGTTAGTAACTGCCACAAGCGAACGCCAGGCGGTGGCACGTGTCAATTTCCACGGAGTCCTGCTTTGCGGGGTGTCTGAATGCACTGCACGGGGTCTCTGCTCACACCTGCTGGAACCAATCATGGCAGATTTTAGTCCACAGGTCGCTTTTCCCCATATTTCTTTGTAAACTCTTCACCATTCTTACAGAATTTTTTACGGTCCTTAGAGTATTCTTCAGCTAGGTCAGCCCGAAGTGGGTGCTCGGGCTGGGGGTCATTCACCAGTGCTATGAGGGACTGGATTACTTGGTCGGTTTTGGTTGCTGGCTTCCAGTTTTCAGCACTAATTACTGGGAGACAGACCTGCCCCTTTTCATCGATGTTCGGGTGATAGATCTTTGTTTTAAATGTGATCTTCGGTGGTTTGAATGGGTACTCTGCTGGAAAGTTGATTTCGATTCTGAAGGCCCCCTTATCATACGGAGGGTTGTCAGGAACAATAAGCCCTTGCCAAGTCAATAAATTAGCTTCATCAACCTGGATGTTACGGAAGTTTTTCATTCCACATTTGCGGATTTCTTCAAGCTCCTTCATCAGCCTCCTGCTGGCCGCCATCTTGGATTTGGTAGTGCTCCTTCCAGATTACCATGTTTTTATACGTTCAACAGTTATGTATGATTAGAATTATATATTCTTTTGTTGTTGTTGTTGAGACAGGGTCTTGCTCGGTCACTTAGGCTGAAGTGCAGTGGCACGATCACAGCTCACTGCAGCCTTCACCTCCCTGAGCCCAGGTGTTCCTAGATATTTAATTTTTGTATTTTTTGTAGAGATGGGGTTTTGCCACAGTGCCCAGACTAGTCTTGAACTTCTGAGCTCAGGCAGTCCACCTGCCTTGACCTCTCACAGTGCTGGGATTACGGGTATAAGCCACCACACCTGGCCTATATGTTCTTTAATGTTTGGATGATATTGCCGGTAAACCTACCGGTCACTGGAATCTATTGCCTTGACTGGTAGATACAACAGGTACAATGACCAGCATATACAAATGGTCATCCGTCATAGGTATCTGTTGCCTTTTAGGAGCACAGACACTGAACTCAAATTTAAGCTTTTTATGTGGTTATTGCATATATCAGTTATTTTATCTTTATGAGTAATTTTTCATCTATTTCATCCAGTTCTAATTTACTGTTGAGTTGTTTATATGTTTTTCTCATAAACACTTTCAAAAGTTTTATTTTACTTTTAGTTGACACATAATGTACATATTTATGGGCTACAGTGTGATGATTTGCACATATGTACTTTGTGTAATTATCAAATCAGGGTAATTAGCATATCTGTCACCTCAAAACACTTGTCATTTCTTTGTGGTTAGAACATTCAAGATGCTGTCTTCTAGCTATTTGCAAGCATTCAGGACACTTTTGTTGACTACATAGTCCCCTTGTTGTGCAATAGTACATCAGAACTTATTTCTCCTGTGTAACTATAACTTTGTACCCATTGCCCAGTCTCTTATCAGCCACCCGCCTCAGCCTCTGGGAACCACTGTTCTACTCTCTACTTCTATGAAATCAACCTTTTTAGGTTCCACATATGAGTGAGGTCTTGTGGTATTTGTCCTGTTCTTGTCATACTTCACTTAATATAATGTCCTCTAGCTTCATCCAAGTTGTCAAAAATACAGGATCTTATTCATTTTTATAGGTGAATAGTATTCTGTTCTGTATATATACCACATTTTTGAAAATTCATTTGTCTTTTGATGGACGCTGAGTTCGAGTCCATATTACTGCTATTGTGGATAATGCTGCAGGAAACATGGGAATGTAGGATACCTCTTTCACATACTGATTTCATTTCTTTTGGATATGTACCCACTAGGTGGATTGTTGGATCATATGATAGTCCTATTTTTAATTTTTTGAGAAAGTTTCGTACTATTTTCCATAATGGTTGTGCTAATTTACATTCTCACGAAGAGTGTGTAAGAGTTCCCTCTTTTTCCATATTTTTACCAGAATTTGTTATATTTTGTCTTTTTAGTAGCCCTTCTAATAATGGTGAGGTGATATCTGATTGTAGCTTTGATTTGCATTTCCCTATTATTAGTGATGTTGAGCATTTTTTCATTTACCTGTTAGCCATTTGTATGTCTTTTCTTAGAAATGTTTATTCAAATCTTTTTACTATTTTTTAATCAGATGACTGTTTTTTTTTTGCTGTTGAGTTGACTTTCTTATATATTCTTGGTATTAACCCCTGGCTAGATGCATCGTTTGTGAATATTTTCTCCCATTCTGTAGGTTGTCTCTTTACTCTCATTTCCTTTGCTGTACAGAAGCTTTTGACTTTGATGTAATACATTTGTCTATTTTTACATTTATTGTCAGTGCTTTTGAGGTCTTATTAAAAAATCCTTGCCCAGATCAGTGTCTGTTTCCCTGTGTTTTCTTCTACTAGTTTCATCGTTTCCAGTCTTACATTTAAGTCTTTAATCCATTTTGAGTTGAGTGGAGAGAGATAGAGATCTAGTTTTAGTCTTTTGCAGGTGGATATTCAGTTTTCTGAGTACCATTTGCTAAAGAGAGTGTCCTTTTCCCAATTTGCATTCTTGGCCTTCTTGTTGAAAATCAATTGGCTGCAAATATCTTGATTTTTTTTCTGGGTTCTCTCTCCTATTCCATTGGTCTATGTGTCTGTTTTCATGCCAGTACCATACTGTTTGGTTACTATTGTTTTGTAGTATATTTTCAATTCATGGAGTGTGATGCCTGCAGCTTTGTTCTTTTTGTACAAGATCACTTTGGTGGCCAAGTGTGGTGGTTCATGCCTATAATCCCAACACTTTGGGAGGCTAAGGCAGGTGGATCACCTGAGGCCAGGAGGTTGAGAACAGCCCGGCCAACATGGTGAAACCCCATCTCTACTGAAAATATAAAAAGTTACCTAGCGGTGGTGGTGGATGCCTGTAATCCCCGCTACTGAGGAGGCTGAGGCAGGAGAATCACTTCAACCTGGGAGGTGGAGGTTGCAGTGACCCAAGAGCACACCATTGCACTCCAGCCTGGGCAACAAGACCAAAACTCCATCTCAAAAAATAAAAAAAAAAGATTGCTTTGGCTATTTGGGGACTTTTGTGGTTCCATATGAATTTTAGGATTGTTCTTTGTATTTCTGTGAATAGTGTCATTGGTGGTATTTTGATAGGGATTACATAGCATTTGTAGATTATTTTGGGTAGTATAGACATTTTAACAATGTTAATTCTTCTGATCCATGGAATATATTTCCATTCATTAATTTCCTCTTTAATTTCTTTTGTCGATGTTTATAGTTTTTATTGTAAAACTCTTACCTCTTTTGTTAAATTTATTCCTTGGTTTGTTTCAGTTTTTGTTTTTTTTCTGTCATAAATGGGATTGATTTCATTTTCACATAGTTTCCTGTTGGCATATGGAAATGCTACTTATTTTTGTACATTGATTTCATCAGTCATTAGCACCTTATTTTGTTCATCTGATGAGCTCATATTTTCCTGAATGTTCTTTATGTTTATGGACATGTGATGATGTCTGCACACTGAGCGATTTATTTGAGTTTGCAGGCCAGGTGTGGTGGCTCATGCCTGTAATCCCAGCACTTTGGGAGGCTGAGGTGGGTGGATCACCTGAGGTCAGGAGTTCGAGACCAGCTTTGCCAACATGGTGAAATCCTGTATCTACTAAAAATACAAAAAAATTAGCCAGGCATGATGGCGTGCGCATGGATTCCCAGCTACTCAGGAGGCTGAGACAAGAGAATCATTTGAACCCAGGAGGTGGAGGTTGTAGTGAGCTGAGATTGTGCCACTGTACTCCAGGATGGGCAACAGAGCAGGACTCCATCTCAAAAAAAAAATGCACCATTTGCCTCATATCTCAGCATTTGATATAACCAATCATGCCTTCTTAACACCCTTGTTTCACATGGCTTCTGGGGTTCCGTGCTCTCCTAATTTTTCTTCTTCCTCGCTGGCTACTCCTTCTTAGTCTCTATTGCTGTTTTCTTCTCATCTACCTGAAGTGACCCAGGGTTCAATCCTCAAACATCCCTTTTTCATCCTTCCCCTTCTGTTTTATATACAAAGGTACTCCCTGGGTGACCTCATCAAATCTCATAGCTTTAAATGTTATTTATTTGGTAATGACTTTCAAACTATATCTGTAATACAAACACCTCCCTAGAGTCACATACTTGCACATATATGTGTCTGTTGAACATTTTCATTTGATATCTAATAGTTCAAAACCAGACTCTTCACATTCTCTTCCAGATCTGCCCCTATCACAGCAGTGAAGAGTTTTCAGTAAGTAGCACTTCCTTTGTTCCAGCCTTTCAGGCAGAACATGCATAGTCTTCCTTGTGTTGTCTTTTTCATGTTACATGTCCGTTCCATGATCACATCCTCTTTAGTATACCTTCCAAATATACCTGTTCTCTAATGATACCTCGCTTCCTCCACCTTACCGCCACGATCATCTGGTCTGAGCCAGGTGGATTATACTGGCCACCTAACTTCTATCCATCTCGCTTTTGCACTTTCCCATTAACTCTCTTTATTTATTAATTTTGGCTCCCCAACTCAGAGTAAAAGTCAATTTTTTTAAAATGGCCAAGACTGAGGTCAGATGGATTTTTTTTCCTGTCTCTGAACTTTAGGCCTTGAATAGGTTCCAAATTTGTAAAGTGATTTATTTCTAATCACTGCTCTTGTGTGGGTGCGAGGGCTTGTCTCTTAAATTTTTTCAGAACACTAAGATAGAACCTTAGGCTACTGAAGCCAGCAAGTGTTCCAAGGGTAGTTCTGACTTCAGAGCATGTTCACCTCTCTAGTTTCTGGCTCTTACTTCATTGCTTGATCTTCTTTCTTTTAATCTTCTCTCTCTCTCTCTAATATATATATATATATATATATATATATTTTTTTTTTTTTTTTTTTTCTTTTTTGAGATGGAGCCTTGCTCTGTTGCCCAGGCTGGAGTGCAGTGGTAAGATCTTGGCTCACTGTAACCTCTGCCTCTCTGGTTCAGATGATTCTCCTGCTTCCCCCTCCCAAGTAACTGGAATTACAGATGCCCATCACTACACCCAGCTGATTTTGTTTTTGTTTTTTTGAGACAGAGTTTCGTTCTTGTTACCCAGGCTGGAGTGCAATGGTATGATCTCAGCTCACCACAACCTCCGCCTCCTGGGTTCAAGCAATTCCCCTGCCTCAGCCTCCTGAGTAGCTGGGATTACAGGCATGCGCCACCATGCCCAGCTAATTTTTTGTATTTTTAGTAGAGATGGAGTTTCACCATGTTGACCAGGATGGTCTTGATCTCTTGACCTCATGATCCACCTGCCTCGGCCTCCCAAAGTGCTGGGATTACAGGCATGTGATTTTGTAATTTTTAGTAGATATGAGGTTTCGCCGTGTTGGCCAGGTTGGTCTTGAACTCCTGATCTCAAGTGATCCACCTTCTTTGGCCTCCCAAAGTGCTGGGATTACAGGTATGAGCCACCACGCCCAGCCTGGATAATTGCCTTTTTTCTCTCCAACATTCTATGAGGTTATAGAACCCTTTCATTATGTTTTAGACCTGTAGCAGCACCTGGGAGCTCTAGGATGTGTTGCACAGAATTTTTCTTGAATAGACAAGAGGAGAAGACATGAGCCAAAGCATGAAGGAACAGAGTAAACTGTGAAGTAATAATAAGTAAACAAAAGCAACTTAGTATCTTGTTTGAAAGGGATAGGGAGAGCTAAAGAAGAGCAATTGGAGAGGTAAATAGGATCATAGATTTAGTATGGAGGTGCTTTTGCTTCTATCTATAAGGAATTTGTAGGGAAACCAGTCACTGGTTTCTAGGCATCTACCACCAGAATGATATGAAGGATTGATTACAGAGCACCAGGACAAGGGTATTTAAGAGTAATAGACATATGATGGTGGGTGGTTACATGACTTGAGTCCTTACAGGTCAAAGTTTCTTTTGTTTTTTCTCCTGTTTTTCAGTTATCTTGTGCTTTCATTGACCTGTTTTACTGAGTGCTAGACATTGCAAAGAAAAATTTAAAAATTTCAGTTCTTGCATACCATTATAAAAATCCAGTAATGATTTAAGTTTGCTATGGCAAGCAGTCTTGAATGACCTTAATCCAAATTTTTGGATTGTCAGAAATGAGGCAAAGTCATTGAAGAGTTTGGATTTTATATTAAGTTTAACATGGAAGCTACTAAAAAGTATTAAGCAGATACAGAAAATCATGATCTGAATCTGAATCAGTTGATAGGAAGTATTAAAAATAGAGATCTCCAGGATCTTTTTCTGATTCATTAGCAGTTAGTCTGGTGTAATGTTGTTAACATGCTCCCCAGGTGATTTTGATCCCCACCAAAGCTTGAGAACTACTGACTTTAAAATTTTTCTTAATCTCTTCCCTTATCTCCTCATCTAAGTTTTCATTATTCTCTCATCTCTCAGATGCCCCTTTCATATATTAATATATGAGATATTTCTAAGCTATTTTTTTAATTATACGTAGGAACATTTCTGTACTATGAAATCAGTCAGTTTTGTGTATGAGAAAGAGAAATAGAAAAGAGCAGACATTGCAGAATAGAATAGAAAGCAGGGAAGATACTGTTTTATGAAACTTTATATATAATAGGTTGTGATGTGAAAGGTAGGTATCATTATGGGTCATAGTAAGCAATATTTGAAACAAACTCATGTATGTATGTTATTTTTTATGGGTATTATAATTTCCTATTATTTGTCTTTGCTATAGAAGTTACATTTCTCAATTTTTTAATTCTCTCTTATTTCAGACTTGCCTTTAAGGTGTGCAAGAAAGGACTTATCTCCAGAAAAGAACACTTATGAAACAGAATTATCCCAATGGGAAGTGAGTGACAGGCTTGAAAAGTGTGACCTTGAAGAGTCCAATTCCAGGGATTATTTGGAAGCCAAAGCCGAGATGGAGAGGCAACAAGAAAATCAGAGGGAATATTTCAGGCAAGGAATGATCATATATGACAAAATGTCCATTTTCAACCAGCATACTTACTTATCTCAACATTCAAAATGTCATTCTACTGAGAAACCCTATAAATGTAAGGAATGCGGGAAAGCCTTCAGACGAGCCTCACACCTAACACAACATCAAAGTATTCATACTGGTGAAAAACCCTATGAATGTAAGCAATGTGGGAAAGCCTTTAGTCGTGATTCACAACTCAGTCTTCATCAGAGACTTCATACTGGTGAGAAACCCTATGCATGTAAGGAATGTGGGAAGGCCTTTACTCAAAGCTCACAGCTTATTTTACATCATAGAATTCATACTGGTGAAAAACCATATAAATGTGAAGAATGTGGAAAAGCCTTTATTCGTAGCTCACAACTTACCCGACATCAAAAAGTTCATACTGGTGAGAAACCTTATGAATGTAAAGAATGTGGGAAAGCCTTTACTCAGAATTCACAACTTACACTACACCAGAGACTTCATACTGGTGAGAAGCTCTATGAATGTAAAGAGTGTAGGAAGGTCTTTACTCAGCTCTCACAACTTATTCTGCATAAGAGAATTCATACCGGTGAGAAGCCGTATGAATGTAAGGAATGTGGGAAAGCTTTTATTTGTGGCTCACAGCTTTCTCAACATCAGAAAATTCATAATGGGGAAAAACCATATGAATGTAAGGAATGTGGAAAGGCTTTTATTCGGGGCTCACTACTTATGCAACATCAGAGGATTCATACTGGTGAAAAACCCTATAAATGTGAAGAATGTGGGAAGGCCTTTATCCGTGGCTCACAACTTACCCAACACCAGAGAATCCACACCAATGAAAAGCCCTATGAATGTAAGGAATGTGGAAAGACGTTTAGTCATGGCTCGCAACTTACCCAACATCAGAGAATACATACTGGTGAGAAACCCTATCAATGTAAGGAATGTGGAAAGGCGTTTAATCGTGGCTCACTCCTTACACGACACCAGAGGATTCATACTGGTGAGAAACCCTATGAATGTAAAGAATGTGGAAAAACCTTTAGTCGTGGCTCAGAACTTACTCAGCATGAGCGGATTCACACAGGTGAGAAACCCTATGAATGTAAGGAATGTGGGAAATCTTTTATTCGTGGCTCACAGCTTACTCAGCATCAGAGAATCCATACTGGTGAGAAACCTTATGAATGTAAAGAATGTAGAATGGCCTTTACTCAGAGTTCACATCTTTCCCAACATCAAAGACTTCACACTGGTGAGAAACCCTATGTGTGTAATGAATGCGGAAAGGCCTTTGCACGTGGCTTACTACTTATACAACATCAGAGAATTCATACTGGTGAGAAACCGTATCAATGTAAGGAATGTGGGAAAGCCTTTATTCGTGGTTCACAGTTGACTCAACATCAGCGAATTCACACTGGAGAAAAACCCTATGAATGCAAGGAATGTGGCAAGGCCTTTAGTCATGGCTCTCAACTTACTCTGCATCAGAGAATCCATACTGGTGAGAAGCCCTATGAATGCAGAGAATGTAGAAAGGCCTTTACTCAGAGCTCACATCTTTCTCGGCATCAGAGGATTCATACTGGTGAGAAACCATATCAATGTAAGGAATGTGGGAAGGCCTTTACTCGTGGTTCACAACTAACACAACATCAGAGAATTCATATCAGTGAGAAATCTTTTGAATATAAAGAATGTGGGATTGACTTTAGTCATGGCTCAGAAGTTTACATGTGAACTGTCTGATTCTTTGAGATCACTATGAAGAGGTTCTCTGGTTATCAGCAACAAATTCTCACAAATGTGAATATGGGTACTCATCTGCCTCATAAGGCACAGCATCAGAGAATTTGTATGAGGAAAAGAAAATGTTAGTGTCATTCATATAGAAAAACCTATCGTTACTGAAAACCTATTAAACATTAGCAAATTGGAGAATAGTTTTAATACAGTAAATGTAGGAAGGCCTTTAGCCATATTGAAAACAAATATCTTTTTCAACATTATCTTAGCTCTACTAGTTGATTTTTTTTATTATTATATGTATCATGATACTTAACCTCTATCTTGGTTTAATCATTTTAAGATAGACCTAAGTATATTACCTTTATTATAAGATTCTTGGAAGTATTTTGTAAGTTATTACATGTAAAAGCTCTTAGAATGGTGCCTTGAACATAGCATACCACAAATATTAGCTACCATTTTCACTAGTGTTATTTTAGAGAATTTGCATGAGAGGAGAGCACTTATGAGTGTAATAAATATTGAGAAATCTTTTATTAATACATCCTAGATGGGTGAGGGGCACTGTATGCCATAATGAATGTGAGAAAGCTGTCATTTAAGTCTCATCCATTATTGCTATAAGAGGAAATTCATACTGTTCAAAAAAAAAAAAACAGTGGATTTAATCACTAGATTATTGAGCACAGCCGTTTGAGAATTGGAGCAAGGTGTGAAGTGATTTTTAACAAAATCTCAGATCCAAAGTCTAATAAATCTAGGAAATTTTTTTAAAACTTGAATGTATTGCTTTTGGAGTAAACAAAATAAGAACCAATGTTACAGACTGTTTTGCAATGCAAAATGATGAGAGTTTGTGATAGAGACTGCTTTTTTCCTACCCTATATCTATTTTCAATTTTTTAATAACAAAATTCTGGGCTGAAAATTATCTCAGCCTTCCTTGCAGATCAATAAGATAGAAGTGGTGTTTATATGAGTAGGAGATTTATGAAATCCATTTTTCCTGTCTTTTTTCCCTTCCTACAATGTGGACATCTAAGCTGGAGCTCCAGTACTGTCAGCAGGACTTTGAGAATGGTATCTGGGTGTTGTGGGTCATGGAGCAGAAATGCAGAAGGAGACTGCAACTCTGATGATTTTGTGGAACAGCCATCCTTGCTCTGGTCTGCTTGCCTCCTGTGTTTGTTTAAATAAATTAAACATCTTATTTGTTGATGCTATTGTAGTTCTGTTATTGACAATAAAAATTCTTAAGGATATAAAATTTTGTACCTAGAAGTGGGATGCTATTGGTAAAGGAAATCTCAAATGGGGTATTGAGGCCACTGGAGTATCTGTAGGTTATTGAGAATGAGGAACTGCCCAAATTAAGCTAGGAGCTGGAAGATGCTTGTTTTAACAGGCAGGACGTTGTGTCACTGCCTCCCACTCATACTACCATGCTTTATATCAGTCACTGCTGTGATGTTGGAAGAAATGCCAGAGGTGATTCAGGATGCATGCTGCATGCTTCTTGCTGCTTTCAGGAATGTCCTGTGAATGTGGTAAATTCAGAGAAGAGCTAGGTGGCCTGCTAGCAGCAACTGAAAGCAGTATTACTTTGGTAAGATGTTATCATGGCCGGCCCTCAGTCCTCTACCCTTAAGCCACTTACAGTGATACAACATGAGAACCTGAACAAGAAATTAGACCAGTGCTATTGCATACAAAGGCAGTCTGCTAGTAAACATATTTATGCTTTCCTTATAGGTGCTTATTGTTCTAAAAGTAGTCAGTTATTAGGTACTTAATATATTCCAGCCACTATCTTAGATGCTTTGGATATTTGTCTTAACAATTCTAGCAGGAGGAGGTACATATGTAAAGAGTATGTTAGAACTAAAGTGGTATGGGGAAAGAGTCATTCAAAGGCAGTGGGAGGGATATGATCATTTAGGTTGCCTTGTGAAATACAATGATCAAGGTAGACCGCCAAGAAGGAAAGACTTGAGCCAAGACTTGAAGGAGTGAGGTGATAAGTTAGTGGTTATCTAAGGGAAAAGCATTCCTGGCACAGGAGAAAGCTAGAGAGGTCCTACAATGGGACGATGCTGAAGTGTTTTAGGAAAATTGGGGAAGTTACTGAAGAGTACTTTGCAAAGGGGTGGTTGCTAGAGCATAACAGAAAGATAACAGGGCCATATCTTGCCAAGCGTGCAAGCCATTGTAAAGATATTTTATTTTGAGGGAAACAGCTGTTGAAAAAAATTGATGAGGAGGTTGTAGTAACTCAGATGAAAGAGGAGGTCATAGCCTAGGAAGAAGAGTGAACAGTTGGTATAGCGGTTATTCATTGCATTCTAGGTATATGGTAAATACAACAGCAAGAAAATTTTGTCTAGATGTAGAATAGACAAGTCCCGGCGACATTAGCTCAAAGACTAGTCTTGAGCATCTGGAAATACAGTGTTTTCATCAACCAGGATGGGGAAAGCTTCACTTCCAGCAGGGTTTTAGGGGAAGACTGAGAGTTCAGCTTCAAACGTGTTGAATCTTAAGATGTCTTTTACAACACAAAATGTCAGTAGTGAGTAGGCACTTGATGTATGAGATATACTAAACTTGAGGTTATATTACTTTAGTGGGTGTTGCCCACATTTATTTAAAGGATTCCAGATTTTAGTAGAGAAAGGGTAGAGAACAGGAAGAACTGAACCATGGAGCATTCCAACATTGAGTTAAAACAATAGAAGAATAACACTGAAGAAGCTAAGAAGGAGAACCAATAATAGAGGAAAACCAAGAAACTGTGGAATCACAAAAGCCAAATAAAAGTGAATTGAAGGAGAATCTAGGTATCAGATAGCTTTAGCAGACCAATTATATAATGTGAGGTTTGAAATTTGGCTGTTTATTGGTATCCATATCAGTAACCTTGGGAAGGGCACAGGATTTTTTTGTTTGTTAGTTCCTGGTGGGTTGACTTCAGAGTGATGGAAGCAAAACCTTGAAAAGATAGTTGAGAATGAGTGTAGAGAACACTGCATGAGGGACACAGCAAGCCACAGGCACCTGTGTTAGCCCAGCCTTTAGGTAACAGTGGAAACCCTGCAGGAGAGTCACATGCACACCCTCAAAGCAGTCTGAGGGAAGGACCCCATGGTGTATCCTTTGCTCCTGAAGTTTCTTCAGCCTGGTCAGCCTCCTCAACACCTAGAATCCCTGGAACTTCTGCTTGACCTCCTGAAGGAAATAGGCCGGAGCCTAAACCCCACGCACAGCTGCAGAGTTCCTAGACCCAATGCTGCAAGGACTCATCCCAGAGCAACCACAGAGGTCACTGAGATGCAGATTCACTGCTAGTGCCGTGTACATGTGCAGTTGGAGGATCAGTTTGAACCCAGACACCAGGCTTACACGGAAGCAAAGAGAAGGGTGGTGTTGGTGCCAGAAAAAGGGTTACCTTCCCTTACTCAGGTCTAAATAATCACGACTTGGTCACCTTTGACACTCCATTCAAGGCCAAAATTAGGCCTTAAGGTATGCCCTCAGGACTCCCCTTTAAATCGGAAGCAAACAGCAAATAATGCACGCTCTAAAATACCCTAACAGGAGCCACAATGGAAAAAAAATCACAAGCTGAGGGTCAAAGAGAAATACAGGAATAAGTTAAATAGAAGAAATGAAGACCTGAAAAGGGTCAACTCCAGTGCAATCACAAAAGGAAAGAAGTACTTATCATTCAGCCGGGCGCGGTGGCTCACGCCTGTAATCCCAGCACTTTGGGAGGCCGAGGTGAGTGGATCACGAGGTCAAGAGATCGAGACCATCCTGGTCAACATGGTGAAACCCCGTCTCTACTAAAAACACAAAAAAATTAGCTGGGCATGGTGGCGCGTGCCTGTAATCCCAGCTACTCGGGAGGCTGAGGCAGGAGAATCGCCTGAACCCAGGAGGCGGAGGTTGCGGTGAGCCGAGATCGCGCCATTGCACTCCAGCCTGGGTAACAAGAGCGAAACTCCATCTCAAAAAAAAAAAAAAGTACTGATCACTCAAGAATGAACAGAAAAATGTCAATAAAATTAAACACAACATTTATGAGAATGACAAGAATGGCTATGACTGGATAATCATCCTGTGAATAATGAAGCCATCTGAAAAGGCACAGAGACAGTTAGCTTGTTGGTAAAAGGAACGGAAACCCACAACTCCAGACTAATCAGACTTACCCAGTCATTAACAAATATGTGTAGAGAAAGAAGTGCTATTGAATGGATCCCCAAGAATGTTGTCCCTGATGAACTGGAAAATGATTTTTGTTGATAAGATTGAGCTGTACAAAAATCTAGACCCATCAGAAACAGGACAAAGATGGAAGTCATGGACCAGGCTAGAGCTCACCCATGATACATCACAGCCAACTGCCATATGGAACTGGGAACAAATGCAAAATGAAGACTGTTTCACTGGACACCACACATAGACACACAAAAAAACACAAAATTACATTCACACACACACGGATACAAAATAGTGACACAGAAACACACACACTCAGCCAGCTCGTGAGGCTGCAGGGTTCTTCTCTCTGTGAGGAAGCCCCTCCAGGAAAAGAGCATCCTTGAGGTACAGGCAGGCCAATCCTCGAGGTGACAGGAGGGACAACTTTTGCGGAGACTCACCCAAACTCCGTCTGAGTGGGCCTGAGGCCGGGATCCCACGGTGCATTTTCAGAACTCCAGTCGATGTTTCTTCAGCCTTTTCAGCCCTCCATGACACCTAGGATCCCAAGACCATCCTGCTGAACTCCTGGAAAAGACAAGCCGGAGCCTAGTGCCAATGAACTGTCACAGAGCGCTCCTGCTCTGGTGGTGGAGGAAAGGAGATTGTGTGAGACTGAAGACCAAATCCTGGCCGTCCTGTCCTCAAAGCCCACTTCAGTGGACTTCTTCCTGGGTGCCTGGTGGAGGCGGAGTTTCAGGGCAGGAGGCAGGCACTCCTTATTCCTCTTTGGATCTGACCCTGGATTGGATGGTGTGGGCAGAAATCGGGTCAGATGGGGGTGAGAATAAAATCTGGTGAGGTGTGGAGGGGGCTGCTGGGGCACATAGACACCTGAGTTCCCCAGGGAAGGTAACAGTGAAAAATTCTTATATCATCTATATTCTCATATAAGCCTTGTTATTTTTTATGAGAGACTTCTTACTAAATGAGGGACTACACTGGTGTCCTTAAACTGATGTGTATTTGACCTACTTAGGATTCTTGTTAAAAGACTGATTGAGATTCCTGTGTCAGAGTGAACCTGAGATTCTGTATTGCTAGTAGGCACTCAGGGGATGCCAGTGCTTATGGGTCATGATTCATATTGTCAGAAGCAAGTCTCAGTATTGTTCTTTGGAAGTAAGCATTGTAGATGTAGGCCAGTTGTGGTGGCTCACGCCTATAATCCCAGCACTTTGGAAGGCCGAGGCGGGTGGATCACGAGGTCAAGAGATCAAGACCATCCTGGTCAACATGGTGAAACCCCATCTCTACTAAAAATACAAAAATTAGCTGGGCATGGTGGTGCGTGCCTGTGGTCCCAGCTATTCGGGAGGCTGAGGCAGGAGAACTGCTTGAACCCAGGAGGCGGAGGTTGCAGTGAGCTGAGATCGCACCATTGCACTCCAGTCTGGGTAACAATAGCGAAACTCCGTCTCCAAAAAAAAGGAATTGTAGATGTAGGGTCTGCAGTGAAAGGCCTCTTCTGGATGTAGTCTTCATTTTTCTTTCTAATTACTTTCATCATATAATTAAAACACACTGATGGCAATATAAATGGAAACAGATAGATAGTTCCTAAATTAATTTTTTTAATGACTAATTTAGTTGACTCTTGGTTATCTGGGGACAGATTAAATGGTATGCATTTAGCCATGGTATGAAATAACACTGGGCCTGGTACCATGAAGAAGTGAAATCACAGTAATGTAAGCAAACATGAATATGTTTATACTATCATGTAATTCTGTTGAGAATTATTTGGTACCTACTCCAGCTTGGGACTGTTCCGTGATCTCAGGTGTCCGAGTAATTTTTGGGAGCAGTGCCTGCTTTCTCTTCCAGTCTCTAAGGAACAGAGGTCGGCATATGGGAATGGCAACATCTACACCTGGGCTGTGTTGTGATCGGTGGAGATTTCTAACATATTGGCTGCAAATACTCAGGTACTTACAGTTCCTTTAAACATTCAT